ATCCGCTTTATAACATCTACCCTATTCTACTATTATATTAGTGTCTTATAAACTATAGCCGCGTAGTTCCGTAGATAATCCGTATACTCTAGCTATTTATTATAACACTTTAGGTATAGACACCTAATGCGCTACTTCGTATCGTAATATTACAAGTGTTTTCGTAAAAAATGTCTCCTTAAGCTATCTCGATCGCGAAATCGTTTAGTACGCTTAGCGAGGGAGAGGCCGTCGTTCCTTATATAGAAGACGTATTAGGTAGGTAGGTACTATATAGGAAACGGGTCTTATTAGACCTTATAGTTTTTAGCGTCTATTACGGTATATAATTGTGCTTTACGTATATAATTAGAACGGGCCTTCTTCCTACGGTAGATCTTCTAATCTAGGTCTTCCTATCGCTTATATAGTGCTCTTACTACCTCGATAGCTTCTACTCGTCGACTTTAGCTCGCGGCCGGTTCGATAGGCGTAAAGGTAAGTAGCGCCGCTAGGACCCGCTACCTTTTACTACTAAGTATACTCTAAGGCTCGGTCTCTAAAACCTACTCTAACTACTTAGTAACCCTAGCCTTAAGCTAATATAAGATATCCTAAACTAGCTGCTCTTCCCGATATCTAGCTTTAATCTGTTTTAAGGCGGCTTTATATACTACCCTCTTCGTTCGTAGATATTCGTATTATACTTATTAATACGCCTTATACGCGGATGTTCCTTTCGAGCGCGTAATCGTCGTATAGTAAGCGCGCGCCTACTAGGCTATACGATTACGAACTCTACGTCTTAAGACGACCTCCGGATATCGATCGGCCTACCTAAGCTACTACTCGTCTAGTAAGCGCGGCCGCTAAGGGTCGATCGAACGGCTTATTCTACTAGCTACTCGTATAATAGCTATCTACGGCGCGAGGCCTTAATAAGCGGCCTATATATCTTACGTAATATAATACGAAAGGTAGTTATACTAAAACACCGCCGATAAGGAGTACTATAGGATAARATTTCGCTAGGAATCGCTAATATAGCCTATAGCAAATTAGTAATACGCCTACGTCCTTACTATAGTACGTTCCGCGGAAGATATACTACTACTATCTAGAGCCTCGCTATAGCCGCGGCGAAAGTAGTATAGCTTAATCGGTACGTCGAAATTAGTAATCGTACCTAGCTAGCTTAATCGTTCGCGGAGCTAGCTCTCCGTTACCGCTTTCTACGATACCTCTATACTATAGACTATACGTATCGTTCTTCGGAATAACGGTAGCTCGGCTTTCGACTACTTAATTAGAATCCGAAGTTCGCGTTTACCTAGCGGAATACGTAGCGTAAATAGCTACTCCGGGCTAAAATTAGGCACCGCGAACGTATCGTCGGCGAATAGTAGGCCGAGAAGTACTGTCTATAGATAGAGAAGAAGGTACGGCTCGAAAGGAATATTAGGTACCGGAAACGTGTTCCTATAGTACTTATTAGCGTTAACGCCCTACTCTAAATTATATCGGTGTCTAGCCTTACGCGTCCTTACTACCGAGATAACGCTTAGTATACTTAAAGGTAAAATTAATTATAAGTCTTAGTCGGTCGCCCCCGGCGTAATCGGGGAGTAACGCGATCTTTAGGTCCTTATACTAGAGTCGGCGTAGTACTCCTAGACGGTTTCCGGTAATTCCGGCTAGTTAGATTATTAACGCTAGCTACGCTCGGAGGAATTCGTATTATAACTCTACTTTAGGCGACTTCTAAAGAGTCTTAAGTAGCTCGAATTCGTCCTCCGCCCGTATATTAGTTTATCCTCCTTCGCGGTCGAAAGCTTAAACTCCTCTACGAGATTCTACCGTACCTTACGCGTTATTAGTAGAGGATACACTTCTAGAGCTACTATAACCTAGTAATGTGCTACTTACCCTATATATCTCTACCTATACCGCGCGCGCTATATCGAAGTAGCCCGTCTCTAGCTAACGGACGAGCGTTAGGGTATTCTAGTAGGTCTAGAGGGTCCGCGAGACGCGGATCCGTCCGCTCCCCTTACGTAGTATCTAGTAGAAGAAGTTATATAGATCTTAGATTTAGAAGGATCGAAGCGTCTCGATAGAGTCTTTACTATATAAAGTATAGAAGCTATAAGTCTTTTTATTAGCCGATATAGCGGTATAATATAGAGCGAAGAGTAGTATATACTTGTTCTATAGCGTCCGGACCCGTTCTTATAGCTCTATACTCTTTAGTATATAAATTTTCTTTATACGTATCGGATCGTAGTAATACTCTATCTAGCTCGTTATAGTAGACCCGTTATCGTAATCGCTCGAGGGTAAACCCGTATCGTAGTCCGCGTCTATATCGTTTTAGTTATAGGCTATATTCCGAACTAGAGGGAGGTAGTCGAAACGATAGGCGGCGAGAGTATAGGTACGACTATAAGTACGTCGCCGGAGCGGTAGGCGGGAAAGGAGCGGGCGTAAGTAATACGACGGTCGAGGGGCGCGGGTAGGACATCTTTATAGTATAGCTCGACCGGTGTCGTATAGTCGACTCTAAAACTAGGACGCGCCGTAGCGAGTTCCGGGGCGACGTACGGTTATAGGCGCGGCCGTATACGCTAGTACCGAACGGGCGAGGGGATTTAGCCGGAATACGCCTTAATTAGTACGTATTCGCGTCCCTAATCGGGCGCCGTTCTACCTTCGTCGCGCTATATCCTATAAGGAATGCTAAGTAGATATAAAGGATACTCCGATATTAATTAAATAGTAATTCTTATCCTTCCTCCCTCTCTCTCCTCTCCTTCTTATCCTCCTCTTCGGGAAGTAGTTACTCTCCCTCCGGTTCGGTTAGAAAGAAGATACCTTTAACCCCGAGTTCCCTAGAGGTCCGTAAAAGGACCGTATAGTAACCGTAAGGGATCCGTAGGGTATATCCTAGGACTTTTAGGTAGAATACCGTAGGGGGTCCGTAAGGGATACGCGATAGGGGTAGGGGCAGAGCCCTACCGCCTATTATTATAAACTCCTTAGTAGTTTCGTTTCGAGGCTTTATTCGATAAAGAAACGCTCTTACGCTACTAGTATTACTTCTAGTTCTAGTAGCGACTACCGTACGAGTATATATAGTTTAATAGCTACTATAAAGGTAACGAACTTATAGCTATATAAGTTACTATATATTATAACCGCTTCGTATTAATTAACGCTATATAACACTACTTAGAGTAGTAGCTTAATAATAGCTATAATAACGAAGGAATGCTATAGGTAGAGGGCGACGTATTACTAGTACTAGCGAAGTAACCGGCTATAGTTATTCTACTCGAGCGTAATTACTACGTACTATTATATATAGTAATTAAGTAGTTAAAGGAGCTATTCTATTCGTATACGGATATTACTAATATAGAGCTATCGAAGGTAGAGCGTAACCGCTATATTAATAACCTTACTAGTAGGTACGAAGAAGCCCTCTTAGAGGGCAACCTTTCTATTAGTAACTAGCGATAGCTTAATAATACCGAGCAAATTCGCGAAGCTATCGATAATATAGCGGCTTACTTAATAGACGTAGATATAGTAGTAGATAACGAGGAGCTCGGCGAGTTTAATATACTTTTAATACTAGCGGTAATAAGGGAGTTCCCTCTTACTTAGTTCGTCGCTTAAATACTAATACGTCGCTTATACCTTCGCGAAGTTACTAACTTAAGCGATAGCGATAGCGTATAGCCGAACGAGCTCGAATAGTACTTACTAATTATACCGCCGTATATTAGCTACCTTAATCTAGACGTTATCGCCTTTAATAGCTAGTTTAAGGCCTATAACCTAATTAGGAATATATAGCGTCGCTAAGAGCGTAGAGGATATACTAAAAGAGCGTAGATAATAGACGGTAGTAAGGATACGGATAATACGAAGATAGGATAGTAGCGGTAGTAGTAGTAAGGCTATAAATAATATAGCGACTTAATTTAATTTAATTTAATTTAATTTAATAGTATATATATATATACGCTAAGTAACGCGATAAGAACAATTAAGGGTAGTAGATAAGAGAGTAGCTCTAATACCGCTAATCGACTTAACTCGAACAATCTAGCTAACTTGCTAGTTAGCAACTTATAGGACCTTTATAAACTACTAACCAACTCGTTACCCACTACAACGCGTTTTTTATAGCCAAATTCGGCCTCTTAGCGGGCGCACGGTTATTCCGAAGGTTCCGAAAGTCTGATCGGTTGGCAGGTTACATGGCACCCATCTTGCCACGTGTGGGAGATGAAGTGACAGTGAGGGCAGCAACTATGCTCACTTGAGCGCCATTAGTGGAGAATGGAGAGTGGGCAATTTTGCAGTAGCCAAGCCTACATTTCCGCTGCATTAAAGTCATACATGTAGGCTGTAACGAACCGCGCTTTGCGGTTGTCGTCCTGCATCTCTACTGGGCAGGAGCAGCGTGCAAGAAGGAAGCAGCGTGGAAGTCCGGAGAAGGCAGCAGCAGGCCAACAGGATTATGTAAGGTTCGCGCCAAGTTCAAACCTCTCTGACGCCGCGTCTCAATCGATTCATGTACCCTACACTCTACATCAATTCACATGCTTTCGAAATGGCTCGCCTGGGACCGCATCGAATAGACCAATGGCTCATCAGGCACCGCGATAGCTATTTCGGAACACAAAACCCTCACAGCTGCGACTAACGTCGACCACACTTGTTACACCAAACGTTGTTCCAAAACAGATTTTGACCCAGACGAACAAAGATTTCATGACTACGATGCCGCTCGGCGAGCCAAATGGACTCGGAAGAGGCGACCAGCGTGCCCACTGTTGGTAGTCTTGATGTGCGAATCATGCGTGTAGCTGCTTGTGTGCTGACAAGACTTCTGCGCAATTACTCTGTGTGGTGACTTTGAACCCATTCCACGTAAGGTGGCATCGCATGCCGCGAACGTGTCGTCAATACCTTCACCTACGCCGATTACGGTGTCAAGGGCAAGAACAGCCATGTCTCTGTTGATATTGTCCACTTACCATCATGTGAGAGTACTGATATCGTTACAGGAACTGCGATGTCTGCGGGAGGATGGTGCCGAGATCATCGACGAAGAATGCTTTCTCAAGCATTTGGGGTATGGTCTTCCAGAGGAAACGGTATTGAAGGACGTCAAGGTCGCCAAGTCTGGACATATTGCTTCCCATCAAGTCGCTTGCGACAACGAGGAAGCTACAAAATCTGATCAAGCGGATGATGATTCCGACTCGGAAGCCGACAACAATTGGCGTGCAGAAGCTTCGGAGAAACTTCATCAAACAACAATGTCCTACTGTACATCCATTCTTCCAAACCCTCAGGCCAGGCAGCTCACATGCCACATCTAATCTCCAGCTCCCATTCTCTCTTCATCACCGCAATATTTCCTTCCTACAGTTTGTTCCCATCTTCAAAGCATAGGATGTCGTATTCGGCCCGTCTCTCACAACCCACAAGCCAAAAAAGGAACAAAACATTCAACACTAGGAATTCCCCAATCGTCACCGACTTGAGTACTAATCTAGCGATTACACGTTTCAATAGGCCAGAGCGGACGGGATGGCTTTCATTCGTGCATCTATGGTCGAATGTGCTGGAACTGGGGGTATGAAACATTATACATGCTGGAATTTAGGCGGTGGACTGATCAATGGCGAGGAGTAGTGCTTTCAATCGTGTTGCTGATCTACCACATGAACTGGCTGAAACTCTGCGACCGTGCTGGGAGCAGTCCTCCTATTGACGTTGTCTAAGAGAAGAAGATTCGACTGGGGTTGATGGAGAGGACGAAGATGTCCGTACAGGATTTGGACAACAGGGTAGGAAGATTCATCTCTCGCGAGCATTTCATTGCTCGCGGTTGGCACAATCTGCTGTACGAAATCTAGCAACAGGTTTGACGCCGCGGGGGAAACGAAGAGTCGTTCTGCAGGTCAAAAGTCCGAACGCCCAGCTCGCTGCTCCATCGCCGGAGCAAGCTAACCAGAATCATTAGCGAGCTCGTAGTGCTTAGGGCTTGAGATGATCTGCTTGCACGGGCACCGTTGTGGACGGACAACACTTCCCGAGTCCAAAGTTCGGGTGCGACGAAGGAGACACACAGATGCAGAACACCAGCCAAAACAGAGAATTCCAGACGCAAACCTGAACGGTCATGGCGTTCCAGATCGCACGTGCATGCTCTCTTCCCAGGCGAGGACATGCCAAGCAACAAGGGATCCTTGTCGCGGACGATATCGGAGCCGAAACGGGCGCGCTTGCATCCTTCGAAAATTCTGATCTTATCAGATTGATGGCCACAAGCTGCGCTTATGCACGCCGACCCTCATCCTTCGCTTCCTATCCTCTTCACAGATCGGCTGGCGCTTGAAAGTATGGTTCTCATTGGTATCAAGTGCCCTCCGTGCATGGACTTCTCTTGGCCATGTGGTCGCCACATCGAGACCTGAACCACGGTCCGGCGGACCTCGCCAGTTCTGGACTGTTGCAGTACTCGCCAAGTCGGAGCATGCATGTGGAGCCATACACGTGCCCCTGTACATAAGGCTCTTATCAGATCTTCCTCTTTCGTCTTCCAGCATCTCATCTCCATCCCCACGGATCTTGCAGTTTGCCCCTGCTCCACGTTACAGCCATGGTGAACTGGCCCACCTTCAGCAAGGTCTCGCCTGAGACTACTGCTACACCGGAGATCGTTGCTCAGCCTCTGCCTGTCAAAGCCGAAAACGAAAAGGACATTGGAGGCATTCATGCTGTACCTCGGAGTGTGACGGCTGGTAGCGACAGCGATGATGAGATCGTTCACAAGGATATGCAAGCTGGTGTGCAGAAGGCGGAGGCCATGGCTCAGGTCTGGACAAAAAAGTCGTTGTATACGCTATACGCTTTGTGAGACACTGCCTCTATGCACTACCTCGAGAACAACGCTGATGCTTGATTAGAGTGTGGTTGCTATACTTCCTCGATGCCATGGAGAACGGAACATACTGGCTTCTTACGCCCTATGTCACCTCCGCCTTCCAAGCACACTCCCTCACGGCTGCTACATCTATCATGGCAAGTCTTATTGCAGGTATCTTCAAGCTTCCTCTTGCAAAGATTATCGATGTTTGGGGTCGGCCTCAAGGGTTCATTCTTATGGTGACGATAATGACTCTTGGAATGGTCATGATGGCCCTGTGCCAGAATGTCACTACTTACGCGGCTGCCGAAGTATTCAATCAGCTTGGGTCAGTAATGAGATCTACTTCTCAACTTGTGAGTGACGCTGACTATATTCTGCAGTTCCTCGRGCCGTCAGTACATCCTGTAAGTCATGAGAAAGATGCTACCATCTCCTCACTTGGTCATCTCACCCCTCTAGAGCCAAGACGGTCCATTTGATGAACGATCTTCACTTTCATTGCTCCTTCGAACACTGCTGATTTCATCTCTCATTCCAGGGGTGTTCTCATCGCCGATACATCTAGCTTGAAGAACAGAGGCCTGATGTTTGCGTTCATCTCCAGTCCGTACATCGCGACGGTCTGGGTCACGGGCCCTCTTGCTCAAGCGTGGATTGCCGGTCCCGGATTTCGATGGGCCTTTGGAGCCTGGGCAATCATACATCCCCTGTCGTCGCTTCCTCTGTATATCCTCATGCAGTGGAATTACAAGAAAGCCGTCAAGCAAGGTCTGATGCCCACGCAACGAAGTGGACGTACCTTGTTCCAATCCTTCAAGCACTATGCTATTGAGTACGACCTTCTTGGATTACTCCTTGTCTGCGCTGGATTCGCTCTCTTCCTCCTGCCATTCAGCATCTACTCGTACCAATCAAAGGGCTGGCAATCACCAATGATCATCTGCATGATTGTCTTTGGCATTCTGTTCCTGATATCATTCGTCCTGTGGGAAACTTTCGGAGCACCAATCACTTTCATGCCATGGCATTTGTTGAAGGACCGCACAGTTCTCGGATGCAACATCCTCTCCGCGGTTCTCTTCGTTGAGTTCTACATTTGGAACTCCTACTTCTCCTCTTTCCTGCAGGTAGTTCCAGGCATGAACCTGACTCAAACGGGCTACATTTCGAACATTTACAGCATTGGGTCGTGCTTCCTCGCTATCTTTTCCGGACTTTACCTTCGACAGACCGGAGACTTCAAGAAGCAGTCGCTGTTCTTTGGACTGCCTGCCGTGATTCTCGGCGTCGGTCTGATGATACATTATCGACAGCCGGATGTGGGCATCGGACCTATCATTGCGTGTCAGATCTTGATAGCGTTCGGAGGTGGTTGTCTCGTCATCACTCAACAGGTAAGCAGCTCGACTCCTCAATATCTGAGACACCAGCTAACTCGCACTTCGCTTCTAGGTGGGCGCCATGGCAGCGACGACGCATCAGTACGTTGCTGTAGTATTGGCCGTAGAGGGAATGTTCAGCTCAGTAGGTGGGGCGATAGGAGCTACAGYAGCAGCAGCGATTTGGACGGGAAAATTCTACCCAACTCTGCAACGGCTACTTCCCGCGGAGAGCCTCGATCAAGCTGCTACGATTTATGGAGACCTGACAGTTCAGATGTCCTATCCGCGTGGAACGCCGACAAGAGATGCCATCAATCAAGCGTACGGGGAGTCGCAGATGATTATGTGTGTTGCGGCGACGGCGATCCTGTCGCTTGCGGTTGCTGCTGTGTTCATGTTTAGAGATATTGATGTCAGGCAGAGGAAGCAGGTTAAGGGGCTCGTGTTCTAGTTGTGGTGGAATTTCTGACAGATGGTGTAGGCGAGAAATATTGTACAGAGAGTTTCGGGCTTGAATACGTGTGAGAAAGCTTCGCAGACTTCACAAGAACGGTCGATTTTCGCAGCGGGACTATATTTTTCAATGACGATTTTCTAGTACATGTCGGCTTTGCGGCCGTCAACTACAACCCCAACCTCGACGGAACATCTTCCAATGTCTTCCTTTAATTCAGTGCTTCAGGTTTCTCTACAGCGGCGGTCTAGCCCGATGGCCTGACCGGCAAAGGGGCGAAAGTCTGAGCCTTGGCGTTCATATGACAAACTTCGCGCCAGTGATGAAGTCAAGAACAATGAGTTTTCCTTGACGCACTGAACAGTGGCTTCCACAGAGTTCGTGACTTGTGTTCTATCGATTGAGTGAGCCACATTCAGGCGTTTAGCTGTCAATCACAGAAGTATTTTGCGGACCGCGACCTTGCTTTGGCGATTGATCTGTCATGAATTGACAGCCTGATGCGAGGATACAGTTGGAACACTTGATGAAGAATGAGAGTCGCTTCAGACAGAAGCGCTTCCTGGGATTCTGACTCCTTGCTCGGACATTCGATCACTCTTGGAAATATATATCTCATCTTCTATTGCGGTGGCAGTGGTCATGCATGCTGCAGCGATTCTGGCGGTCTTGGGGTCGCATTGTTGCTGTTATTGTCATGCATGACTTCGCCTTCATCGGCATGTATAGCCAGGGCGGTCGATATGCGATTACCTGCATGCAGGTGCACGACTGACAGGGAACGGAGAGCGAAATTGAAAACGCAATCCGAGGAAGAAAGAGAGAGAGGAAGGGAGGACAAGAGAGATTTATGAAGTTGGGATGGGGCGGGACGGGAGCGTTCCTTCTTCACCCGACGTTGTGCACTTACCCCGACTACAGCCAAAAGTGGCCACGCATGGATTGGAAGCATATTTTTATTACTATGAGCTTTCTTGTTCCAGTCTTTTATCAATTGTGTCATTTTGCGTGATTGACGAGGAACTCGCTCATACACATACGTATCTTTTCCGATTGAAGTACTCTTTGTCATCAACGGAAACCCGCCCTCCAACCCCGACAATATGCTCCGCGTAAGGATGTGCTGAGCCTCCATCTGAGACTGATAAGTTTGATCCCACCGGGAAAGTGTTCGCTCAGCTGACTGAGAAGCTCGGTTGTAAGCTTATGATACTGTTCTACATGCGTCCGAACGTGGATGGGTGTGCGAGTCGTCTGCCATTCCATCCTGTGACTTCTTCTCTGTGAAGTCTGTGAGAGACGTCGGTGCAGCAGGATGAGTTCTATAGAGCGCCGCTCGCGCAAGGTTTATCGCGGTAAGTGGGCTGTGACCGCTGTCGCGGGAAGTGTAATCGCACTCACACCACGCACACCGCCCGCCTCGTTCGTAGGTGACGATCTCGATCCCTTCACGTCTTTCCTTTCCTGTGGTGTGCCACGCATTAGCACGGAGATGTTGGTCACAACAGGGATAGCAGCAGATTGAACGGTCGGAAAGGAAGTGATTTAGATACGTAGTTGTGCAGTTGGCTTTTTCCAGATCCAATCTCCCTGTACTTGTGGAGGCTACGTCTGAGGCAGTGCAGCTTGACCACTTTTGCAACACGCTGCAAGCTGTGCTGGAGGCAGAGCTGTCGGTATGATGGTTGTTCATCAGGATAGGACATCCTCAGTCATGCCCACAGTGTCTAAAGGCCTCGCTCTCTGCAGGCTCGGCAATCCTATGCCTACTAGAACCATTGCTATTAGCAGAGGGGCCCTTCAATCAATCAAGAGAGCAGCTCAGGACGCTGCTCTTATTAATGATTTCTCATATCGATAGCTCTGGCTGGAGGGGCGAGACTGTCTAAAGCCTAGGTTGGAAGACCCGGATCCAGCCTGTCTGTTAGTGTGCGCGATCTGATCTGATCGAATCCCTCGCAACGATTTCAAAAGCCACGATCCGATATCTGCCTAGTATCCTGAATTATGACATTCGAAACCGACAAGATTGGGCTGCTCTTGCCGTGGCAGGAAGAGCTTCAATCCCACAGCTCGATCAGTCTGGTCGTTGAGTTTTATGGCGACTGTTTGCTTATGGCGTCTTGCCACACCGCATGCTTGCTTGATCGCCACCGTCATCTGGGGGCGAGTGTTTTGAGAGAAGTTGTGTTTCTGCTGATTCAGGGCTTGGTTTGTTGTAAACCCCGAAGAATTGGGACATATTGCCATCGGAGGGAGTGTGCTGCCTTCTTGAGTCTCTTTGTCCGTATCAGCTATGCTGTCGCCGACTGAATCGTCATGAACTGCATCATGGTTGATCTGAGGTGAGGCCTTGGAGGCTCGACAGAAGCCGTGGTGAGTACTGTCGGCAGGGTCTGCAGTGACGGGGAGGTTTCGGGACCATGCGGGCATTACACGAAGACAATTTCTCTCGTCTGGAGAAAAGGCAGCGCCGAAGATGAGCACGGACAGATCGCCATGGTAGATCGCAAGACATGCCCGGGTAGGATCTCGTGTCCAGACTTGAGCTGTCTGTAAGAGAGTTGATCGGAGTTCAGAGCACATCTCTCCGTCAATGCACCGCAACCTTTCCAGAGCAGCCGGGTCCAGTTCTCTTAGGCCAGAAGAGTCTCCGGGAGATCATTTTCCATTGATCTCGAGACCAATGGATGGGCCACGGTCTCCTGCGCCATGCCCTCCAGCTTTACTAAGGCATGTGCGGGTTGGCCGTCGAATCACCTCCTCGCGCTTGAGGCCTGGTTGAAAGCGACAAGAGACCGAGGCCAGTATGACGGCAGTATGTCAATATCGGCTTGGGGGTAATCGAGGGTGGTTTGAACGCGCCCGTCCACTGTGACTACCAAACGAGCGGGTCTTTCTCCATCTATCAGATATTTTGAGTAGGATGACATCTCTTCAAAGCGCGCTGATCGTACTGAGAAACCGATATTAAGTGGGTCCACGAAGCTGTTGGTCTTGTTTGCTTTCGGTCGGACGGACGGGTGAATCTCGCTCCCGGTCCGAACCGTCAGAAAGTTGGGGGCAGGCGCGTCACTTCAGCTTTCTCTCACTCCTCCCACCAAGACCAAACACAGCATTAACCTTCTCCACGATGCCGTCCAGCAAGAAGCAGAAGCTCAATCGCGAGTCGAATGCAGCTTATATCACTTCTCAGCCGTTATTCGACGCGCTCCGCAATGCCACGAATGCCATTTCCAACCACAAAGTGCTCCTCCAGGAAGCGCGCGACACAATTCAGTCGATCCACGTGAAGCTTCCCATTAACGATGGCGATGCTGAGAAGCACGAAGCCTGCCTGAAGAACATTGTCGCTGCATGGGCGGGCGAGACGCAGACGTACCACGAGGTCTTCCGACAAATCACTCTCCTCACTGGGGCAGATATCAGCCAAGGTCGTCCAGCCGCGAAGTCTCATGAGAAGTACATGGCCATTCTCGACACCATCTCGAGAGCTCAAGAAGCTGTGGATGCGTTCCGTAGCCTGAGTGAGGAGGTTGAAGAGGAGAGTGATGAGCAAGCTGGWGAAGAGAGCGAAGAGGAGATCGTCAAGCAAGAACCGCACAGCGACTCTGCGTCTGACTCGCCTCCGTCTGCGAAGTCGTCCAAATCGGCTATCCCGCCCACAGTCCTGCCCAAGCGACCTTTCGTGAAAGACGAGTCCGCCGAGGAAGGTGCCAACAAGGTTCAGAAACTCAATGTCACTGCTACAAAGACCGCCGCCCATGCTTCGCACGAGAAGAAGCAGGCCAACTCCAACGCCAGGTCGAGGCGCAAGGCTGTCAAAAAGGCGGCTGCCGACGCCGCTGCAGCCGAGCTGGTCCAGTCCAAATCCACCCTCAACACCGCAGCTTCCACCTCAACCGCCAGTAAGATCGACGAAGCGCACGCACCTGCCGCSCCTGTCGTCGAGTATGAAGACGTCAATTCAGAAGTTGAGGCTCGAGTCAAGGCCAAAGCCGAAAAGACTGCTGCAAAGAAGGCACGCCGCGAAGAGAAGAAGCGCAAGCGGGAGAGTGTCGATTCTTTTGCCAAGCATGAGCCAGACGAGGGCGTGATCTACGATGATACGACCAACCCGGAGCCCGAGCAGCCAGTCGCCAAGCCAGAGCTGGTTGGCAAGCCCAACAAGAAGAAAGTCAAGAAGGCACATGTCTCAGTGGAGGACGTTGTCGATGGCACTCCAGCGAAGACCGACACCGCGCCGTTGAAACAGAAGGCCAAGATCATCGCTCCCGCAGTGAACCCCGCTGAAAAGGTCGTGAAGCGCAAGCCCGATGCCGCTGCTGATGAACGGGCACGTGCCAAGAAGCGTAAGACAAACCATGCTGGCAATAACTAAGGGTGGGGGATGGACCCTGTCGATGTCCTCCACGCTGGGCCACGTACAGTCTGGCTCGGCGGCAAGCAGAGGATCTTCTGGCGGATGATACAGTAGGTACTTGCTTCGGAACGCACAGCACGCTGGGCCCAAAAAGGAAAAGGAGCATGAGCAGAGCAGTGCATTTCAATGCTATTAAGGCATGACAGCTGCGCATAGCTCATTCAAACAGTAAGCCACGGTTTCTCTCATGTTCGTCGTGATCGTGCGCTGCGTTACGCTTAGATTGTTCACTCTTTCTCATGTCGTGGATCACATGCAAGCACTGTTGGATTGACCAATCCTTCTCACGTTTTCCGCGTTTAAAATATCCTCTTCCAGCCTCGACTGTTCTCGTTTATAACATTCTCCTTTACCCTCCACGGTTCTCGCTCAGATCGTGCATGACCCACGCGACTGGATCCGCGCATCTTCACCCGCGCAGGTTTCCGCTGCAGGCTGCCGAGTACCGGTTGTTGTCGCGTCATCGGCTATTCACAGCAGTCGTGCCCCACCACGTATCTAGAACGCCCCCTCCACTGTGAACGGACATCTAGTATCGAACTTTGACCGAATTCCAGCCCACGGAGTGCCGTACGCTCCACAGCATGAACCCCGAAATGGCCGAAGATCGAGCAACCCGCACCGTTATTGCTGAACTTTCAGCCGCTTACAAGGAGGGAGATATCACTGGGTATGCCTTCTGGTGCGCGCTGGATTGTGCACGATCACACCTTGACAATCCACAAGACTTGCAACTCAAGCATGCTACCGATGTGATCGCCGGACTCGTCAGAACTTTGGTAGCATTTCCGGAGAGCGGGCGGGCGCTGGAGGTGTATGCGAGGGGTGTGCTGAAGGTACTACACGAGAAGGGAAATACAAGGCGTATAAACAATGCAAGACCAGCCGCTACTAGCAGCTCCACAGCAAATTAGATTCTCGGGTTGAGTTGAGGGCTGGGAACAGGAAGTTCATGTCGATCCTGCGTCAAACACTGAGTTTGGCTGGAGACCATACCACCCGGATGAGAAGGCGGCGAAGGCTTGCATTGTCAGGGTAGACTGCCGTGAATACAGCGGCTGTGTCTGTTCTGCGTGTCGGCGAAGCGGAAAGGCGGATGCGATGGCCAAATGATCATGGATTCATCATGAGAGGACAAGTTCTTTCGCATGAGCTGAGCTATCGATATGAGGAATCATGGACAAGAGCAGGGCCCTCGAGTGCTACCTCCATTAAACCACAGGCTAGTCTGCTAGCAGCTTCAAAGCCGGCGACTCTGCAGAGAGCCAGGCCTCGAGATGGTATCAAAGTGACTGGGGTTGTTTCTTTCGACTCAGTAGTCCTCATATCGACAGCTCTGCGCATGAAACTTCACTCACTGAAATCACAGTATGACAAATATAATCGAAGCAGTTCCATACAAGTTCATTTTCATCTTCTCTGCATTTTAGTCGTGTCATTTGATCCCCTTAGCCTAGCATCCCTACATCGGCCTCTGCCCAATACAAGCAAAGCTCCAGTGATTCAAAGCCCACCAAGCCCTCACTCATTTCGGAACTTGATGCCCACCTGTCTGCTTTCCCTCTCCAGCAGCGACGTGAATATCAACAGCAGCATGATCTTCCTCGGCCTGAACTGGAGTGACGTGAATCTCGATAGCAGCAGCCTGAACGCCCGCCGCACCAGCACCAATCCCGATCTTGAACATGGCCTCCGCAGCCCATGCTCTGACCGCAGTATCGTCCGGCGCCTCAAACTCCATCACAGCAATTCTAGCACGATCCAGGTATCCCTTCTGCACATGCAATCTCCACGTCTTCCTCACCAAAGACGCATGCAGAATGTCGATGTTCTCCTTGTATGAAGCGAGTTCCGCACCTTGCTGAGCGGAATGTGTAGCCCACTGCCTGCAGAAGTCGTGTAGTCCCTCGTTCTCCAAGAGGAGTGTGGTTTGGTGGGCTCCGAGATGGTGGTTGCGCTGCCGGAGCATAGCGTTCTCCTGCTCGAGGGTGTTGATTCTGGCTTGGAGTGTCACGATCTGATCCTTGACTTGCTCGAGTTTCTTGTTCTTGGGCTGGAGCGCCGTGCTGTGCTTGTTCTCCTGATCGATGATGTTCTGGTCCTGCACCTGGAGCACGAGAGTTTCCTGCTTCATGTTCTGTCCGGCTGGGATCGTCTGCTTCAGGAGGTGCGAGGCTGCCGCGAGCTCAGCCTCGAGGAAGGCGTTACGCTGAGCGATGCCAGTGATCTGCTGAGTGAGGGCCACGATCTTGGCCTCGAGGTCGTTCTTGTCAGACTGGAGAGTAGTGTTGCTCATGTTGAGGATGCCGGCCATGTCGGCGGCAGCTGTGTTTGGGACATTTCGAGCCGCCTTCAGCTGCTCGATTTCGCGTGCCTGAGCGGCGATGAGCTGCTCTGGGGAGTCAGCCATCCTTTCTCGAAGATGCAAGGTGCAGTATGTCGATGTTTGCTGGAAGTTTCTAATGTCGAGAAAGATGACTTTGATCAACACAGATTTTGCCATATTTTGATTGGATAATCAAGCGAGCCAGTCACCACTCAGCGCTAGCCAGGTTCATGTATGTAAGTGAATGAAGTCCACCTGAAGGCCTTCCGAGAATTAAAGTCTGATCGGCAATAAGAGATGAAGGAGCGGTAGTCAATCGTTTGGAGGTTTTCTCGGCACTACGGCTTACGATCGCACATATGAAGAGGAAAGAAGGAGGGCCACAGCATCTTCATTTTCGTGCATGTTTCTGAGCACTTGTGCCTATGTATAGACTGCGCTTCTCGCATGTCAAACATCGTGCTCGACGATACTCGTTTGCAACGCCAGCGCCTTTCAGATTCGTGCCGTTATGCGATAAGCGGCAGCATTCTGCTCAATCGTTCAGCTCCACAGCAAACCAATATGGATTACCCCAAGTACAACAACCGGGCAAGGTCGCTGCTCGCCCTAGATGGTGAAGCTATGAACCTGCCGACGTTTTTGCATCAATTTCTTGAGTTTGACCCAGGCATTGGAGGACGGAGGAATGGAATGGGGACGGAAGGCGGTCAAAGGACCACCGACGATCCAGAACACCTCTTTCGCTCGCGTCATAGCAACATTAGACCGACCGGGATCAGTTGTGAAGCCTAGATCAGGTCATGTTAGCAAGTCTCAACGTTAACCGACCCTCTCTGGAACTAGACGTACCCATTCTATAGAAGTGCTGCATTGAATTGTCCAGAATTACCATCTTGGACTCCTGGCCTTGTGCCTTGTCGATCGTGAGGATACGCGGGTAGTAAGAATCTGAAAGGCGCTGCGACGTCTTCAGTTTCTCAACCATTGCGTGGTAGTGGCGAACCTGAAAGAGTGTCAGTACAAGCCCAAGCCATCTTTTGCAATTGTTGACTTACCGCATTGCCATACGCTGCGATTATCAAGACTTCGCGAAAAGTTCGCTCCCCGAAGTGCTTCTGCAAGGCAGGAAAGATCGAATCGAACACTGCTTTGATATGATCGGGAATGGCCCTGGAGAAGCCGTTCTGGTCAACTTTTCTTACGCCAAAGTCGAGATAGTGTAGGCGCGTCTGAACGTCAGTGGCGCTGGTCATGTAGTCAGTGCGCTCCTCATCTAGCTCTCCATTATACGCGGTTCCAATGATCTTGTCGAGAACATGCTTCAACCCAGGCTCGACAGCTTCCAATGTTCGGTCCAACCCTTTAGCACTGCGCTGGTCTGACCCGTAGAACTCCGTGCTCGGGAATTCCCACAAGATCGGGTGCTGGACTGTGTTAGCGTTTTGATCTCACGGATTTCAACTGATAATAACTCACCATGCGTTGCTGGACAACCAGATGTGTGTGCGGGAACTCCAGCGCAAGGAGCCTGTCCAACATGGACATGCCTGCGCGGGTGGCAAATGGATTACACTGCAGATCTTTTGTCATTGAAGTGTTGACGGGTTTGAGCTGGCTAACGAAATGTTAGTACAATATCTCTGACAGAATGTCGACCGCAGATCTCGTCAAGCTTACTTTGGATCACCCAGGAGCATCACAAAATCCGGAACCCGGGGAAGACCTTTGGAGAGAATCGCGTTCCAGACGTGAATCTCTTGCTCCTTTCCAACCTCATCAATCGACACTAAAAGGCGTGTGATCTTCGCGATGCCGTACCGCTCCTCAGCTCGCGCCCAGTGTTTGACGAGTTCGGTACATTGAGCATTTCCGTTCGTGGTCATTATAATGTCCGAGATACCAATGAGATGACCCTTGCACGTCTCGAAGGCCTTGGCATACCGCTCAATCGCGGTMTTGTTCGTTTCTTCCCAGAAGGCACTGGAACGACTCTGTTCCAGGTACCGGCGAAACTCATCCCATGCATCGAGCATCGGACCGATTTCTTCACCGGCCTCGTTTTCATACTGTAACGGATGAGAGAGCTGCGCCTTTTCCGCCTCTTCAAGCATGCAAGCTTCTACGGTGTGCGCCCAATCCTCCAAGTTGTCATTGTTCTGACCAGCCTGCCTGAATCTCAAGCCGTAGATTGTGGAGACGGTGCCATGACTGTGGCCCACTTTCTTTGCCAGGGCCTGTGTTGCAGACATGTGCCTGAACCCGACGCCCCTAGAAGCGGAGACAATGCGAATCACACGAATATTAGACCCCGAAGTTGCTGCGGCGAGCTTGGCAACGGCCTCGGCCTGTGTTGCAACATTGCTGTTCGACGTAGCGAAGCATGCAGCGCGACCGCCCATCTTGACGAAGTATGCAGCCATCGCCATCTGGACTGTAGTCTTGCCAGTTCCGGCCGTACCGGTCGCGAGTGTGACACCACCTTTGGCACATTTGAGTTGTTCAATGAGTTGACGCTGCTCTTTGTTCCAATTCATGTCTCCAATCAACCAGTTCCAGGCCTTTTCACTCTTAGAAGCCGAAGCCTCGAAACCCTTGGTGTTGTCGGTTGATTCGACCGAGTGAAAGGACTGTCCGAGTGCGATCGGATGGAATCGATGGTACTCGGGTTCCTCCAACGAAGAGACCGCACTTGCCAAACATTTGAGCAAGAAGCTGTTTGGGTGCGGAATCAGCCGAGAGACCGAATAGTAGTGCGGATCATCGCCAATAGTAGAGAACGTGCCAGTGACTTGATGATGTTCATGCGACGTGACAACAAAGTAGGCGTTGTGTTCTGGCAGGCCCGGCAGGTAGGGGTCCCGTACTGCAGTCAACTGCTGCTGTTTTTCTTCGTGCCGTACGTCCAACTGCTGTTCTTCTTCGTGCGGTATTTTCAACGTAATCCTGATTTCGAGTTCGTTTGGCAGGTTCTTACATGTGTCTTGCAGAGGACCTGGTGGCGCGTTCCCGAAATTCATAGCAATGATAGGTATACCCTTCAGACTGTACAACGCGATTCGATGATCACGAATCCTGCAGAATTCCTGAAGCAGTGTCTGGCCCTCCCACTCGATCATGGCGGCGCAGGTGAGGTGATCCACGGCGAAGTGCTTGGTGGAGCCAAAGGTGAAGGGACAGCGCAACGGTATCATCAGGTTCGGAGGACTCGAAGTCATCAGTGTGTTGGGCCCGCGGATCGTGACCAGGTCGTCAATTGGGTAATTGCTGAACTCAGATACGCCGATGGACGGAAGCAGATGGTGTCCTCCGCCCGGTAGGCGAGAGATGAGCCCCTGGAAGACGGCCTGATCAACGGGACACAACTCTTGAATTTTGAGGGAAATATGGAGCTTGCTCTCCTCGCACTTGTTGGCCAGTCTCTCCAATATGCACAAAGCACTCTTCTCATCTTGCCCGAAATTGTGCTGTACGCTGGAAACGAGAGTGAAGCCTTCAGTTGTGGCGCCAGTCGACGTAAAGCTAATGTTCGCATCATCGGTATTGACATCTGAACTGTATTTGAAGTTGCGTAGTTGCTTGCCACTCCGATCGTTAAAGGGAAACTCGAGGGCGAGCTCGAGGTACGGGGTTCGCGTATTTCTCTTGACAAAATGTGCCTCGAGGCGGATGGATGGAGCGATTGCCTGGAAACGTTAATGACATGGCCAAGATCGTGGTCGCTCGCTTTCACCTACTAGGAGATTGAAGGTGAGAAAAAGATCAACCCCATGGCTGCTCTTCTCGAAGGTTGGTGGAAGCACGACCAAGTCCTGCCCGAAGCTGGACGAGATGCGGCATCTGAGCTTGACGTCGGAAATCCCAGTAATGTTCTTGAGCAACCGGTTGTCGATGCCGGGTTTGTTGAGGCGGTACTGCGTGGCAAGTCCGGTGCTGCTAGTCACGACACTATCTATACGAAGAGCGTCTTTAACGTGCATGAAGTGTGCATAAAGCGCCTTGTCGAGCGTTGGCGGCTCTGGWGGTGCAGACATCATTTAGTCCTTCGACGTGCAATGAATAGTCTTTCGGTGTGGACGACGATGCGTGTTGGTGGCGGTGGTGTATGGCGGAACGAGAGATGGTTGATGGTTGATGGTGGTTGAGAACTGAAGCTTCCATGACGCAGATGAAGAGATAAGTRCGGCTTTTACTACCCCTCCGCTTTCGGGGACACCGTTTGCATGTGAAGCTGAAGCTGAAGCTGAAGCTGCTTATTGCGCACAAGGTGAAGCGAGATTCGTAAACCTTCTTGTCATTCCAGATACTGCCCATGTTCGGTCCGTAGTGGTAAACCTCAAACTACAGCTGCACGAGACGCTGCACCATGTTAATTCCTCGGTGCATTGTAGCTGGCCAGGTATCGTCCGAAACGGTGTGYGCATGGGCTTCACAGCCAGTATCACTCCAAGTCGTATCATTGATAGAGGCGCCCGGAAAAACAACAGGAAACAAAAAGTCGTGCTGTCCTACAGAGAAGCTGACAGCTTCCGATTTTGGCCCCGACCCTCGAAGTCGTCTCCTCAATGCCTGTGGTATCGAGGCAGTGCAGGTGCATCTGGTTATCGAAAGTAATGGGGACACACAAAGCTTACTAGAGATTTTCCAACCTACATGATAGTGCTCACTGTTCTGCCTGATCGTAGTACATGTGGTAGGCCGGTAGATGAACGTCGCTGATAGTTCCATCATGAACGGGGCGTATAGCATTGTGTTGCATGGCAGATGATGTGCCAAAACAGTGGAACTTCTGAAAACCTGAGATATCCACAATAATAGTACCAGAGCGGCATCAATTTCTTCGCGAAGGCGATTCGATAAATGGTAGTGATATGGAGATGGGAAGGATCAACGTCAAAGTGGGAAAGGTGAGGTGAGGTTGACCAACGCGTCGGACAAGCCCGAAACGCGAACCCGATGCGAACCCGACGCGTTTCACCAACGAACTTTCTCACCCACCAACTCCACCACCACAACATATCCCATACAACTCCCTACCACCGCAAAAATGTCGGAAGCAACGCCCCGCATCACAGCGCCTCATCTTGAAGCCTTCTCCCACCGCACAGTCCGAATCCTGGGCAAAGTCCAGCAGCTACGAGGCATGGAGGCGACCATCGATGCTGGTGGGGCAATTGTCATACATTTGACCATGGTATGTCGTGGTCCAACAGAAGCACCATAACAGAGAGGAACAGGTGCTGACCGATTATATAGGACTCTCACCTTCACGTTGGCAATGCATTTGAATTCATCGGCAAGGTGCAGAATGATCTAAGTGTAAAGGTCATGGCGAGTACGGATTTTGGTCCAGCGCAGAACATTGGTCAGTGGACGCATTGCTACCAGACACTGTTGGAAAAGTTACTGACTGTGAGCAACAGATTTCGGTGCGGTGGAAGCAGTCGTCGATGCCACACATCGATATCATGAGATATTCTACGAGAAGAGCACTTGAAGCAGGCTCATGATATACCAATGACTTGAAATGCTTGCGGAACGTGGTACATCAGTCCGGGAATCAGGCTGGACATACTCTACAGGCCGTGAAATCTTAGGGCCAGCAAGCACCTGAGGAAAAGGGACTCTTTCTTGTTTCCCTTCGCTAAACGGCATCCGAAACGACCATGATGCACATAGTTATGATACAGCTACTTTACAGTCTCCACACTGGGACAAATGTCGCTCTACATGGCAGTATGAGAGTATGAACGTCAATACCACTCGAGCCTCTCTTCCCCTTGCCTGAGTGTCTGCGACTCCATCTCGGCCCAGACTGTCGATACGACCTCTTCACGTTCTCTAGGAATGCCTGTCGTCTTTCTTCATCCATGAACTTCGCGCGTGAACCGCTTGCAGGATTTTTCCATCTGCAGGATTGTTCCACCTGCAGGACTGCATATCGATATTCACACCTTTCCATCACTTCAAGCCACTCCGACGACCACAGGCGCAGCCGCGGCTCCTCCACATCCCACCACTTCGCTCATATCGCCCGGCACGACCTGTCCACTGCCCTTGGCGAATCCTTCGTTCCTCACAAATCCAGCTCTCTCGTTGTAGAACTCGTCCAGAATGGGGTGGATCAACACATTCCGCTTGTGAATCGTCAGGACCGAGTTTGTCGGCACCGTCACCCAGTTGTCCCTCTCAAACGTCAACGGCTCCGACGCTACGAGCACAATATCCGCACCCTTATCTCTCCTCTCCRTCTTGTACTCTCCCTTTCCAATTCCAGCCCTGCCTCCCGTGCTTGGCGTCGTCTCCCTCCAATTTGTCCCCGAAGAAAAGAACAGACTCGCYGCCTCATCCGTCTTGCTCGACACGTATCTTGTGCAAACCACGCTCTTCCCGTCCGTAATCGCAAAGTTCAACAACGACCTCACCTCTCCTCCCTCCCTCGCACTGGCCGGCAACGACTTGATGTACCCATTGATCCTCTCAATAGTCCTCAACATAGCCCTCCTCAACACTGTATGTCCGAACCCATCTCTCTGGCGCACAGGATCATCCGCGTCGACACCCTCCTTCTCCAAACTGTCCATGAACAACGCAAAGGCCCATTCCGAATCCGTAGAGCCCTGCACACCTTCGAACCATCGATCCGCAACATCCGAGACCAACTTCCYCTTCACTCCCAACTTCCAACCCCCAATCCCACCATTGTGCATCCACATCAAAGCGCCACGGCTAAACGGATGACAGTTACTATCACTCAGACTACCCTCAGTGGAAGCCCGTACATKAGCGAAGATGAGCGGCGACACGGTCTTGGAAGCCRAACGTGCGAGGTTGGAGCAATTCCACGCAGGAATAGTCGAGGTGAAGATACATGGTTCCGGTCCGAGATCGATGTCGTCCTGTTCGTCCTGTTTCACGGCGGCGGGATGTGTCTGTCGATGAGCCGGAGTAGCGGTGTAGTAACCCACTCCAAAGCCATCTCCGTTGTGCGGTCGAGTGTGATCGATTCGTAAGCGAGAGTCGTAGGATTGCGTGAGGATCGAATGTGTGGGCGAGGTGATGAGGTGAGAGAGCAAAATGGGCGAGTGGCCGCTGTAGATAAGGAAGCGGCACATGATGGTGGGAGATACGACGGTCCTTCGTTTCTTCCCGGGTCCTTCCCCTCTTTTCTCCAATGAGCTACCACACTTCTTTTCTCCGCACGCCCTGGCCTGGCCTGGTCGGGGGCGGTATGTGTGATTTCCGAGCTAGGGTCGTTCAATGCCGGGTGATGATGAGATGGATGTGAGGAGTCCGTGAGGGGTCGTTCCACATCCCGCGCCGAAGACAAAGACGATCCCAGCCGCTTGGTGCCTACAACGTGTTCCAAGACACGTGGAGATCGATGTTCAAGGCAGGAACCGGTTGGTGGGTTCCGAAGCGGTGGGATGTTGTGTGGATGCACGATTCCAAGAATAAACACCAACGGCCGATTGTCGACGGGAGCTATATCGTTGATGATCACGTGCCCATCTCCTACCTGAAGTACATGTACTCATGGCGTGATCGCACAACGGTATGACATGCACACCGATTCCTTCTCAATTTGGAAGAAGCGACTTTGTAAGGATTATTTACCATTACATTCTCATTCTCTCAAACATCTGGAACATTTTTGGCCCTCCCTTTCGTCCACAACTATAACCCAACCCGTCTTGGTCAGACGTCATAAAAGCAAAATGCCTTCCACATTTTCGTTTTCCGCTTCAAAGAGGTATGCAGGTGTTGGAACTTTTGATGAAAACCTCCGGTCTCGTTTGAGGTTTCATGAGAGCCAAACGCCAGACTCAAAATGCAAGTTGAGGACCTGCGATTGCTTCATATCCAGGCAGACTAGACAATGATTGGCGTTGCAATTGTCGAAGAAGAAGAACTTGGTTTCCAAAAAGGCCGTTGCGTTCATAAAATCTCCTTCGATCACCCCCTACATGGAATGGCAGGATGCTTCAGCTCGGCGGTCCATGTGCGAGGCCTCGTTCTCGAGGGCTTTGGCCATGACATGCGTGACTGTCATGCGAGTCAGTAATCACCTCCCAATCTCACCAATCGGAGTGCAAACTTACTTGGCCAGATAACAGCCTTCTCCAACATCATAGCCGTAACCCGCAGGATCCTGCTTCCCACACCAAACTGCCCGAGATCCACTCCATTGTGGGTGGAAGCAGCCATCGCTGCAACGGCATTTTGATCGGACAGTCCGCCCATATCCATCGAGAGTAGATTCTCCTGCTCCCTCCTCTTCCCTTCTAGCACACCGCAAACACCCTCAATCTTCCGCAGGAGCTCCGCGTCCTCCGTCTCAAGAAGCATGATTGCAGGAACTTGGGTGTACTCCACTGCGTCTCTACCTAGAACTCCCAGATATTTCCCAACCCGCTCCTGCACAGTCGTGCACCACTCTGCGAGAACTTGCACGCAGTCGAAAAAACAAATGGCCGATTGGATTGGTAACTCGTGAGCCGTGGGGTCCGCGTAGGTCAAGTTGAACCGACAGGCCACACTCAACGAGTCCGCGGCATAGAAAGCCGCTTTCCTCAAGTGCCGTTCCCGGCGGGACTGCTCGGCTTTGTTGTCTGTGCTACCATGGTCATCAACGGGAGATAGGAGCAGCTTGCTGCCATGGCCGAGCGCTTCGGCCATTTGATCGAAATCGCGCCTCCAGAAAGCCTCTGCTGTGCGACCCATATCGACGTATAATCTGACAAAGGCGAGATCCAAAAGTGGAATGCTGTCAGCGGAGAGAGGACCAAGTCCGAACGGATTCGGACGTTCAAGCCGATGATGCTCGTTCGCTTTCCATGCTGTCTGCCAAGCATTCAACGCAGGTTCGATGTATGCAACCATCGACTCTGTCTCTTGCATCGTCCATTCCCGACGACGGGACCGAGTCTCCCAAATGTAATTGTGAAGAGCATTAATGAGAACAAGACACCCAAATGTGCTGGGCTTAATGTCATCTTCTGGGCTTGGTGTACCTGGCTGGCGTTGATGCGCACTGAGAAGAACGCTAAGGGCAGTTGCGAAGGGAATGGCGCCAGCCTCTACTGCTGCCATACCACCTAGCGCCTGCCAGCTTTCCGCTGAAGGCGCATTGTACAGCTCCTCGGCACAAGGAAGGTCGAGCAAGATTTCCGAGTTCATGATCGTAGGAGTCTGGTTGTAGGAAGTTGTGAGTAAGCTGGAAAGAATGAAGATGCCAAAAAGGCAGCGCTTTCGCTCTTCGCTCAATTTCCACTTGGTCCACTGCGCGTGCAGATCATCTTCTGACTCTCCGGACGCAGCAGCATCAGACATGTCGACATCACCGCCCTTGGCTTCCAAATCCTCTTCCGAGGCATCTGGCGACATGGGAGGTTGCGCCAGGTTAGCCGCTCTGGCTAGACTGACCAGCGCCGCAATATGATTGCTGGCGATGTCAGCGGCAAGGCGATCTCCGCAGTGGTGACCATATATGACAGTGAGTAGCATCGCTTGGACCAGCCAAAGCGGCGTTTCTCCGCTGCCTGCAACCGATCCGTTCACGGCTTTGGACATGTCWGCTTTGCGACGTTCCTCCAAGTAGAGCTGGATCATCTTCTTGGCAGCTTCGAACAGCCCCTTGGACGCGGGATGATCGTACTCGTATAGTGCGCCAATCGCCGCCATTCCCAGGATGAGGCATCTTGCTCCTCCCGTCCGGCCGCTTTGATTCGTACCAGGCGGCGATGGGTTCCCATGAGATCCAGTCGCGGTCTCGATGCCATCAAAGGACAGCGTGGGGATATGCGTGAGCGGGAGATGTGGTAAGGCGTATCGGACGAAGGCATCGATGTATCTTCGGATGTCCGCAGTGTCGGGTAGAGTGGGCCCCTGGGTTTGCGAGCTACCCCTACCGTTTGCTGGGGACAGCGGAGAGCTCACATTCGGCTGCGAATATTTTCGTGCATTGTGGACGCCAAACACGGAAGGTTGGCAAAGGCTAGAGAGTAGCGCTTGCCGTGTTGATTCGGTGATGGAGTCTGTAGATATGGAGGTCACTGAGCTCTGCCTTGCACTGCCGCTCATGGCGGATGATGCAATGCTGGGGCTGTTGGAGCTAAAGTTGGTCAAAGTGTTGCCAAACAAGTTCGCAGAGTGCCCCTGCATCGTATCTACAGGCAGCTGCACATGTGCGTTTGGCTGCTGGTGCATTCCATTCTGCTGCATCATGGCGTGGTGGAAATACGCATCCCCGGTCGGCGTAGGATCGTGTAAGCTTGACGGGGACACGGTCCCGTTGAGGCCAAGGTTGGGCAGTCCATTCCCCAGTCCTTCCAGATGGAAGGTCMCTGTGGACATGCTCCGAGGGTGCTGCTCCTGTTGCTGCCATTGGAAATTGTTCTGCATCGGCAGTACTGGTTRGCTGCTGGTCATGCTCTCCGAGTAGTCACCGGGGCTGTCACCACTGCTCATTCGCGAAGGCGACGACTCTTCAATCGCCTGTTCATTCTCTGGGCCGCCATTCATCTGCATATTCCAATTGCGCATCCATCCAAAGTCGTCGTCGATTGGGACATGCTGGTTCGTGCTAGGGTCAAATCCGAACGGAATGTTAGAGGACGTAATAGCACCCGCTTCGCCGTAGTGCAGTGCAGCGGGATTGATCGTCGTGTTGGGCGGGAATAGCTGATCGATGTCGAAACCACCAAAGCTGCCAGCGGGTGGCGCTGTTCTCAGTGAGTTTGAAATGTCCAGGTGGTTGATGTGTGTATCGATCTTGGGCAGGCCGTGTATGTTGCCATGGCTCCCGAGACCGTTGTTGGACATGCCATTGAAGTGATATCCAGAGCCCGGCATGCCTCCCATTCCAATGTTCATGTGGTGGCCCATTCCGACGGGCATACCGAGCGAACTGACCCGGCTCAAACTCAAATTCGCCTCGGAATTGTCCAGCAGGCCAAGAGAAGACATATCAATATGGCTGATTGTATTTCTTCTGGAATGGTTTACATTCATCCCAGCACCTCCGACATTCGCATTCGCCATGGAATTCTTGCGGACCTTGGCTGCGCCAGGACCAGCAGCGCTTTCTCGCCTGCCATTGCGAGGTTTTGTGGCAGGACCAGTCATGTGAAGCTTCTGCTGGTGGCGCAATAACAAGTCTCTGCGTGCAAAACATCTTGTGCATTCCGGACACTCAAACGGCTTCTCCTTGGTATGTGATCGTTCGTGCCGTTTCAGATGCTCCAGCCGAGCGAATGATCTTGTGCACGTAGTGCATATGTGTGGTCGTGGTTTGTCGGTCTTCGGCGGGGGGAATTGAGTAATGCCATTTTTGACATTCGACTGTGGCGCATGTCCTGAGAGCTCCGTGTCAGTTGCAGTGTTCCATGCCTCACGCATACTTTGCTACTAACCCTCTGTTGTCGCTGTTACATTAATGATTGAGCTTGGCGACTCGACCTCCAGCTCCTCTTTAAGACCAGTTTCTGCTTGCATGCTATGATATGTACACTGCTCTAGGATGTTGAGGCTTCTGGTTTCGCAACCGAGGGAACGTTTATGCGATGGTGACTTTTAGTGATCCGGCAATACCAGAAGCGAAGATGAAAGGACAGTGGCGAGATCGTATCGACCGCGTGCGTGAGTACAGCTTCGTGGAGAGGAATGTCGAAAGTGTGTTATACAGAACGGACTGGCATCCGCGGGCCAAAGCACTCGCGACCGACGTCCGATCAATCGTATAGCTCCGGAGGTAGCGGCGCAAAGATTAACAAGTCAAGGGTGTCTTGTGGGAAGCTTGAAGAGCAGGACTGTGAAAAGGATACAATGATACCGCCGTCTTCAATACTGTTGGCGTGCAAATGACAAGACCTCCGAGAGAGTGACCTGTGGGCGAAAGACTGGGATGCTTTGCGATGGACCCTACCAAACACAACGCTTTCGTCAGCTGGCATCCGAAGGTCAGGCTAGCAGATAGAGTTTTTAGCTCCAGCCGCGTTCTGTGACCTACTGGTACTCCCAGAGGCGAAGGCCTTTGCGGGAAAGCGTAGAACTCTAACGTGCAGCCGTTCTCGACCCTCCCGACTAGGATGGGCTAGGCTTTGGCGTGCGAGGTACSGGGACGTGACTGAACCTCAAATATTGTTGCGTGCAAGAGGTGAAATTGAAACAAGCACAGCCAATACGATGGATGGATTGGGAAAACTCTGGGGTTGTCTGGGGAAGGTTGATGATTTGCAGGGAAATACTTGACAAGAGAAATAGTCTCACGGGTCTTGTTTCCGGGCCCGAGGCTAGACGAYGCCGATTTCAAACTGGAAATTGATGAGCCACAGTCGCAAGCAATTGATGCTCGCTCTGACTGTGTCTGCCGCAAGAGAAGGGCGATTCCGGGTCAAGACCGCTGCTTCGTAGCGGCCATCTCCAGTGTCCACATAATAATCATCATCAGGGCCTGTCGATGAATTGAGATTCGAGCGAGGTTGTGCAAGCATCAGACTTGCGAGGATTGGCTCACGAGCTTCTCAAGGCTGCGGTTCGTATGCGACAAGGAAGCAGTAGCCTAGCTCGGAAAAAGTGTGGGACCGTCTGTGCGATCCCCAATGACGACCCTGGCCCCATCACACTGGGCTCTCTGTCAAGGTGTTACCAACAATCCGAACCACGATATCCCAGGCTACCCACAAGCCCACGCTGCATTCGTGCAGCAAGCGAGACGACCACACCATGCTTGCCGCGTGAAGATTTTATACATGACCGGCGGTGTCGTTTTCGATGAATTCCAGTGTTTTGTGTAGTAAGCATCATGCAGCTGAGCTCATATGCCGAGAGTTGCATTGGCCGAAGATCGRCTCAAGGATGCGCGGAGCAACTTTCACAACAGGAAAGCGCCAAAAACCCGCGATTCAACGTCGCAACTGTGGCCGCTGGAGTGGGCCAACGTGGTACCGCCGCAGTACCTACCTTGCCATCATGCTCGCCCCGGAGTTCCGGGCTAGATCATGCCGAAGGGTCTAGCATGATTAGGGCATCTCTCCCGGCGCGGCATTCCGATGATTGTTCATTGCTGTGATGAGACGATGAGCCTTGTCTAGCAACTTCTGCGGTGCTGCCAACACCACGATGAGTAGCCGGATCAAGTGTGCCTGTGACCCTTTGTCCGCGCCACCTGCCCGGCTGTTCCGCACGTCATGAATGTCAAGGCGGCCGTCAGTAGCTTTTGGCGGAGCTAGCATTGTGGAACACTTCACCCTTGTTGGTGTTCAACAAGCGCTTTGAGAGGACATTCTCGATTCTTCCAGTTCGAGGGCGTGGACACTGCTATAATCTGTTGTGCCCGCGCTCTGTCTAACGGGAGGAAGGAGGGCGCGATATCCGAAGACGCTCCAAAGCATCCCAGCGCGGCCCGCTCTCCAACAAAGCATCTTGAATCTTCGCCCAGCGTGTCGCACGAATCAGAAAGGCGTTGACGGACGGCAATGCTCCACAACCTCCTGGCCAAGCCAAAAGCCACGCTACAGGCCGAAAGGCGGGGACACGCTAGGTGCTAGCTCGTGGAGAAGAGGTCAAGTCTTGGGTTAGATCGCCGAGATTGGGAGTAGTCATTGGCGGACTGAATGCAAGGGTCTCGGGCACAGCGTCTCGCAAGAGGCGAGAGTGGTCCACCGGCACGCGACGTCGGTGAGCATGGCCGTCGGCGGAACCTCGACGGCCGGCTTCGTCGTTGGCAAGAATGTTTGGTGAAGTCCAGAGATTGACAGATGGTGTTGAAAGCGGCTTGCGCCTAGCGGCAGTCAGACGGTAGTCGTGACTGCCTTCACGTCAAGGTACACTTGCCATGTTGAAAGACATCAAACAACTCCGGCGTGCTACACGGAGATTCATCATCCCATCTCTGCCCCAAAGCGCACATGCCGGAATGGTCGCCGCGCTCGCTGCCCTCGTCTCCACAGCGGAGGCTGCCCGCTCATACAGACCTGTTACAGCGCATGGCCTCTTGCAACGACACAAATCACAACTCGCTGTTCCTTGCGTCGCTAGCAGTAGGCGAACAGGGGTGACCTCGTGCTCTCCAAGCGAGTACGCGATCTTCAGTGGTCTGAAGAAAGCTTTGATTCGCTTACTGCGGCCGCAGAGCACGCCAAATCATTTATGCACCAGTTAAGATTCGCCAGCAATCAATAAAATCGTAGTCGAGGCTAATAAAGAGTGCCGTTATGGATCGGCCAGCTAAGTGCGCTTCGGGCGGGAAAGCATTCGCGTGGCCTTTTTCTTAGTGGCGCGGTCTACGGYCAGCCATCGTCGATGGCACAGATGAAATCATGATGGACGCTAGATGGCATAGCTGTTTGATGAGTGGGAAGCTCTTCATCTTGCAGGAGGGCATGTGATGTGATGGCTGCCCATAACACTGCTTCAAGGCACAGTCGATCTCACAGTAGAGAGTCAATATTGACGTCGATGTGCCCCACCATTTGCCCCGCGAAGTACATGAATACATGCAGGCGACATGCAAATGCTACATTTCTTGTCAGTGGTTCGCAGCCAGCTCCTCTTCGTAGGGGTTGGCTCCACACTTCCAAACATCGCATTCACTGTTTCTGAGTACGCTTGCGAGTCAGTCATATCCGACCGCGTGGTGCTAAGCGCTGTCACCAAGGGGTCCGCTCCTGTATGAAGGCAGACTTTACCTTTAAAAGGTGGCTTTGCAGGGATCATCTCCCCTGCTTGCACATTGGATTTTGAGCAGCATATCTGAGAGATCAGAATCGACATCTTGATTTCATAGGGAGCGTTGGTCGCTCCGCTTGACTGACTCTACGGGTGCCCGGCGGGCCAAGGCCCACGACAGTGGAGTGGTCGGATTCGCCTTTGGATAGCTTTGTCGTTCGAGGTCGCCTCTCCGTGAGCGACAGCGAGGCGTCGCTTCTATRGACTTGGGTTGGCGAATTTGTGGGGAGCTTTCATGCGGGATAGCATGAAATGGCGAATCCCGGAAAAGGACCTCCATGTCACCACAATATCACCGCCCAGATATCGCTGCGGGATATAATCGCGCAAACGCGAGTCTCTTCCGCAGTATGACGGAAGTTTGAGCCATTCATTTCTTGCCCTTCTTCTTCTTCTTGTTACCTCCGCCGGCTCCTTGCTGTTGAGGTTTCGCATCACTTGTAGGGAGCGCTTCCTTCACTGTATCCACCACCTTTTCCAACATGGTGGCATCCTCCATATGTGTGTCGTGTGCTGTAGATGGTCAGCGAGAGGCCGTTATTGTTGCACTCAGTGGTGCGATCATGTCTTACTCTCAGCCTTCTCCGGCAACGCCGCCATTTGTCTTCCCATCCGACCCAGACTGCCAATCAACCGCCCCACCTCCGCCGCACGATCTGTCTTGAACTTCAATACCACGCCGGACTCGGGGTCATAAGTCTTCAACGTTAAAGTTGCTCGGGGCACGCGAGGCCCTGCCGGCGCWTCTTTGTCTTCGTCCGTTGTATCCCTTTTCCGCTTCTTCGTCTGTGCGTATTTCGGTGAGTCAAGGTTGGGAATATTGTATTTGGTCGTTATTCGTGTCTATTTGTTGCTGTCAGTACGATGGTCTGGAGCGGGGATCATCAGGACACTTACGCACCGTCGTGGGCCGTGCTTGCAGCAGAAGTGCCGTCTGGCGCTGCCATTCTTCGCTCGTATCCAGTGCCACCATTTTGTTGTTGTCGGTGGGACGGTGTGGTGTCGCGCGCAGTGTCGGCGGAGGTGGAGGCTGCTAATAACGATTGGATATGAGAGCCAAGATCTTGCGCTAGTGCCTTCCGAATTAGTCGACCAGGCTTTCTAGCAGTCATCAACATCAACATCAACATTTTATACGGAACGCCTCTCCACAACGGCTTCAATCCACTATTCGTTGAAGTGGTGATTCGTGCCCTCCAAAAGTCGACGCTGAGCTGAGAGGTCCAAGGCCCGGTGGATCGAGGCTGCAGCAGTCGGTGTTGTATTTTCTGCAACAACGACAACACCATTCAAAACTCATCATTCGACGAGTGATTAGACTCTTCGCAGGCCTTCTTCTTTTTGTGCTTATAGCTACCTATTCACAAGCTCCGTCGTCGACTCAACACAAGGAAAGCCCACAACCTTCAATTTTCCCGTCCCTTGGTCCACCAATCTCGAACACCGTATCAAACATGGAAGAAGACGCCCCTGAGGATGCCACCTCGATTGGGTTAGCCATTGAAAGACTCACCAACCGGGCCAAGACTCTTCTGTTGGAATTGGAGACGTTCCGCAACCATCTCCGTAGGATACGCCAGGAACAAGATGTCGAGCTGGTAAGTAGGTCAATTGGAAGTCAAGAGGCACGGGAAATTGAAAAGAGGCATCCCACGAGAAATTTGAGCATCTTATGCACGAGGGGCTCTTTGTGCATCTGAGATCTGCAGTCGTCTCGGAGATTGTTCAAATTTTGTCGCTGACCATTTCATCCTCCGCTCTTAGGCACACTTCAGAGGCGCTGTACAATCGGAAGTCGGGATGCTTGAAAGACTCTCCAAGAAGCTGGACGATGTGAATACTGGCCACGTCGCTCGTTCCTCCAATGTTCCGTTCCTCGAGAGCGTCTGGGACAACGCGAAGAAGTCCCATAAACTCAAGTCTGTGCAAAAAGTGCTGTATTTCAACTCTCCGAGCAAGTCTTTGTCGCAAGCCATGCGACATGTTCGTATTAGAAGTGGGAACGAAGCAAAGAACGCAAAAGTCACAGTGGATATAATCTCTGATGGCGGTTTGACATGGACTAAATTCTCATCCATCACAAATAATCGCTTGATTTTCGACCTGGCGAAATTAGGCTGGCAATCCGAAGAGGATTCCGAGAGCGAGGATGGCGGAAATACCGATGAAGATGATGATGACGATGATGTCCCTCTTGTCAAAATGGTCAAGGAGCTATGTCAAGCCGCACGAAGCTATCGAACCCGAACGAAAATGCCTGTGGTACATCTTCTACTACCTAGAATCAAGCTTGGAGAAACGAAGCAGATCGATAGCATTCTCGATAAGTGTAGGAGAGCTGGAGCCATCGTCTTCACCGGCAATGACATCAAACCTGCTCCCGCACTCGAAGATGCTTTGTCCGCAATGGCCCCGGATCCATTCTCCACATTCAGCGATACACTCAACATTGACTGTACCATCCTCCTGGCTTTGGTTTCGGAGTTCTCACACGCTCGAGTGGCGAAAGAGGCCTGGTTTCACAAAGGATTGCAAAGACAAGTTGAGATAGAAGGCAACGAGAATCTGCTCCCGGCTCTATTGTATCCAGCGCTAGGAGCTCGCAGGCTGGTCTGCACACGTGAGGCTGCGAAACGAATGCGGGAAATAGTGGCAACGATAGGTACTGCCTCGGAAAAGGCGCGGACGGAGATACTGTTGAGTGGCGACAGCTCAAAATCGAGAGGGGATCTCTCGCAGGAGATGCAAGAATGGAGCGCATATGCCGTTCCAGATGAATGGCAACTTCCAGTTCAGATTGTGGAAGAAGACGAAGACAACTGCATGGCAAACCTATCGCCTGCAGCCGTGGCCGTTGGAGCAAAGATGACGTTGATCAATCGATCCGTCTTCGTTCATGGCTGGGCTACTGGTAGAACTACCATCACCAGCAATCGTGCAGTCGTCAAGCAAATCGAAAATGACCTGGAAAAGTTTGAAGATCTAGACGAGTCAGTCTGGCCGAGCATATGGCTTTGCCCCACGGCAAGATCTCTAGTAGGCAAGGAAAAGGAGAAGAGATCTTCAAAGAAGGAAGATTGGGAACCTCGACCGAAGACTCTGCCGGACCCTCTTACCCGCGAACAGCAGCGGAGGAATGGCTTGGATGTGCTTTCGGCCCGGGAGGGGCGAGAGGTGGAGGATTTGAGACCCAACGGATATCCTTGCGAAGAAGTAATCGCGGCGAAGAATGCAGCTCAGCTTGGCAATTCGAGCAAGAATGGAACTGGAACGTGAGGATAAGGCCATTTCCGCAACGTCAATGTATCGTCATCGAACGCAGCAGATCTTTGAAGGGATAGCGAAACGGAGCAACAGCGAGAGCGGTTTTGATACAACGCAGTCCATTACAGCGTGGTGACGCTAGTAGCATGAGCATCGAATCGCCGACACATTCGAAGACAACCACGCTGGAGTCGCAAGCGCTTGAATTTATATCGTTCAAATCGTGCGGGTATTTCTAGCCAAATGCAACGACCTTCATTGAACCTGGATGTTTGACCAACAATGGAATGCTCCTCTTCGGAAAGCGCCGACACGGTGCGTCGCTAATGACACTACCAATGTCTTCACGCCAAGAAGATCTCCCAAATCATCCTCAAGCCTCCAATCGCTTCACTTGGATGGGCCTGACCGTGCACTGTCCATCCGGTGCGGCTTGGCTGGAACGATAACTTCCTCCGTGTCCCAGTCCTGTTCTTTTCCCTCCGTGCCTTCGTACTTGATGATCTTATCCCAGTTCCACTTCTTGCGCTTCTCAGACTCGACCGTTTCTTCAACCGGATCGTCCACAGCGATCGAGCTCTCCACATCCATTGCATCTTCTATATCCATCGGATCATCTGCAGTTGTCTCCTCTCCTTCGAAGGTGTAGAGACGCTCCCAGTGTTCCCGGACCGTAGGTTTCACCATCCAAGCTAGCTCGGAGCTCAAGAGAGTAGCGAAGAAGCCGTCGACCTTGTTTTCCGTAAAGTCTCTGATGGCAAGCAAGAGCACAGAGGCGCCATCAAAGTACATGTTCGGCTCGGGATAGGCGTTCGGCCTGTGAAGCTCCTTGAGAAACTCGTCATTCGCATGTCCAATCCGGTACACGAATTGCGCAAGCTTGATCACAATTTCCTGATGCATGATCTTCATATCTGGCGGCGTGAACAGTTTGTACTCGTGGGCGAGCTGTGCCAGATCGCCAATCAGACCGGACCATGGATACTCGCTTTCCCCCAGAAGGAGCTGGAGCTTGGCATAGAGGTCTTTGTTGTGGACCACGGCGGTGAAGCATTCCTTCAGTAGTGGCAGCACTGTCTCAGACCGGAGCCAATCCATCAGCTTGTGTTCTGTCATGTGAGAGGGATGCTGGAAGCTCTTGCAGAGCACGTCAAGGCCGAATGGCCGCGGTACCACGACTTGCTTTCTTCGAGGACCGGGTCTCATCTTCTCAAACACCTTGACTCTGGAGGGAATGCCAAGAGCTTTTCTGAGCGCCTCGACGTGCATGTCAATGGGCACCAATTCAAGCAGATCTTGTTCAGATGGCCCATAGTTCGGCGCGGCAGGCGCCTTGCGCTTCGATCTTCCGTTCGGATAATACTCCTCGCCGTCCATGGCCGACGTTGCAAGATTCTGACCTTTGAATTCCCGCAGTCTGATGTCCCATTCGGGAAGACTGCTCATCGCCAGCTCTTTTTCGGGAGGAGGTACGACCACTCCATCGATGATTGGTGCTCGTAATCGATCGTAGCGCGCCTTACGCGATTCGATCTTGAAGCGGCCGTCGGATTTGTGGCGATAGTAATGGTTGATGCATTCTGATGCTTTTCGACCGGGGAGAAGCGCGGCTATCTTTCCAAACTTGGCGGGAGTATCCTGGAATGCCAATGCGAACTTGAGGTGCTCTATTGGGGTGAAGCGAGGGTTTGCCGGGCTGAAGTTGAAAGCCTGCGTTGCGCGCGCCGGATCGATCAGGTGGTTTGTATCTGTGAGGCTGCGGCGGTCAATGTGGCGCTTGGGGTCGAGGAGCTTGCCGTCGTCATCGCGATGCCTGAATTCGCGTTTCCTGAACTCGGCGGCTGCCTTGGTCTCGGGATACGATGCGATGAGGTAGCCGTTCGCCTTCTTGTCGTTGTCGATGGGTTCTGTGCCGGCTGGACCGGAGGAGGAGGAGGGCGGTAGCTCGGGGTCGCGCGAGATCTTGATGCGACTCGGTCTACGAGATGCTGTGTAGCTATTCATGATTAGTACGAGATGCGCATCGGGTAATGTTCATGATTGTAGTGGTGCAGCTGATGGATTGGATGGATCCTTAAGTAGGTACACTGATTTGCACTCGGGCCTTGGGTGACTAAGTAGGGAACCAGAGTTGCTCTTTCCATTCACCTACGACCGTGGCGACTGCCAAGCTGGAATGCAGTGGTCGAAGCTCGAGTGCCAAATTAGGTGGCTGGCTCGACATTGTATTCACTTCATTCTCCACTTCTAGTTAGTTCCGCCTACATTGCCGATCTAACGCCCTGAATGTCAACTACACAAGATACTTTTGGCGTACCAAACTASCAATATACAGTTTTACCAGGTTCAAATCCGAGTGGATAACTGCATTATCATGGAAAGTTCGCACAAAGTATACGTCGATGATACCGTTCAACGTGGCCTTCTATTGTACYTTTCGGTACCGAAGTTGGCGACCTTATCGTTGCGCACGGGGCTCGCGCCTCGGGGATGGCAGTGCTTTCAGAGCTTGTTCGAGGCTCGAAAGGGTTTCCCAGAACGCACCTCTCACCCTGTCTAATTTGAAGCTCGCCTCGTTCCAAAGGCATGTTTTCTTCCATCATCCAACAGTGACCGCATTCCCACCTCCAAACTTTCCTTGCGGACCCTCCAAATGTGCATCCAGTACAGCACTTCTGCCGGCCTGCACAGCTTCCATTGCCTCCTTCAGCTTCACGTCCAGTTCTTGGGCAGTGGATGCAACTCCAGCCCAGCACTTGCCACCTGACGCAGCCCTAGCAATCCCAGAGTAATCAGGAGTGGGCGCAAAAGAGATGTTCAACTCCTTGTTGTCAACTTTTGATCCCTCGCCATCGGGATGGACAAGAAGCAGACTTTTCCTCGGTGCGTTCCAGCCTGGAGGTACAACATCAGCATTCTTACGATCATTATTAGACAAGGAAGAGATGACACTGACCCTGGTTGTTCAACACGATGGTCAAAACCGGTATTCCATACCTCTCAGCTATCCAATAAACGGATCCAGGAACCGAGAACAGATAGGTGCCATCGCCAACAATCTGACATACGAATCTTCCTTTGCCCTTCCCTCCTGCAATGTCGTCTGCTGCGAGTTTCAACCCCAGAGCTGCACCACCGCTCCATCCAAGGCCACCTCCGCCACAGTTGATCCACGAGCCCGGAATGGTGGGTTGAATCTGGTCGTTCACGAAGGCAGCATTCGTCACCGCTTCAACAGCCCAGATGGTATCTTTCGGCAAAGTCTTCCGTACTTGCGCTATCAGCCATGAGGTTCCGAAGCTCCCGTCGTCAGCCACTTGAGCCTGTCCTGAGATGGTCTGAAGACGCTCTTGGTAAGATTTCTGTAGAGCTGTCCAGCGGTCTTCGAAAGTCTGAGAGGAGATGGTGTCTTGCATGTTGGCCTTGATGTGGTTTGTTATCTGCGTAAGAGCCGTTTCGGAGTCTGCCTTGTATCTTGCAAGAGCGTTAATATAGTAGACTGGCATCTGCTGTTTGAGCGGATCGACATCGATGTGATAAATCTTCGCTTCCTTCTTGGGATGACAAAGTGTGTTGATCCAAGGCACATCGCAGTCAATCACGAGGATGACATCGGCGGTCTTGATACTATCCTCGACTCCATAGCGTAGACCAAGCCAACCGGGATGGTCTGCTGGGAAGTTCAGATCGCTGCCTCCTGTGTCAAGGACACGAAGACCTTTGACCGTATTTGCCAAGTCAACGAGAGCGGTGACTGAGGCGTGGTTCCTGCCACTGTATCCAGTAATGACAAGCGGTTGCTCTGCATTCACAAGAGCTTCAGCGATCAGCTTTGCCTGCTCGACCCTCAGTCCTCCTAGTTCGACCGGGTTCCAAAAGGCTTGCTCAATCTCGTATGGCTCAATTTCTTCCTCCATAGCTTCACGAGCACCGCACAGATATACGGGACCTCGTGGCTCACTCATCGCAAACGAGAGTGCCCGATTGACCAACTGCTTCACGTTCTTTCCCCGTTTGACTTCTCCCGAGTAACGACAATACTGCGAGACGATAGCCTTCTGATCAGGAACATCTTGAATCCAGTGAATATATTCCGTCCGACTGCCTCGATACTCTCCCTCGATCGTATACGGACTTAACCCCGCAAAAATCAACACTGGAGCTCGTCCACATGAAGCATTGTGTATCGCTTGTCCGAGAGCCTGGGTTCCAACATCAACATGTACAATGACACATTGAGGCTTGCCGGTCAAACGGGCATAGCCATCTGCCATTGAGGTAGCGACCATTTCATTCGGGCAGGTAATGATCTTCGGGAATTGGCCTTGCTTTTCATTCTGACCTTTGACGATTGCCTCGATGATAGAAGGATGGTCCGATCCGAGATTGACGAAGCAGTGTGTCACTCCGGCGGACCAGAGCGCCTCAAAGAAGGCGAATGAAGCTGTGTACATTGTGAATGCAATGTGGAGAAGCAAGTGAATCTGTTACGACAGCAGGTGTTTGTCGCTGTGGAAGGTACACTCTGAAGTGACACAAGGTGATTAGAGAGCCCTGTCTGCCGAGTTCACTTACCATGGTTGCGATATTTGTGAGAGCTGCTGTGGATCTCAATGATGATGGGACCCTAGCACTTCAGGCATATTTCCCCGCAGGAGTTTGTGCGGAATGGCGCCGCTCGGTAGAAGTTACCTATTCCGGGTCCGACCTCGGCAGACGTTGCCGGCATGTGACAAACGAAGGGCAAGTGAATGAAATATCTCGTAGTAACACAGGGACAACCATGAACGAAGTGAGTCCTCTTGAGATCATTTTAGGTCGGACTTGGGGGATTATTCCGACGTGGACATGACTCCAAAAGAGATCCGGGCACTGCTCATTGGCGAAGTCCCATGGTAACTGATGGAGAGTCTCGGGCAGGAGCGGTTCTGCGTAGGAATCCTGGCATTGCGTGCCATACTGTTAAGCAGGCTCGGGCTTTTACTCGTGAAGCAAGATATATACATGTACGTAGCTGCATATGTTCTATGATCATTTCCAAGGCTTCTGCAACGCCACGAGTACTGCCGTGTCCTATGATATCATGTTCATCATCATGGTTTGGAGTCATTACCGACCTCCAACTTCCTAAGCAACTCCTTCACTTCTTTCATTCCAACGGGCTTTGAGTAGAAATCATCTACCCCGCTTGTGAAAGCCTGCTGCTGGGCGTCCTCGCTTGTAACGCCAGTGAGAGCTGCAATGTGACAACGCGGGAGCTTTCGCTTGTGTTCCGTTTCGCGTATCTTGACTGTTGCGGTAAGTCCATCCATTACCGGCATGCTAACATCCATCAGCACAAGCAGTATTGACGGCGCTCTGTCGCGGTATATGTTCACTGCCTCGCGACCGTTCACAGCGCAGAGGAAATTGTATTTGAGTTTGCGCATGAGAGCCATCAATAGCTTCAAGTTCACTTCGTTTTGTTAGCAATGCGTGGCGTTAGGACGACAAGGTTCGCTCGTATTACTGACCTTCGTTATCCTCGACTAAGAGAACTGTATCTCGAGCACCATTCCCTCCAGTATGCTCGTGCCATGCTGTGCTATCGATCGAGTTGGAGCGCTCCGTGGTAGCAGAGTTGAGCACACTAGGCGGTCCAGCCGAGAACGCTGCACTCGAAGCTGCGGACTGATCTGTCGAAATTCCTGGCACACTTGACTTACGCCCGAGTCGGGGTTTCTTGTTCCAAGGAAAGAATTCTGCAGGCATACGATCCATACTGGGAGGCCTGTCAGCAGCACCAGCTCCATACTCAAGCAAGCTAGCTGTCTGACGCCGTGGATGTGTCGAAATCATTCCCGTCGAGCTTTGATCATTCCTGATAGCTCGGAGAAGCTTTTGCGGACCAATCCTAGAGCATATGTTAGTCTTCGAATCTGGACCGGGAATAGAGTCTGTTAGAAGAGGGCACATACGGCTGATGTACGAATAAGGGTACGAATGGAAGCTCTTGGGAGGGCGCTTCAAAAGTAACGGAACGCATGCTTGAACCAAGCACAAGGACGTGTGATGGTGTCTTCTCTTTCCATCGTGGGGTACCCTGGCTTGCCCATGTCGACAAGTCTTCCTCCGCGATCGCGTATACAACTGATCCTCCGTCTTTATCGCTCGTCGGTCCTTTGGATACCTCGCAGTCCAGCCAGTCCCTTGCCGCCTGCACCACACTAGGTGCTACTGATCGCGGAGAAAGGTGAGCCTCTTTTGTGGGTGTAAACAAATGGAAGCAATCCACCTTCAAACTCGGAACTGCAGAAGCCACAGACCCCGCGATGAAATGTGCTTGAAGGTCGACTGTGGCACATGTTCCTTCGCCGAGCTTGCTGGTAATGTTCAAATGTGCCCCACTATCTTTGCAGATACGTCGCACGATAGACAGGCCGAGGCCGGTTCCTGAAGCATGGCTATTGGCCTGCTTGAACGGAGTGTATAGCTGCCTCTGGAACTGCTGTGTCATGCCTATACCAGTATCCTGGACCTCCAGTCGAATGTGTTCAATACTAGAACCATCTGTTACGTGCTCTCTTGTGTCTAGCCGTACTGCAATCAATCCTGCGGGTGTGTATTTCAACGCATTTCCCACGAGGTTACTTAATATCCGTGTCCAACTGCCGGGCTATCAATCGAGTCAGCTTCGTCTCAACTCCTCTGGGCACGGCATGTACGAACCTGAATCTTCACCATCCAGTTAGAGCGACGCCCAATGTTAATTGCAACGGATGGTACTGAAGGACTTTCCATGCGTGTTTTTCGAAATCTGTAAGCGTTGACGACAGTCTCGACAACCTCTTCGGTAAGCAGCGCTAAGTCTACGTTTGCCGTAACGCCCATCTCGGCGGAGTCGACTTTGGAATCGTTGGTGGTGTAATTTAAAGCATCCGCACCCTGGCGTTGCCTGTTCTGCGCTCTGGTGAAGCTCGAGATTTTGGCGTAATCGAGCACGTTGTCGATCGTAGCAAGCAGGGCTTTTCCGGCCATACCTATTGTATTTGACATTTCTCCTTGAAATGCTGTAAGCTCAGTCTCCTCTAGGAACTCAACGCTAGCCAACACGCCGTGCAATGGAGTCCTGAGCTCATGTGAAATGCTTGAAATAAAGGTCGACTTGGCGCGGTCTGCAGCCAAGGTCTGCAACCTACCCAACTCGGCGATTATCGAATGGCTCCAGGATGCAAGGTATATGATGTCCTCTGCCGGTTGGAAGAAGCGAAGAGGGGTTGTGCACCTGAAAAAACATGAAAGTCAGCACGCACCTCAATCATGACGGTACGAAAGAGGGCCGCCAGGCGCGATACTTCAAGTCGACATACCAAACAAACATTCCCGAAGACCATCTGTCTTGAGCTTCGTCCCACAGTGGAAAGAACGCGATCGTCTTGGCACCTAAATCATGCCGTTAGCGATGTCATGTCATGGGATCAAGCATTGTGTCCGAAATCCACATTATTCAGAAAGCCCGGTTGATTTGTTTGAAGGGAGAGAGCTTGAGATGACACGCACCAACCATGACTTTGCCCAATCGCCTGCCATCCCTTGGGGTGCGGAAATTTTTGGCGTGGGATTCGGAGTTCGATCCAGAAGCTGAATTGTCTTCGCCCGAACTTGAATAGCATGCTCCGTCTCGACAAAAGTTGAATATTTTGCCGTTTGGATTACGGCGTATGAGGGAGGCGAGGAAAGATTCCGATATGTCGAAGCGATAAGCAGTGTCTTCATGGTGGAGGCTAGAAAGATCTCTGGTAGAAAAGGCTTCGATCAAACAGTGGCGGTCGTTGGAGGATGCAGATGCTTCTGAGGTTTCATTGTCACTTAAGCTTCGCGGTTGGGAATGTGAGCTAGCGTCACTACTCTCATGCTTCAAACTGGGAACAATATCATGTCGCTTCTTGCTATGGGCGGCGGTTGCATTCAAGAACACGACGCCATCTGCACCAAGAGCTTGCCGTATTAGTTGACTGGCACGCGAGTACGTGTGACGACTGGCAGCCTCCAGATCGAAATTGGATCCATCTGGCATTCCGCTGTTCAATTTGCGTCGCTTTCCATGTCGACCCGAACTGGGCTCCAGCAGAAGCTTCGACATTGGAGCGCGTGGTGTGTCCTTGCTTGCGCCAAAATCCTGGGTTGACACTTTGGCCTCTTTGCGAGCTACGCCGGCGACATCGTTACGTAGAGTGGAAGCTGTGGCCGTAACGGGATCGCCATCCCCATCGCCTTTGTCCATTTCGCTATCAGAATCGACGTTCGAAGCTACCTCGTCGTGAGCACTGGAGGGTCCCGTCAACGACGATGATGAGACGTTGGTTCCAAACTCTGCGTCCGCGGCGTCCTTACTCGCCTGCTCCGTTCGCTGTTTAGCATGCCTACCGGCAGTGGCAATTCGTGAGGTTTCCTGATTTAGCCACCATTGACGCAAACTTGACTTGCCATTGTTGAACAGTCCCAAACTTTGGATGAGGCGTTCACTACGCCTGCGTTGCGAGCGTACCACGACAGCATCGAGATGCTGACAGATTGTGTCTGAGATGTCCTCCATGAATGACAGCTCGCCAGCACTGAGTCCATATCGAGGTGCGTCGTCCACTATGGTCAAGCACCCCAGGACAGAGCCTGTGGCAGAGCGTAAAGGAACGGCGGCGTAAAAGCGGACGGTCCAGGGACTACATCGCAGAAAGCCGTGGTGGGTCTGCTGACTCCCTCTGACATCGCTGATGATGTGCCAGTGCGGCGACATGCCCTGTTGATAGTAATAGCCATCCTCGGTGGGTGCTTCACGCCCGCTTCGAGCCCTTCTCCAGCCATCCATTGCGCTGCTCGCCATGCCTTCTTCCCTCAAGAAACTACATGTGCCTAGCCATGGCGTGTCCTTTGCCACGTCTTCAACACTATTGTACWGCAGGGAAGTCGACCTGCTCGCCTCGGCCAAGATGTATTCGGACGAAGTGGACAAGAGGTTTACAAAACACCGTCGGGCTGCCAGTCGATGGCATACCAATGATGCGAACGCGATCAATGCTGTGTCTGGACATGGCTCCGCTTCCGCCATGGTCATCGGCGCGCTGGCCTCACCGCTGGCGCCTCCGGGAAATGCATTGCGATGCAGCGCGGTGCAGCGAAACTCATGCGTCCAAGGATGCAGGTGCCTGTCGACACGCAGATCAGCTCCTGCTCCATGAAATACCAATGCCTTCTTTCCAATTCCAGCCCTCCGCGAGAGACTGTATTATGTATATAGGTGCGGTCGCCTCGATCGTGTTTATGCGGGAAGATCGCCGATAGATACGTCGTGATTGATTGTCGACCTGGGCGTCTTACCGGAACACATCTCTTTCTCGGCTCGCTTCTGTTTGGAGGCTCCGGAACCGTTGTGAGGTCTGATCTTGGTGCTTCATCTTAAAACTGGCCTGGTGGTGGAGGTCATCGCAAGTGGTCATAGCCATGTCCGACAAGCCTCTGCCGCATCTCGACGATCTGAGATCGTCGAGATCGAGATCTCGGCGCGTCGGGCCTGTCGCCGTTTCCGTCCTGTCTTTGACATCACCAACAACAATGACAACCGTTGAAACGACCATAGCACTCAAATACGGCTGCTACATAGACTTAATTGTGACTTCTTGAACGTGGCGCACAGGTGTCGTTGCACAGCGAGAGCTAACAGTGCTGTAACAGGCGGAAGGATGGACTTCGGTCGCCAGCAATCAGAGTAGGTTTTACGGAAAGACTACATTCCATATCTGGTGTGAGTATTGTAGCAGATTTACCAATTACTCCAGTCATGCGACTATCAAATTTTGACACAGTCTTGCTAATCATACAGTACACACACCTTRAATGAGCTATGAGAATCGCGGGACGCCAGAAACAGATCATCACACTACCCCAACCCTAACCCTAAAATAGCAACCACGCCATCAGAGGTGTTTCGCACATCCAAGGCATCAGGTTAAGTAAGAAAGGATCGGCCTGCACAAGGGTACCTCACGAAGGTTATGCTCGAGAACGAGTTTTCAATATAAGAACGAGTGAACATAACCGAGTGCACGGAGAAGCACTTGAAGGCATCCCAAAAGATGACGAGCGTCATCTATTAGAATTCCATATAATCGATGTGGTGTGAAGCAGGCAATTGTACTGCAGTCCTTGAGCGGGATGGTTGTGTAGATAAATGCTGGACAAGTTTGGATGAAGAGAAAAACGAGTTGTGAAGTTCGCGTGACGTCGTGATGAAAGGGAATGGAGATTTTGCTTTCACAATGTGAGGTTTTGGCCGCTCCCGAATGTGATGCCAAGATCGTACCGGCAGTGTTGAATCAATGCTCTCGCCCGAGATGTTCGCGGTCATGCCATGCGGATGCCCTGTAGGCCTTTCAAGGCATCGCTGAGCGCCGAGAGGCAGATGTCGCGAATAGGGGCCGTCTCTCCCCTGATCCATTTGGTCATGCTTGCTTGAATGCATCACTGAAGGAGATGCGAGTGCTGATACCATAGAGGCTCTTCCATCGTAATCCCAGTCGTGACAGCTCGTGTAGACGCTGGCGTGCGCTTGGATCATTGCTCTCGACGAAGACTTTCGTTTACTCAGCCATGCCGATACACTGTAGGCCTTTCAACTCGTGGCGATGCACCGGGATGTACATGTCGTTAAGAGGGCGGCATTCCCTCCACTGCCTCCATTTTAACACTGGGTGGATCGACCTCTCCATAAACTTCGTGGACATGCGATCGAAGTAGCCTCTGCAGACTCATTTGTGAACAACCCGATTCTGGTATCTCCTTGTAACGCCATAAGTCCTTCAGTAAAAGTGGCCCATCATCCTCAAAGACTGTCCCAGAACATGTTTGAGTAGAAACTCTGTCCCATCGTCCCATCCACGTTCACGACATTGACATCTCCTCGTGCYGAATTCCTAATGATCGCCCGGTTGTACTCTCCCGTACTCAAATCCTGTGTTGCGTCGATCCCCAGACTTCGATAGAACTGCAACTTCAACACAATCTCGTCCTCTCTCTCCTCACTCGTCTTCCCCCTCGCGCCACCCTCGACACCTTCCTTCTCCAACGTCTGTAGCTGCTGTTTCAACGCTGCAAGCTCTCCACTCAATCTCTCACTCTCAATCTCCGCATCGTTGACGCCTTTTGCGATCTTGAACTTTTCCGTGTCCATTTTGAGCATTTCTGACGCATGTTTGCCGGCATCGTGGCGTTCTTCTTCGTATGAGTATTGGCCTTTGAGGTTATTGAGCCGTCTACTGAGGGAGCTAAGGACTGATGATTGATGATCGATTCGGGATTGACGTGCGCTGGCGAGCGCGTGAAGGGAGCCGGAGACGCGTGTTAGAGAGTCCTTGTCTGGTGCGATGTGGAATTGTGCTGTCGCCTCTGACATGAGCTGTTGATGTTGTTAATTTAGCACACATCGAGTACTTGGGATGAGCACACTCACTGTAACGGGACTGTCATCGTAGTGTACCATCTTGAATGCGCTGTTGTATGTGGATGGTCGATGTGCATGCAAAGTCCTTTGTTGATGTCGCGTCGTCACTTCCCAAACACAGGGTCTTCTTCCCAGCAACGTGTTCCCGGCTCGCGGCCCGAACTGCTGCGCCACATCTGTACGCCACCTGAGATCACATCTGAGATCACATGCGACGACGTCGCGAACCAACTTCACAGCATCTTCTAATCTACAACAACAATCATGGCGAACGAACACCTTCCGTGTAAGTCGATACACCCTTAGATCTACAGATCGATTCCCAGCTAACACGAGCCACCTCAGACGCCGCTGATGCCGAAAGCGCGCTCAAGCCTGCAGAGCTCCAGGTCTTGCGAGCACAGTATGAGAAGGAGGGCGAGTATGTCTCGCTGCAGACCAAGTTCAACTATGCTTGGGTATGTTGAGATCTTGTGAACAGCAGCATTCCACTAAATTCACATCAACACTTAGGGCCTCATAAAATCCACTTCCCGCATCGAACAGCAGGAAGGCGTACGTTTGCTCTCCGACATCTTCCGCCAGAGTCCCGATCGCCGACGAGAATGCCTCTACTACCTCGCCCTGGGGAATTACAAACTGGGAAACTATGCCGAGGCGAAGCGATACAACGACAGCTTGCTCGACATTGAGTCCGGGAACTTACAGGCACAGAGCTTGAGCCAATTGATTGACGACAAGGTTGCGAAGGAGGGCTTGGTGGGTGTGGCCATCGTAGGCGGACTGGCTGTTGCAGCTGGTGTGGTTGGAGGTCTGCTTTTCAAGGGCGCACAACGGAAGAGGTGAGAGGGAGTGGGATGGCAGGCGAGGGTTGAAGACCGGGTGACGTGGTGAAAGGCCATCTATCACTGGCAGCTGAACGGAGCTGAGATTTGCATGGCGTTCATTGGGTATGTTGTATGCATTGTCCTTCGAGGTTATGAAGCATGATTGAGTCACAGGTACAGAGTTTGCAACATCTCAATATTTCACTGGTGACGTGTGGTTCTCCAGCATCCCACAGAGAGCAGTGTCGTCTCTCGCAGATCGAAAAGCGCCGAGAAAACGCTCATTGTTGGGCGCGGAATAACATTCATCCTRCCTGATTCCCATCGAATTGATGGCTGTCCAGGCGATTTACCGTACGTCTGTACGTACGTGGCGTGTGATTGTCTGGGAGAGCCCAAGTATCGACGTCGTTTGCATGGTTGGCTGCACGCGGCTGGCACAGCGGAGACTTTCTCTTTTCTTCCATTCTTCAGGCTTTCAGCGAGAATTTCAGCTTAGGATACACATCCACCACGTTCAACCACGCGATTTTTATCACAACTTGGAGCTATTGAGACGCCCGGCAGATGCTGTTCTGATTGGTTTTGGRCGGGTCTTGCATCTTGGTATAACGGCATCTTTGGATTCAAAATAAAGTACTGCTCCGGTGCTTCCTTTAGGAACTTCGACTTTGAAACGGAGATATGCCCCGACAACCCGATGCACCTCTTATCTGCCTGCCCAGGAGCGGTATCATGAACCCCCTCTCCTGCAAAGAAGACTCAGCGTAGCTGCACCTCCTGCTTCCGCCCCTATCATTTACCACCCCAACGCTCAATGTGTCCAGGAACTGGTCTTTGATGCCTATGCGGGGAAGAATCTCGATCATGTCGCCCACGCGGCAATACTGGAACAGGTCTTTGTATCCTTACAAAGAAGGATTCTTTGAGGTGACACAAGGCTATTGTGAACATCCAGAGCCTGTCCTTCGAAGTAGCTACAAAAGCATTCAACGCTTTTCCATTGATCAAACAAAGAAACAGAAGAAAGGAACAAAGTACAAGGCTTCCCTTCTGTCACCACATATACATCAGTCCAGTMCCCACATTGTTAATACATCTCATCAGTCTTTTGCGGCACACTCCATACTCAATAAGCACGATCAGACCTCAAAATCGAATCACGGACACCTTCCAATCGCGAACTACCCACACAATACTACAACATAAACCCTGCATTGACTGCAGCAGCTCAACATCCGGCATCAGGTATGTCGTTCCTCTTCCGTGGTCCTTCTCCCACCATTACCCATCGAGTACCCCATGGTCGTCCCACCTGTGCAAGTCTTCCCGTCCGTCTAACAATCTCTCGCACCGCAAATCCCACTGACATACTCCTGCAGCATACCATCCGTGTCTTCATCGAATGTGATGAAGATTTCAGCTCTTTCAAATCTGACTGTCACTGGAACTTTGACAGAATCGTGAGACGAGCAAAGTTAAATACGGAACAGGCGTCGGAATGGACTTACTCCATCTACTTTGAGCAGGGAACTGGGGTTATGCAGAGCGAGCCGATCAACGAGAAGAACTGGGAGGAGTGTAGGGGAGTGCTTCTCGACCAGGCTTGTGGGTTGAAGACGGTGGCGAGAGTTGACATTGAGTTTGAGACTCTGCCACCTTGCTTACCAGCTCTAGAGCGGAATGGAGAGTAGTATTTCTTCATAGCTGCGTAAAATTTAATCGGATCCAGATACATTTCCAATCGAGTGCAGTTGAATAAGGGGGTTGTGTTGGAGAGTATCTCAGTCGACTGGTACAAAGTTGATAGTTCATCTCATTTCCTCTTGCTTCCTCTAAAGCGTCAAATCATGAAAATCATCCCATCAACATCCGCCTGCTGATAATCTGCTCTCATCAACTTATCTGGCGGCGGACTACCGCCCGATACACAGACGCCGTCATCACAACTCCGATCGTTGAACCCATTCGAGGCGGCTGCACTTTTCTGAACTGTACGCAATGTCCATGACATCGTAACTTGCTTTTCGTACGCGGTATCGTTTACTCAACGCCGCACTTGTTTTCATCAGCTAATCATCCTTGCGGTGGTTCCTGAAGAGGGTATTGGACTCTAGAGCATGCCCGTGCTCCTTGGAATTCACAATTGCATTCCGGTTTTGGGAAAGCTGCTGATGGGACGAGCTCAATAATGCTGTCGTGATGAACACCTGCAGCTTTCAAAGACTTTCGACGACCCTTGTTATGATGCGGAAGTTTTGACCGATGGTCTGGTGTTGTGAGGTTTGGTTAGGAGTGGGACCGGAGATGTGGCACGTGCGTCACGCCTCCTTCACATGGGAACCTTCGACGTCAGCTGTTGCATGTCGCCGTCTTTCCGAAGCAGTCTGTCGAACATTTGAAGTCATTCCTTTGGAACGCGCTTTCGATTCTCTCCCTATTTGATCGGCCACATACGACATATACTCAGGATCTAGCAGCTTAGGATGCCTGTAACAGTGGCCGCGTAAGCCTTGGTACTCGCGTCTCCCTTCCTTTGCCTTTCGTTAGCATTACAGAAAGCTCGCGCTGCTCACAGATCAAGATGGCGTTCTCAGAGACCTTTAAAGTGCGTACGCTTAAGTGCACTTGCTGGACTGGACTGACATTCTGATAGGCTGTCTTCATACCCGCTATGATAGCCGTAATCTTATACGCGCTCCTTGCCTTCGTAATAATGCCCATGCACAAACGCCACCGAGAGAGATACGCCCAATACATGCCGCTCGATTCGATATCGCGAGGAACGAACAGTTTACGAGACCGTATATCAAGCACGATCACCGCTTGGGTTGTGCCCCGAAGGCACCTCGTGTTCGACGCGGCGGATAGTCGGAGAGGGAGTGCGAGTGGAGACGACTTTGTCTACGATGGAGATGAGCTGGCTGGCTTTGACGTGGATAGGACCGATCGGCGGGTCCGTGGAGGGGATGTTGAAGCTTGAAGCTTGAAGAAGGAGATAATACTATCATGGATTTAGAGCAGGTGGCGGATTGCAATGCTGTAGGTATGGACCTGTGACATTCATTCGTCCCTGATCCACTTCCCACGCGCCGCGAGAATCAATCGTGTTGGAGCGTACCCATTTGGCCACCGTCATCGGCAAGCAATGCATCCGGCATGATATCTGATTGGGTCCTGGTATGCCTTTGCGAGGTGGACGCACGATGGGAACTGACTGCACCCCTGGCGAGGCACTAAAGCGTCCCTGGCGTTGCAAACATTGCAATGCCACGACGACATTCTTCATAAGAACCACAGGGAGTATGGTACGATGGAATTGCGGATCACAGCGAAGAGAATCTTGCTTCCAGCATGGTTAGCAATGATTGGATATGGGTCTGGGTTTCCTATGCAAGACTGATGGTTGGTGAGCAGTATGCGCCAGTTGAAAACATTGCATGCCAAACAATACTCTACCCTCTTTTGCTCTAATATCCTGGAGCCACATCCTRGAAACTGTCCCGGCAGCCACCTCATAAACGATAGGACTGTATTATCCTGGAGAGCGCCACTGGCACACCGTCAAAAAGAATACGAACGTCTGCCCGTACAGCCCCGAACTCATATGCCACTACGATGCCATCTTCCGGCAAGCTGCATTGATCTCCTGGCGAGCGCTCTTCTACCAGGATGACGGGACTGACTTCAGTATGTGGGTTATACAACTTTGAAATGAGCGAGAAGAGATGACCTAGTATATCATCAGTGTGGGTACGGAAGACGACTGGATCACTATCCCTTTAGTGCTCTTCGCTTGCAAGCCAGTCCCAGATGCTTGCTGGACCACTAATCAAAGGTCTCCGCCCGGTGTGGCGCTCTCATCTATTCGACATTGTAGTTGTGGGCTGGGCTCCGCATACTACTAATGAGAGGACGACAGAGATGGTTATATTGTGGAGGCATGCCATGATCTCTGGCTGGCCGATACTCATCTGGATACTCAACAGCTCGCCAATGCCCAGGCCCACTCGCGTGAGTGAAGTCGTGGCCTTGCTGCTCCTCAGTCTTGAATGGCCAGCTGCATGGACCGAGATCATGTGGTACTGAGGGAAGCTGAGCCTGAGCACTTCGCCATTCGTCGATTCAGTTCGGCTTCATTGCTCTATGACCTAAGTCGGGGCTGATGGTCGATGTCAACAACAATCGCTTGGATGCGGTGGAGGGCAGTGCAAGAGAGAGGACTCACTTGCTGCTCTTCGCTGAAAATCATTCGTTGCCGTCACCTGGAGATGGTCTTCGGGCCCTTGGACAAGACAGTCGTGCTTGCCTTATCAACAGGACGCGTCGTCGGGGACGCTAGCGCCAGGCAGCCAGTCAAACCTCACTTTTCCGCTGTCCCCTCGCTCTTACACACCACCACACTTTCGCTCCTCGGCACGGAAGTTGGCTCACCACCCATAAGCAGCTCGTCATCATCATCCGCGTGAGCTTTACAAGCTGCAAATCGTCACTATGCCACCCGGGCGCGAGGYCGCACCTGTAGCCGTCAGCATCKACAACATACTCCGCAACGAGCGTTATTGGGAGCACAGCCACTCCTACAACGACACAAAGAGCGCTATCAACACAAATGCCGCTATCAACCCGGACCCAGGCGACATGTTCGGTCTACACATCGAACTGCTCCGGTCTTTCGAATGGAATGGCTACAAGTACGTCAAGGTGGACGTTTACGTCGATGGACGGTACTTAAGGACTCAGTATCTGGAAGCCCGGTTCAATGAACACACCCTCAACATCACAAAGGGTCGCAAGCTAGATTGGGCCACGGGGAAGACCGTTCAATTCGGTTGCTTCGTTGGGGATGTATTTTCTCCTGGCCCGCATGAGCTTGACGGCACTATCAGCGTAGAGCTTTCGCTCGGCAGCAAGATTCCGCGTCGCCCGCGTCAACCCAAAGTGAACCTCGTCGAGGAGACCGCTACATTCAAGTTTGTCTTCCCAAACTACCACCACCTATATCCATAGCTAATTTCGACACAGGCATGGTCCTTCAGAACCAGTCCCCGAACCCAAGATATCAAAGACGATGTTTGTTTCCGCTCCAAAATGTCACTTCACGCCAATAAGATGGTATTTCCTCTACCCAAGCAAGAGTATGTTCACATCTATTCTTGAACCTAGAAGCAGAAAGCAGACAGCTGACCTTAACCAGCCTATCGCTCTGGTTACATCGCGCCAGTCCCTGTCCCTTTCGCTGGCCTGGGTAAGCGCTCTCGAGAGGCTGAAGAGGACGCTCAAGGTCAAATCTACAAGCGTGCGCGGAGGGTTGGAGGCCTTGAGGCAGAGTTTTCTCCCGGCCAGACAAGCCTGTCCAATGGTCAGGAACAGCGAGCTGCCCGGCGGCGTGAGCCCGTGGAGTTGTTTCCGGAGAACATCGGCGTCCTCTACGGCGACAAGCCTTTCTATGGCAGATATAAGTGAGCCTATACTGTGATAAGAAGCCCTTCTGGCTGTTGTATGGCWGAATCATGATGGAATGCAAAAAGAGCAGGCAACAGCACGCAGTCAGCAATACAGAAACGAAAAATCTAGATATCGTTTCCAGAGTCATTTTCTTCACCGTCTGTCCTTGCATTGGCTTAACGTTACTCTGTGCTCGATGAATCATTTGATGGACGCCCATCAATGTCGGAGCCTGTCGATCCCTCGGCACATCCTAGCTCAAGCTCAAGCTGGAGGTACCGCGCGTCATCTGCCAGCGAAGCACAACTCCAACAATAGCAATAGCAAATAACGATGGCTTCAAAACGATTAATCAAAGAGCTCGACGCGTATCGACGCGATCCCTCTCCAGTAGTCCCACGACTTGAACCTCAGAGTGACGACAACCTCTTTTCCCTCATCGCTGACCTCAAAGGACCCGAGGGAACAGCATACGAAGGTATTCATTCTTACACGTCACAGTCCTCAATCCTCATCTCACCCACTGACCAATCTCTCCTACCCATCAGGCGGCCTCTGGACCCTCCAAATCACCGTCCCACAAACATATCCCAACAACCCTCCAGAAATTACCTTCCGCACCCCATGCTGCCACCCCAACATCAATTTCAAAACCGGCGAGATTTGTTTGGATTTGTTGAAAAGTGCTTGGACTCCTGCGTATAGTATCGTCAAGACATTGGAGGCTGTACAGATGCTGCTGGGTTCCGAGGGTAATCCGGATAGTCCGTTGAATATCGACATTGCGAAGTTGTTGAGGGCGGGGGATGTTTTGGGTGCGGAAGGGCTGGTGAGGTTTTACACACGTATGCTTGCTATGGGAAGGTGACAATAGGGATGGGATATGGAGGTTGGAGTGGAAAATAACAGCTTGGGAAGGAAATGTACATTTGGATGTATAATGACATGTGCTAGTGGTCACGACAAAATTCACGAGTGTTGAAGATTTCACCTCTGTACAAAGGAGCCGGTGATTTCTGAAGGAGAGTGTTCAAGAAAGGTAATCACAAGGTAGCATGTTGATGAAAACGCGGCAACCTCATAATAATCGTGGGGTATCTCAATATGCCTATACAGGAGAACGGCGGAAGCCCTTCTCATCCGCCAACCATGGCTGGATATGCTCCATATCATTCTCTTCAACTATCCATCCAGAGGGACGCCGCTGATAGTAAGAGTCCTGTGCCAACGCGATACCAGGCATGCCCAGTGACCCAGCCATTGACAAGTGCCGCAACATGGTCATCGACTCGCTCGCCGACCACGTAGCAGGGAGATGTCCATCGCCTTGCACTCCTTCCAAACGTATTTCCGGCAACGGCAACGTCACATTGTTGATCTCATACCCCATCAGGCCCTCCATCTTGGCCATGAGAGGCTTCAGATATCGCGACTCTTTCCCACGCATACTGGAAAGTCGATGCAGCAGGGTGTTGAGGTGTTGCTTGCCCTCGAGAAATGTCGCAGAGCAATCTCCCGCTGTGCATTTGAGCACATCCGCCAGACAGCCGGCAATGTCGGAAAGCTTCTGCTCCATACCAATACCATGACTGTCCAAGGATAGCGGGCTTGCATTTGACGTCATCTCAACCACCTTCCTGGCGAGCTCAACAGGATAGTCAAGCCGCATTCCACCCTCGCCTTGCCCCCATATCAAGCCGGTGCTAACGCCCATCTGCCACGCGAGGACGTGGAGCCACTCCCTGGTGACACCGATATCCAACGTTTGGATTTCTGTCAGCTCACCCATTCCAGTGGTATGTGCTGTGGCGTCCAACTGCTTATGTGTCTGGGCAAGCCACGCCTCATCACATAGACTTGCTCTCCGTGTGCCTCGCCACGCGCTGACAAAGGAGTCGTCTACTGCACTAAAGAGATTTGCAAGATTAACAAATCCACTGAGCAACTGTGGATCCTCAGACTCAAACACTGCCGGAAGTGCGACACTTGCTTGGAGTCTTGTGCGTTTGCGTCTTTGAACTGCATACGCTCTTTCCGTAATGAACAGTAACCAATAAAGCCTGCGGCGCCATTGCATTTCAACGGGGTCCAGTTGCGCGTAAGAGGCTTCGTCATCCATGTCCAGTATCTCAGAGAATGTGATACTTTCCTGTAGATAATGCCATGCTTGGAGATGCTTCTCGTGGTTACCGTAGTAGCAGAACAGGAAGAATGAAGTCATCACGCTCAGAGGCGTAACGTGCTCGACAGGATCAAACGTCTTCCTTTCCCTTAAGCATTCTTCAGCAAAGAGATCATCCGAATGTTTGCTGGGGTGTAGTAACGGTGGCTGAGCAATCGACTCATCCAGTTGGACGATTGTGGCAGCACATAACGCGGAAAGAAAGCAGTACACTTCCGCGCTGAGGGTTCCTTGGCTGTAGAATGCAGGATCAAGATATATACCCCTGCCAATCACAGGCATGATGGCAAACATGTGGTTGAAGAACAGCTTTATGAAGGGCAGGAAAGCTTTCTCGGATAGTAGACGATGGTTGTAGGTCTCGGTGGAAGTAGGCGAGTGCCCGTGATGGGGACCATTACTTGCAGTAGATATCGATTCAGCTTGACTGGGCGCCCATTGCTGCTGATTCTGTGATGGATCTCGTTGGTTGTTGGAATGCTGATAGCTTGTCGGTGGTTGCTGCTGATAGTATGGTCGCTGATCCGGTGACACGTAGATGGTCTCTGGTCTGTCGTTCTGCCCTTGTCCATGATGTTGTGCAGCTGCACTCCACCCCCAGTTTCCGAAGGCAACATCTGAACTAGTAGGAGTAGGCGGATTTGAGACGGGCGTGTCGTCGATCCTTCTCAATGCATGGAGAACGCGAGCACTCCTCAAACCTTTTGGCCCTATAATGAGCAAGAGTCAGAACATGTGTCTCAGACATCGCGAAGCTCAACAAACTCCCCGAGACACCTTTCTCATCCCCGAATCAACCCTTATATAGTATGTTCAACTTACCTTTCTTCTTTGGCGGCTCTATGTATGCGCAACGAATGGCCGCCTTCTGGCACGGAGAGCATGGCTCCCGGCCATCACATCTAATGGGATCGGATCTCAGTCAATCTGGATGTCCAAAGAGTTACAGGCATGGCACACCTGACTTTTCTCTTGCGGCAACAGTCGCATGCTCTTTTGGCCACTGGTATTTGGCCTTTACCACTTCGACCGCCATTTTTCGGGTCTGGACTTTGCCCCGCAGCCTGTGCTTGTGTCTGTGCTTGTGCACCTATCTCCATATCTTCCACCACCTCTGCAACCTCTCAGGTGCTCAACTGAGTATTCGGGCCGTCTTTGTGAGGTAAACACATGTCAATGTTTCTCCATMCTATTTGTGAGAGACTTTGGACAGGTCCTGAGCGGTGAAGTTGGGCCACTTTCGTTATGACGATCCGCTTCGGTTGTGCAACGCAGAGTCGGGTAGGTGCGTTGCGAATTGGTGTGACGAGTGTTGAGTTGGTGTGTGGTGTTGGGGTTGTAAAGGCCAAAGATGGGTGCGGGGATCTCCACAGATTCGATTTGGATGACGCCACGCGAATCCTCGTGGCTGTTAGCGCCGATTCACGTGCGAATCTTGCGTTGGATCGCGTGAGGTTCTGCGAGCATATATTCGTAGCATCGCAAAGTTACTCCGTACCGTACGAGAAACATCGCTCGCTTCTTTACCTCATTGCCAAATTCGTCAACCTGGAGTCGAATACCCGTCACTTCTCTCAATGTCGGCGGATGAGCTGCACTCGGCAAACTCCTCCAATTCTTCACTCACAGTCTTGAGCTTCTCCTTGACAGTGTTGACGCCTTCAAAACCTACAATGTGACGAGCTGGTGGATTGTCGTGACCGCCGATGGCCGCAACAGCGTGTACCGTCTCGGCAACCAGCCGTTCTTTCATGCCTTTGCTCAATGGCGGATACAGACTAGTCACCTCGCTCGAATGTAGCTGATCTCCTGTCGTTGGCTCGGAAGAACCTTCGATTCGATCCAGCAGTGACGACAAGATGTTTCGTGACAGTGGCGCAGGATTGTTCTCTTCGGCATAGCAAGCCATGGGCGGTGCAGATGAGATACGATGTGTCAATACGTTGACTTCCATGTTCGGCTGAACAATGGTCATCTTGATGTTGAAAGGCGCAATCTCATATGCCAGACTGTCGCAATAGCCTTCTATAGCCCATTGGCTGGCACAGTACATGCTCAAGCCTGGTGTGCCCAGATGGCCAGTAACAGCTGTCAGCAGGACAATGTGTCCATTCTTCTTCGCTCGGAACATCGGAAGGGTGGCCTTGATGATATTGACTGGACCGAAGAATGTGGTTTCGAACTGATCCTTCACCAGACTTGACGTTCGAGCATTCTGCGAGAGCTCCTCTACAGTGCCCACAACCACTTCAGAGTGGCTGCAGAAGAGGATATCGATACGGCCAAAGCAGCGTATTGCTTCGGCCACGGCAGCCTGGCATTGGCCCATGACCCTAACATCCAGAGTCACGACTCGMAGTCTGCYCCTCCACAGCTCCCTCTCTTTGGCCTTCTTCTCCGCCCGTGTACCCAGATCTTCGATCGGACCGCCAATGCCATCGTCTGCATCGTTGCCATCCTTGTCCGTACCTGTGGTAGCCCCGGGCGCGTTCAACTCCTCGAGGAAGCTCTTGAAATCGCGGCTGCGCTCCTCCTCCCGCTCATACTCGACGCGCTCTACGCCAGCCGTGACGTAGTCCCCGTGGGCTAGGAGATGTCGTAACAGTGCTGTGCCGACCGGCGTGTTTGCAGAGCTTATGAGCCAGACCCTCGGAGCGTTGTGAGTTGGAAATTTCGGCACGCGCGGTGCTTTCGGTTCTGTCACTGACATGCCCGCGAGCAMGAGCGAGAAGGAGAAAGTGGTAGATATCGACTTCGGCAGTTCATACAGCTAGATTTAGCCGGCCCCCGGTAGAGCTAACGGACTGAGGTCCGGCTGGAAGCTCAATTCCTCAATCTCTCCGACGTCAACAACGATCCATACCATCACGCGTCTGTCACATGAATCACCCTTTGCTTTGATGCCGCTGGAGATCGAGGCCGTGACTGAGTGTCGATCTGGGGTCTGAAAGGCGGTAGAAGAATATAACAGCTTCTCTACTTGGATATCCCTTCTAGACTTGCTACCTGGCAAGACAAGACAGTCATGGCGCCAACAAAGCGGCCAGATGCACTCGACGAAATTGTCGATGCGCGTCCCGATGTGATCGACTGGTGGATGCAGACTTACGGTGGGCCGCATATGGACGAAAATATGATCCATCGATATTTCTACGAGTCGAGATTCTTCGACCACAGCACCAAGAATGGCTTGTTCATAAGCCAAGCCGCCGCAAACTTCGCTCAATGGGAGATCAGTAACAATCGCAAAGCATTCGAGGATAATCTAAGGCAGCGGCCGGGACTGGAGTACATGATTGTGGCCGAGCCGCAGCTGGTTGCAGACAAGACATTGGCCGCACAGGGCGTCAAGACTGGCATCTATGTGATTCGCAAGCAGGATCGACAGCGAGCACAAAGCGGTGCTTCCCAGAAGAATGCACCTCCTGGAGTGTTCTACGAAGGAGTGTGGGAAATCACCACGTTAGCCACGTACTTTATCGCCGGGATCAACGTCTACCAAGCGCCCAGCGTGTTTGATGCCGTGGGAAATCATTTGATGTCAGCTGCTAGCAGTCTGGACAAAGTGGTGGACATCGCAAACGACTTGCCACGCTATGCTCCCTCGATAGGCTATCACTACCTGCCACAGAATACGAAACGCGCAACAACCGCAGGCTCGGTCAATGCATCTCCAACTCGATCACGGGAGGGAAGTGTTGCGCCGGGAGGAGATGCGGGATCCGTGAGGTCAGGATCGATCCTTCCTGATGCCAAGCTACCTGCAACTGCCACGACCTCCAAAGCACACGAGGCGAGATTATTAGGAGACTCGCTCCGTCTAGCTTTGAAGCATGGCGATGAATACACCGATGAGAACCCGCTTTTGGGAGAACCTGGTAATTTCAAATTCGCCACCTCTTCAGCTGCAGTGATGAAGCGAAGAGCGGACGAAGAGGCGGCCGCTGCGAAGGCGCGCGCAGAGAAGGAGTCTAGTACTACATCTCGTGTGGCTTCGCCTGAAAAGGCTCCAACCCCACCTGCTGTCTTCACAGAGGCCAAAACAACGGTGAAGAGTGAAAAGAAGTCGGGAGGGAAAATTAAACGAAGGAAGAGTAAAGCCAACGGGACGACAAACCCGTCCACGCCTGTGAGCTCCACAAGCACACACGCTCCTGGCTCTACGTTCCGGTGAGAGGACTGCTGCGTTGCTGCCTTGAACGTGCCCTACAACGACCGCTTCCGTCACTTGCGGGCGTGGCAGTCTACACAGAGCGCTGCCTTGGAGGATGGGCATGACTTAAGACATCATCCGCGCAATGGTCCAGCGCTGAAGCTACATGAAACCTGTCACGACTGTTCACGATGCTCTTGAGGAATCTCTGCGCACTGCACATTGATCTACCGAGCTGGCCACAGCGTGACAAAGACCACAGCCTTCCGAGCGGAGGGAAATCTTACAAAAGTAACGATTCATCCTTCAGTTGATGCACCTTCGATGCGTGGAAAGACTGCAGCATCCTGTCAGTGTGGGCTTCGCTTCGGCTTTCCTGATGCGGTGAGTCAGAAAGATTCACGTCGCTTCCATTTGTTGAGTTGCGACTGTGCCCATGGCGGTGCCCGACACTTACCAAAGTCAGAACGAACGCGAGGAACCTGGAAGGATTCAAAGCTTCAATTTTCTTGGACCACTTACGTAAATTCCATTGTAGGATCTCGTTTTTCAACGCCCGCGAAAACATCAAAATTTCTTGAATGTCGCACAATCCAAATGGCCTTTGAGGAGTCTTCCGACTTCGCAGTGCACGACTTCGCAGGGCACGGAATGTCTTTGGCGTCGGTGTCTTGTCGGTGGGTCAAGATGACGCTGGAAGTAAAAATACTCGAGATTTTGAACCGTTTTCGGCGCTCCACAGATTCTTAAACCAATTCACGAGTAACGACTATATGGCTACAATCCTCATCTCTGCCTTCCATCACCTCACTGACCGGACTAAACCCCAGATAGAGGGCCGATGCAACCTCATTAACGTAACAGTTACTTAATTCTACGCTAGTCCCCGTGGAGGAAAAACCGCGCTACCACAGTACTGCTCCTTCTGGTGCCGTTGGATCCCGTCAAGACTCAAAATACAGTCTTCTACCATTTTTCTGGWATATTTTACTGATCCTTCTGTCTCTCGACATCATCGATCACATAAAATGGGATTCCGAACGTCGAAACACAAGGACAGCAACGATCTAAGTGCTGTTCAATCTCCTGAAGTCGACGTTGAAGATGGCCAGAAACTCGAAGGAACCCACGATGCTGTCTTTGGCGAAATCGCAAAGGAAGGCGGCCCGAACTATCGCAACGTCGGATGGATCGGGACCGTTGTCTTGATGCTGAAGACACAGATTGGACTTGGCGTACTTTCCATTCCTTCAGTATTCGATACTCTTGGACTTGTCCCTGGAATCATTTGCCTATTGATCATTGCGTTTATGACTGGTTGGAGCGCGTGGGTCATCGGGAAATTCAAGTTAAAGCACCCGGAAGTCTATGGGATCGACGATGTTGGTGGAATCCTGTTGGGAAAGCCTGGCCGCATCATTGTGGGCATCATTTACTGTCTATGTGAGTGTGACTGATTATACCATTGTTGAATGCTGCTGATGTTGTACAGTATGGGTTTTCGTGGCAGGATCTGGAATGCTTTCGATGTCCATTGGTTTCAATGCCCTTTCTCTGCACGGTACATGCACAGCCGTTTTCGTCGCGGTATCCGCTCTGCTCGGTTTCTTGGTTGCTAGTGTGCGGACGCTTCACAAATTGACATTCGTCGCTTGGGTTGGCTTATTCGGAATTTTATCTTCGATCCTCGTCCTCACCGTGGCCGTGGGTGTGCAAGATCGTCCCGCTTCGGCTTCGAGGGAAGGGCTCTATGTTTCGGACTACCACATCACCAACCAGCCGAAGTTCGCGCAGGCCATCTCTGCGGTGGCTTCTTTGATATTGTCCTATGCTGGAACTCCTGCTTACTTTCAGATAATCTCTGAAATGAGGGATCCGAGATTGTATCAGCGCTCTTTGATCGTTACGCAGAGCATAATCACAGCGAGTAAGTTCAATCATCCCACCTCTAGGAAGAATTGCAGACTGATACGTTGGAATAGCTTACATCATCATTGGAACTGTCGTTTACTACTATTGCGGCTCGTTCGTCGCCAGCCCAGCTCTTGGATCTGCAGGACCTCTGCTCAAGCGGATCTGTTACGGCTTGGCCCTTCCCGGTCTCCTGGCCACCACTACCTTGACAGTTCATGTAAGTTCCTTGTGGCGTTATGGAGTATCACGAATCTCATATTAAGATCCTTGCAGATCCCTGCCAAGTACGTTTTCGTTCGTCTTCTCTCAGGAACCAAGCACATGTCGAGCAACTCGCTCACGCATTGGTCCGTCTGTAAGTCCAAGTCGATTCCGAACCTCCTATTTATTGGTATATCTTGCTCACAATTTCCACAGGGATCGCATGTACAGCAAGCGTCGCGATAATCTCCTACATCATCGCCAGCGCCATCCCTGTCTTCGGGGGTCTCGTGGCTCTGATCGGAGCTCTCTTCGGCACACTCCTCGGCTTTCAGCCGATGGGTATCATGTGGCTGTACGACAACTGGGCTACCAAAGACCGGAGCTTCAGATGGAGAATACAAGCTTGCTGGGCGTTGTTCGTCATTGCAGCGGGAACCTTCCTGATGATCGCTGGCACATATGGAGCCGTGGTTGATATCTTGGCTTCGTATACTTCGGGATCAACTTCCTGGAGTTGTGCGGATAATTCGAATAGCACATAGATTACAGGTATGGCCAGAGGGTCATCAAAAGCATTTACGAAATGAAACGACAGCCATGCATATTAATAAGGTTCACATCACAAATCGCTCTCCTGCAGCCGGGCTACGATTAAACGGCCAGATGTTCTCTGCGTGATATGGTGCACCAAGCTGCTACGAGTATACCAAAGAGCCAAAGCCTTCAACCAGGGTACCGCCATGATGCGCATGGAGAATGGAATAGCAGCTCGCGAGCAAGTGCCATGAACCATGTGACCAACATGCTACATCCAATCCTTCAATCCTTCGGCACCGACGCATCGGCCACATTCAACAAAATACAAGTATAAGCATACGTCCCCGCATAATGTGCCAACAGCACCGTCCCTTCCTTCCCAAAAGCCTGCACACACCTATCGAAAAGCTCCTTTGACAATGGTCCCGGGACATTTGCCAAATGCTGCACAGCATCATACGTAACACTACACTTTTCATTAAGATCTTCCGGTTTCTTCCCCGAAGAGATCAGATCCACTTGTGTTTGGGTCAAGAGGTTGGAGTTCACGGCAAGACTACTGTGAGCGTATAGTTCAAAGGCTGCTTGATACCGGGCTCCGATGGTGAGGATCGCTACTTCTCGGGCATCTGGAGGTAGACCTTCCAGCGCGCCGAAGGACTTGTTCAAGGCCATGTATTGGGTTCCGATTTGTTTCGAGGCGATGAGGATTGGGAATGGACCTGTTTCGTTGTGAGCTCGGAAAGGGGAGTAAACGATTTGGACCACTTACCGAGGAGAGCATCTTTGTCGTCTTTGTATGTCATGAGCTTGCCATTCTCGCCAAAAGCCTTGCCGATAATGTCATCGAGGTCTTTGCCGTAGGACTTGTACTCGTTAGGAAGGTGGCATGTTGGCGTGGGTGGGAAGCGTGCTTCTGTCATTTTGATCCTGAATTAGGGTATTTCAAACAGGAAGGAGCGGAATGTTCATAAAGAAGCAGAGGTGGTGAGAAGAGATGAGGTCTGGATCTTAGCAGGCCTTCGTAGATATCGCCTTGAACCTTAGACCTTGTACCGGCCGGCATAGCCGCCATACAGTATGCTTTCTGGCGTCATTTCTAGGTTCTCCAAAAGTTTAATAGGCACAACAATGCCCCGGATTTTCGGAGTCTGCAGAGCCCGWTCGATGAAGATAGACCGGGGATCGTAAGATCTTTTTCACGAATCGGAGCCATATTCGAGTGTGCAAATTGTCCCACAGCTCGTCGAACAACTTTCTCACTGTGGTTTTGCACATCGAAGCAGAGGTATTGAGATAACACCAACTCAATTAGCTGCTGTTACCGGCCATGACAAGTACATGTAATGCCTCATCAACAGCGACCGCTTTTTGGAAGATCCCGAGAGCTTCGTCGGGCGCCCGCTGTGTTTCGACGAAGCAATTGGATTCCTCTTCCACCAATGACGCTTCTTCTCCAAATTGCTCGTCCTCCTACGACTTCAAGCTGAACATGAGTAGCCATCAACATGGGCATACATAGTCCCTCAAAGACGCTGCAAGACGCTGCAATGCTGGGTATGTTGCGTGCAAGTAAATCAGCCCAGGGTCTCAAGGCAGCATCGCGCCGTCCCCCGCCCGTGCCATTATGATATTCTCGTGCAGATTGCGGTTGTTGTATACGCCGTACATGGCTTACGAGAGGTGGCTTGCCACTTATCTCGGCATCGTAGGCGTTGTAAGGAGCGCCTTAGGTTTCAAGTCCGTTAAAAGGCTTTGGTTTTCCAGGCCAGACATGAATGGTGTTCAATTCCGTCTCGATAGCGTCGATGAGAGGTCGCCACATAGTGTGACCCCACACAAATGACAATGTAGGAACGCCAATTTCCTTACCCGTCGTGCTGTTCGTGTCTAGCAACCCAATGTACTTGCCTTCCCGGAGACCCTTTACGGAGTGGTGTGAATGCTAAGACACAATGGTTGATGGCGAGGCTCCGTGRGATACTACAGCGCGGAATACGGAGAGGCAGCACCCATGTCAAGCTTTCAATGGCAATACAAAGGCGTGCAGACCAGGCAGTGTCGTAAGCTCTCGGATGACACGGCGGGACCTGAAAAAGGGTAGCTCAAGCTGAGGCGCCTGTTTCGCCTTTCATGTCGGCATGCTCTTTTGAGCGACGCATAGAGGGTTTGAGAGAATGGGACTAAAGTATTTGGATGAAGGTCGTGTGAGCACGAGGGAGGTCGTCTAGAATGTGGAGACGCGTCTGCCCTGTTTGTCTTGCCGAGCTCGGATGATCCTCGAAACTTAATTCTTCGAATGCACCTTCGATTAGAATATCTCCCACGGCGATACATCTCGACATTATCTCTTCCCTTCCAATCCATCTCGTCCACCGTCAATCGCCCCTGCCATCATGTCACCCGGTAGCGCTTCCGCCGAGAAGGGCGAGTCCACTTTGGCTCGAGTTTTGGGTGCCGGTACGTCGGGCGATTAATCTCGCAGAGCTCAACAATGGTCGAGCATTGTGAGTGAGGGACATGAAACGACTGACACTCCCCACCAGGATCCGCTGGAATCGCCGAGCTCGCCGTCTTCCACCCCGTCGATACCATCGCTAAGCGATTGATGTCCAACCATGGCAAGGTGGTCGGCATGCAGCAGCTCAACCAGGTCATCTTCAAATCACACGCGACCGATCCCGCCGTCAAGCGCTTCTTCACCCTCTTCCCCGGCCTCGGATACGCAGCAGCATACAAGATCCTCCAGCGAATTTACAAGTACGGTGGACAGCCATTCGTACGCGAGTACCTAGGGAAGCACCATGGAGGCTCATTTGACCGCACATTCGGCAAGGGAACCGGCAAGGCTATCATGCATGCAACTGCTGGCTCCATCATCGGAATCGGAGAGATTGTCCTCCTTCCATTGGACGTGCTCAAGATCAAGAGACAGACAAACCCAGAGGCCTTCCGTGGGCGCGGTGTGATGCGAATTGTCGCAGATGAGGGATTCAGCCTCTACCGCGGCTGGCAATGGACCGCAGCCCGTAACGCACCCGGTTCATTTGCCCTCTTCGGTGGTTCCGCCGCCGCGAAGCAATATCTGTTCAAGCTCGAGGACTACAACACTGCAACTTGGTTCCAGAACTTCGTTGCTTCCATTGCTGGTTCCAGCGCGTCTCTGCTTGTCTCCGCGCCATTGGACGTTGTCAAGACCCGTATTCAAAACCGCAACTTTGAAATCAAGGAATCCGGCGCCAAGATCATTGCAGACATGGCACGGAAAGAAGGACCTTCTGCCTTCTTCAAGGGATTGGTTCCAAAGCTATTGATGACCGGACCCAAGCTCACCTTCTCATTCTGGCTGGCACAGACGCTGATTCCAGCTTTCAACAAGGTTCTCTGAGCAACGAAGACTGTCTGAGCACGACGAGCACCATGAGCGTGGCGTTTGGGCGCTAAAAGTATTGGGTTGGACTAGGCGAGCCACAATGACTGCAAACCAGCGCGGTGTGCATAGTGGAGTCGTGATTCTTGGCAATTGTGTTACTAAATCATGCAATGTATGTAAAGGAGCATGCTGTACATAGGTGGTACGCCCTCGAATGCGCAGCTCGCTACAGGAAGCGAATAACTCAGCTCGTGTACAGTAGCAAGAGCTTCTCTCCAATTTAGCGAAATCTCAACTTTGGTTACACTTGACTCCATCTCCGACRTCGAAGCGAGAATGCATCGAAGCGAGAAATTCTCCTCACTTCATCTGCCTCCAGCTTTCACGCACCATGAACCTTCTCCTGCTTCAAGCCAATTCCCAAGACAATCGCAATTCTTGTGAGAATAAACGGAAAGGTGGTAGCAGCTACAAGCCAGTCCTGACCAGTCCACTCCGCCAACACAGCCCAGTTAGACCATCCACCGAGAGCTTGCGCCAGAGAATGGGAGTAAAGCGCATCCGAAAGAAGGATTCCCATACACATGAGCTTCCAAACACGCAAATCGTCGACCAGTCTTAGGATGAAAAATTCGCAGAATGCTATATGTAACCAGCCTCCAGCTAATTGGGTGTAGACGAATTCAGTCGAGCTGTCCACAGTGGTGATGGCTTCCCGGGTTAGACTGGAGAGATAGGCGCCTGGAAGCGTCAGGGCCATTATGACGCCGCCAAAAGCGAAGACGGATTCTACGTTCAGGAGGAGGAAACGGTAGAGGTAGGGGATTGTTGTGCTGGCTTTGGTTGGAGAATTCGCCATGTTTGTTTGGTTTGTTGGGAGGTTGTGGTTTTGACTGGGTGTTTTGGCGATGACAGTGAGCAGGAAGGAAGGAAATGAGAGATGATGTGAGATGAAGTGAGATCGAAATAATGTTTGCACAAGAAGGCGCGGATCGAATGCCTGCCGCTGAGTCAGGAAGGTGAGAGTTTGTATCATCCCTGCTCCATCTCGGCTCATCCGAGCAGGGAATGAGGAAAGACCGGTCAAGTCGATCAGACCTACACACTTGCTCTACTTACGGGAAACAGCTCGAGATTTGGGATTCTCGTTGGAGAGCCGACGAGACCAACGTCCAGCAGACGTGTTCTCCCAAGAAGAAAAGGTCTTCWAGAAAGCCGCGAACATGCAACGGCCCAACATTGTYACGGCAATACCTCGAGACATCATCAACCGGAGCATGGAAACTACCCACGGAAGGATGGAATCTACGAAATGCCATTGGCTGCAATGGCAAGTCAACATTGGGTCGGACGTTTAAGTCACGTTGCGGCAACAACGTCTTCACACACGTCCACTACAAACGCTACTTTGGGTGCGTGAGATCATGCGGGCATGGTCGCCGTTGCGATCGGACGGTGGTCTGTATGAACGTCGTCGTGGTGAGGTTGCTAGAGAGTTACGCATGGATGAAGCTTCTTCTAGATCCACTCATCCACCTGGAGACCACATACCATTTCGACGAGCATGGAGAGTACATATACCAAGCTGCAGTAGTATGTCAGTTCTCTACTCATTCGCATCCATCTCCTCCTCAATCATCTCTAGTTCAAACAAACTCTTCAGAAAACTTACCTGCTTCACGAATAACTCAAGATGGTCTCTTTTAGAGTGAGCTTCTCCTGATTTCAACACCGCCGGGATTCGCTAATTGGAAAAGCTTGCGGTCGTTGCACAGCTCGCCGCAGTCGTAGATTATGTATCAGGAGCTGCCTTGATTGCTGAGCGAGTACCCGAAAAGGCACAATTCAGAGGCGCAGCTGGCAACAGGTTCTTGCACCTCATCACAACACCTTTGACGGGAAGCATGAGGTACACAGCATACAAAGGCAATGGCTCAATAGAAGACGGCTGGCCTGCTCAGGGCCAATGGCTGGATTTCCGCACCCTCTGGGTGACGAATCAACGAGTGCAAATCAACAAGATTTGCGACAACACCGAAGCAGAGACAGGAGACCTTTACAAGGCAATCTTTGCAGTGTCAAAAACAACAGGAGTCGATCCGCGTTTCATTCTCGCAGTCATGGTTCGTCTCCCAACGATCTTCTCCCAGGCTCACCTACTGACCTTTCACCTAGATGAACGAGTCTCGTGGTTGCGTTCGCGTACAAACAACGAGTCTCGCAGTATCCAACCCAGGTCTCATGCAAAGCTACGAAGGCAGAGGCTCTTGCTCCGATCCAGCCCCCCTCACGCCTTGTCCTTACAAGGAGATAGAGCAAATGGTGACGGACGGAGTCGCGCCCAATGAAGCCGGCGTCAATCTCCAAGACCTGATAGCGAGATCCAATGCCACAGGTGTTGAGAAATACTACATTGCTGCGCGCATGTACAATTCAGGACCGAACAGCATCAGCTCCGACAAGGAACTATCAGTGGGTGGTGCARATGCTTGGTAAGTCACAACCAACTCACCCCTTTGGAGTGGAGTTTCTTTTTGGTGTCCAAGTCTGACCTTTTGCGAAGCGGAGGAAGTACTGACGGCCAGATTTCAGTTATGCAGCGGACATGGCGAACCGGTTACTTGGGTACATCGGCGACAGCTGTGGTCCCTCAGATCACAGCGAATCCTCTCTTGAATGGAGTCCAACTTCAGTCCCCAGCTGGGATTCCACAGCCACAACAGCAGCTCCCCCAACGGTCTGGTGGACTCCTAGCGCAGCGAATGCCTGGTGGACTCCTAGCCCAGCGAATGCCTGGTGGACGCCCAGTCCACAGTCCACATGGTGGTAATGTCATGGTTACGACTGTTGCTTGGGTTTCTTTTGTGCAAAGTTGCGATAATGCGAGGCCTAGCGCGGCGTATGGCGCTTTTTGGATGTCTTCTATATGATGATGGGGGACTGTTGGGAAAGGGATCTTGGTTCACTTGCGCTTTGCAGGCTACTGGCGGTCAGAGCAAGCAGGGAAGTATGAAGACGGTAGATCCGTGTTGCTCTTCCAAGAGTAGGGTAGGACGTTTAGGTAGTCAATCAGAATGAAGAGACATTCAATCAATCATGTCGTTCTCTCTATTAGCGTAGGACCGCCGTCTCCATCTCTTCCTCGGACGAATGTATTCCGATTCGACGTGTAATGATGTGATCTGTCTTTCGATCAGTATTCTGCTCTGTCATACTCATACCGTTGTGTGTAAAGTGAAAATCGAAGCTCTTTCCATGATTTGAATGACCCGACTGGACAGATTAAAGGGGTCTCGCCAAGGCCCGCTAGCGTAGGCGCTTTGTCCACCATCGACTCCACGTCTTCTCAGCGCGACTTTCCCTTGTCTTCTTCGTGCACACKACCACTCGCTCTCATCACCCACAAACGCTTGCGAGTACCATATCTTCGAGGACACTGTGCTAGTCATGATGGAGGTGGGGTGAGATGAAAATGAAGAGGAAAGACTCAGGGAGGCCGAGTGGACTTTCGGATCCAATCAAGGATAACATGTTCTGATTGTATGCTGACATCGTACATCTCGGAAAGCCATCAAAAATGGCTCAAATCCTAAGCGGAAAAGAGCTGTGGGATGAAAACTCAATTCTGGTCTATGTTGCGCTCAGAAAACGCGCCGTGCTATGCGGAGCTACATGAATATACAGTCGTTGGCATCTAGTGACCATTCGTCACAGCTTTTGTCAACTTCGCCGATCGGACAGCAGCGTGGATCTCGGCCTCGGCACCATCAGGCAGCGGCAGCAGTGGTGACCGGACTTTGGCGTGTGTGAGGATTCCTCTTGCTACAAGAGCGTGCTTCAACGCGACAGTGCCCTCCATGTGCGAGCCACGGTGGTAGATGCTCTTCGTGACGGGAAGAAGCTTGTCGTGGACGGCACGAGCTCGCTTGTAGTCCTTTGCCTTTCCAGCATCAATCATTTCGAGCAAGAGCTCAGGAGCAACGTTGCCATAGCCGACGAGCATGCCATCAACGTCGAAAGCTGTGTGCAAAAGGTATTCGTCGTGGCAGGTAAGAATCTGAAGATCCGGGCGCTGTTCCCGGATGACTGGAATCTCGGTGTCCCAGCGGCGCATATTACGAACACCATTCTTCATGGCGAAAACACCAGGCTGTGCCGAGATGTCGAGCATAGTCTGCAGATTATAGGTTGCGTGAGTGTTGTCTGGGTACTGGAACAGAATCAGGGGTAGGCCGGAGGTCTCGTATACGACCTTGTATCTGTCCTGAGGCGCACCGGGCTGGTAGCCAAACCTAAGCCAGCCGTGGGAGGGATAAAGCAGACCAGCTTTAGCACCTGCTTCTTTGGCCCGCTTTGCCTCCTGAGCAGCAACTTCTGTGCCCTCTCCGGTAATTCCGGCAATGACTGGAACACGACCATTTGTCGACTTGACGAAGGCCCTGATCACGTCCGATTGCTCTGAAACGGTCAAGAATGTTCCTTCGCCCGCATGTCCGAGCACAACTAGCCCTTTGACCCCCTCGATAGAGCCGAGCCAGCTTCCCAACCGTTGAATTGCTTCGTAATCAACTGATCCGTCTTCGTTGAAAGGGGTGACTGGTGCAGGTACAAGACCGCTAACATCGAAGCCGACGGTTCCGTTCGAGTGGCCGTTCATCTTGTCGGGAAGCTTCGGTTTGGTTGATGAACTTTTGAAGAACTGGTGTCCTGGTCTGGATGTGTTGTTTGTGAGGGAGAAGAAGGAGGTTTTCGTTTTGATGAAATGAAATCTCACACGAATGATCAGCTGCTATATATGCAACGCCTATTCTGTGCCCTCGATTCTCCGCTTGGTGTATTGCGCAAGTTCCTCATCACATGGCCAGAGCAAGGCCAAGGATATCGAGAGGGTCCGATTTTCCGTTCCGCTTTGGGACAAATCCGAAAAGTGAAGTCTCCACTTGGTCAGTCCGAGATATTATCCGGATTGAACAGAGCCATCCGATGTATCACATTGCACTATGACAGCACACGCCCCGTCCGGGTATTCATTGCAGTACCCACCTCCCCACTGACCCCAGTATTTCTGTATGTCGCGTGTGCGGAGAACCATGATGGAACGGGAGCGCTAACCACGGGCTATCTATCTGCACAATGCATACAAAAGCACTATGCTTCGACGATGTGCGCGTTGCATGAATTTGACCTCAGGGGCGAGACAATCACCAATCTCCCTGTATCCAGATAACTTACGACAGGATGTCGCGACAATCATACGGTGACGAGGACAACGGGTTTGACCTGGAAAAGGAGAAGGACGTGTACATTGAACAGGCTGTCGAACAAGTCCACAATGGCAACATGACTGCTGAAGAAGCCGCATTCCTCGCAAATTTCTCAGAAGACCAGAGGAAGGCAGTGGTTCGCAAAGTGGATTGGAGACTGGTCCCGATGCTACTCGTGCTGTACCTCATCAGTTTTATAGATCGTGCAAATATCGGTGGGTACTTCTCCTTACCGACAACCTATCGATGCTGACTACGACAGGCAATGCAAAGATTGAAGGCTTGCTTCCCAGCTTGAAGATGACTGGTACCCAGTACAACATCGCACTTGCAATCTTCTTCATCCCTTATACCTTGGCCGGTCCGTTTGGCGTCGCATGAATCTGTCCTGAAATTTTCTTGCTGACGTAGCCTCCAGAGGTACCCAGCAATGCGATTCTGAACATGTTCGAGCGACCTTCTCTATTCATGGGAGCCATTGTCACAGCATGGGGCCTAGTCATGACTTGTAAGTTCTAAACGACACCAAGCATATGGAGTAGTTCGTCTTGAGCTACTCGAAGCCTCATCTTACGTTGAAATGATCGAGTCAATTGCTGATGCTTTTTTGCTACGCATTTAGGTCATGGGTTCGTGAGAAATTTCGGGGAGCTTTGTGGTGTGAGAGTATTGTTGGGGCTCTTTGAGTGTGTACTGTCCAGATGGATGCCGATACAGCAGCACTAACATGGTCGTACAGAGCGGGTTTCTTCCCGGGCGCCATCCTGCTCATCTCCAAATGGTAAGCGTGGTCTCTGTCTCCCTTGCAGCCGCCAAAAGCCTTAGCCACTGCGGGCATACAAAGACACGGCATTGAAGATGGAGGGCAGATGAGGACAAACATTGTCAAGACACAGCTGACTCATACTCCACCTCTAGGTATCTTCCTGGCGAGAGTCAAACAAGGATTGCCATATTCTTCACTGCGAGTGCCATTGCCGGAGCCTTTAGCGGTCTTTTGGCATTCGGCATTGCAAACATGTCCGGAGTAGGAGGCTACGAAGGGTGGCGATGGGTGAGTCGACCATTGCTTGCAGTCGTCCATCACCCCGCTTACATCACCATCATTAGATCTTCATCCTCGAAGGCATCGCATCAGTAGCGGCTGGCGTAGCCTGTTTCTGGCTCCTCATCGATACTCCGAAACACTCGAGCCGCTGGCTTTCGCCTGACGAGATACGATACCTTGAATTGCGCCAAGTAGCTGCAGGGCGTGTCCGACCCAAAAGTGCAAAGAAAGAGAAAGCCTTCGATCGGCACATACTGTGGGCTGTAATGACTGACTGGAAGATATACCTTCTAATTCTCCAGTTTTGGAGCAACGTTACACCCAACTACGGCCTGAAATTTACAATGCCACAAATCATTAAGAACATGGGATACACATCGGCCAACGCACAACTACTCACCATACCATGCTACACCGTGGTAAGTGCACGGAGTTTGGAGGGTATAGAGCATAACTCGAGGCCTTTCTTTGAAGTTCCATACGCATGCTAACCAAACTCCCAATCCAGGGAGCAATCGCCGCATATGGCTTCTCGGTCATCTCGGATCGATACAAGTGGAGGATGCCAACTATTGTATTCCCACAACTGTGCGTGGTGACAGCATACGCCATCCTCTGTGCCAAAGCAGGTGATATCTCGAATAACAYCCCAGCTTGCTACTTCGCCATCTGTCTCGCGTGCTTTGGGTAAGTGAAGGACGCCTGCTGCGATAATTTGAAGTGGACTACATGCTAATGGCATCTCAGCCTTTATCCCATCGGACCCGGCGTCCAAGCATGGAATATGAATAACCTCGCCGGACCAGCCAAGCGGGCCATGGGCATTGGGTTCATGACAGGAGTGGGAAACATGGGTGGCATCACTGGTAGCTTCATCTTCATCGAGCAGGAAGCTCCCACATACCCGGTGGGCTTCGGCGCGTCTTTGGGCTTTGCGGCCGCGGGTGTGTTGGCCGCTTTGGGACTCGAGTTGATGTTGTGGACTTCTAACAAGAATGATGCGAAGCTTACGGAGGATGAAATTCGCGCCATGTATAGCGAGGAGGAATTGGATAATATGGGAGACAAAAGCCCACTATTCAAATATACTCTATAGCTGTTGACTTCCAATAGCTATGATAAGTGTCGAAATTCCAAACAAGCTCGCGTCTCCTCCTACAGGGCCCGGAGAGGAAGGAGTGGTGGACCAAGCAGGTGTATTATAGTGGTTCTTACTTCATCAAAGACTCTGTACATTACATCAAAATACGCGATTAACGACAATCACCTCCACTTTAACATCTCACATCTCCCGGTGAAATTGAACGTTGTCGCCCTAACTATAGCAGCCCAAAATCCTGTATATCCTGCAACAACGACAGCACGATTAAGAAAGAAGGCATTACTCGACGAGACCTTCGATCCTCCGCATTCRAATCTCCGGAAGACGGCTGCTTTTTGTGCTTGTAGCTACCTGTTTGTGAGCGTTTTTATCGATTCATCACAAGGAGAGGCATGAATCTTCAGTTTCACCCCAGCGTCCAGGAAGAATTGCGGAAAATAATTCTTCCAGAGCTTGGTAATCAAACTCTCCGGAATATCCCAATGAAGCTAGCTCCGCCGACTTCTCCGCGGGAGCATTGACTTCACGTCATCTTCCCCGGATTTCCAATTTCGCAATGACTTTACATAGGGCTAGGTATACGGCATATTGACCATGTTCAGCACGTGGAGCAGTACCGATCACCACGATGCTTCGTCGCCCGCCGCAAAGCGGCATTGCGATTCAGAGAGACAACACGGACGCCATGCCTCCAAGGCCACGCGAGCTTGTGATGTCTGCAAGGTACCCAGCGCCGATCTCCTCGCCGCGATGCCGTGTCGTGATGTTGACTGGAAACTTGTAGGCAAAAAAAGCTCGATGCACCGGAGCGAGGYCATGTGCCACATGCGCGGAAAGAAGCCTTCGTTGTACCTATGAAAGCAGCTACCTTCGAGGTCGCCCTCCGACCCCTTTATCCCCAGTAGTTGCTGGCAATAATGATCCCCAGTACCACGCTCCATCTAGCACAACAACCACYAGCGTACTACGGGACGAACAGGCCATTTTTGCAACTAACACGCCATACGCGAGCAATGAAATCCGAGATGGCACGCCTCTACCATTTCCAGGTCCATCCCGCAATACTGATGCCGGTCGATCGTCCAGGAACTCGCCTGATCCCGCAGCGACCATCGGGAACGGACAATATGTTGATCACACCTCTGCATTAAGCTTTCTGCATAGAGCGTACGCCAAGTCGAAGGTTGGAAAGGCACATGATTCTAGTCATACCGGAACATCAAGCCAACCACTTACTGCGGCTGGAGACAAGCCCCTCCTTGGCCCTTCTTCAGCTGGAACAACCGTCAATCCCACCATCTTGCCTCCCATCCCCAATGCTGTGGAAAGTAAGGATCTGTTCGATCTTTATTTCGAAGTGTGCGTGGCCACTTACAAGCCTCTCCATCGCCCGACGACCGAGAAGTGGTACCAGCAGATTCTGGCGAACATTGATCAAGGCTTAACGCTGACAGATAATATTGGCAATGCTAGAGTAGCAGTGTTGCTAGGAGTTTTTGCCATTTCAACTTTCCATCGTCAGAAGTCTCGAGGGTTCTCCGAGGACATTCCATCTCTATCGCAAAGTGACGCTTTCTTCAAGGTCGCAGCGAATCTCATTGAAACAGAGACTGGAGAACCGACGTTAGAATCAGCACAAGCTAGGATCTTGCAGGTCTTCTATTTACTGATGACCTGTCGTATGAACCAGGCTTGGTACATATTCGGCAATCTGCTGCAAATCATATCCGCCCTCGGCATGCATAGACGCAGCAGGAAGGACAAGCTGTACTCCCGCTCCCGCTCTCGCTCCAATTACATTCATTCGCAGTGTAGGATTCGGACCTTCTGGTGCGCCTACATCTTGGATCGATATCTCGGGGTCGTTATGGGGCGTCCAAGGCACTTTCATGACAAAGACATTGACCAAGAAGAACCTGCTCGCGTTGAAGACGTTGACATGTCGGCCAGTGGCCGAATATCAAGTGAGGGTGATGAGACCGACGAATGCCATATCGATGGCTTCATATGGAACATTAAGCTCGCACAGTTCGTGGGTGAGGTTTCTGATGAACTATATCCAATCAGGCCACTCCCGGAGGCTGCATGTGTCGCTGCTGCTCGGAGACTCGCCGTCAAGCTTGAGGAGTGGCATAAGTCCTTGCCGGCCTTGTTGAAGGCAAATCCTAAGCATTTGATAAGAAGCTTCCGACGGCAATGCGTAGCGCTCAAGTTGGCGCACAAGCACGCCGTCATGCATCTCTACAGGCCTTTCTTATTGAACCGCTCGAACAACACAGCGTTATCCAGCGACGACGAAGACATCCAGCTATTCCGGCGAGAAAGTATCATAGCGTGCACCAGTGCTGCCAAAGTTGCATTGAGTACAGTGGACGCCCTCGCACAGGAAGGGCCTATCTTCCATGCCTTCTGGTGGACACACTATATGACTTTCTGCGCCTTGTCGGTCACGTACGTGTGGAACTTACAACWGGACCAATCCCTTGAAGCGTCCGAAAAGGAGGCATTGCTATCTCTGGCTGCACGCTGTCAAGTACACCTTGCTCAGGCTACAGCAACAAACTCACCGAGTCGCCGCTATAGCATCATCTTGGAAGAGCTCGGAGGCTTGTCTGCCAATCAACATCCAACGGTTGCCCAAAGTCTCGGAACAGAAATGCAGCGCCGAGAAAATCGCGAGCGAATTACCGCCACGGCAACGACCCACGCATTCGATACTAATGTGTTTGCTCAAAGCGACATGTCTTTGCAACTCCAGGATCCCTTCTTGCATTGGACTGCTTCGGATTGGTTGGATCTTGATGCTTCAGTAAGTCACACGATGCGCGGAGATTGTGTTCTCGCCACTAATTGACCATTCTAGGCATACGGGTTGATTCCAGGACTGAGTCCAGATTTCCAATGGCTGGATGCAACTTGAACCAATGGTACGCTCAGCGCCACATCATAGCCTCCATCTCGCCATCATAATCCGTGCACTCTTCTCCAAATGGTTTGCAACGGGGCTCGCATATTATATCTGGAGGAGGCAATTTGCCTGTATCCACGTACGTTTTGACATGCGACCACATGCAATCCCCAGCGGGCCATAAACTTCCGTGGCCGACCGAGTCTTGTTGCAGCACAGCGCTCCCTTCGAACCCGGCTGCCATCTTGTGGGCGTTCTTCAAAGGCGTTACTGGGTCCAAGGCATTGTTGACAAACAAGATCGGAACTGACGCAGTAAAAGGTCCGTCAAATCTCCACTTAGTCCTTAGCGACGGACTCCATGACCAACAAGCAAGTTTGAAGTCGGCTTGATACGATGATGCCCATCCAAAACGTGCGGTGAGGTTGCTAAGGTATGTCCTAAAACCATCTAGGCCTTCGTTCGATAGATCAGGTCCGTCAGAGCAATGGACAGCCGGAGACACTTCGCCGCCTTGGTATCTACAAATGAAGGTCAGCATCGAGCGAAAGCCGAACAGGGTGGCTTTTCAGCACAGCAATGCCTCCATATGACGTACGTATTTGTGAGCAACTCGTCCGAGAATGTATCTTCAGTGGGAACTGCGCGATGCCAGAACGGAGTAGCAGGCTTGTTACCAACGATGAGGTCGTTTGTAAACTTGGCGAACGGCTTGAAGAAGAACAAAGGCTGATACGCGGTGGTGAAGAATCCTTGTAGAACGTCAGAACTTGTAATGGGCATTGCCCGCCCGTCGCCACTCAGGCATGAAGGAGAGTCCTCGAGAGCTATGAGGAGATTCTCGAAACGATCTTGGATATCGCCCGGTGTCTTATCGTGCTCCCGGTAGAGAGCGCAGTCATGTTCGCCGGCGAAACACCGTTCGAAGAAGAAAGCCCGTATATCGGCGTGGTCATCAATTGACGCCTCCCATTTACTTTGCCAGTTTTCTGCGTCTAGGTTGGCATCCAACACCATCTTTCCAACCATCTCCGGGTACATCGCGGCGAAGGTTGTGCCGAGGAAAGTGCCATAAGACTGTCCGAAGTATTGTAATTTCGCGATTGGCTTTGCTGAGCCGTCCAGTGGGACTTGGTTCTCACGCGGAGTAGATTCAGTCATGGCTTCCAGTCTTTGTTGGTCGATCTTCTTCACAATTGCGAGTAGATCTCTGGCAACAGATGCGGTCGAAACATGCTGCCGTAAGTTCTCGCCATCCGGGTACTTTCCATTTCCTGTGCTAGCACATAGTTGACCGCGTGCCTTTTCACTGGCCCACGAGAATTTGAGGGCATATTCACTCGAATCGAGAGTGCCGACAGCAGCCTTAGTGTCGTACCATATCTCACTTTGGACAGCGTTGTCAAAGCAATAGGCGTTCGGTGTCGATCGGAATATGCCTCTCGGGTCGAAGGAGAGTATCTCGTAATGTCGCTCTCCATCGAGAAGACGTTGCATTCGTTTTCCAACTTGAAGCAACCAGTCCACTCCACTTCCTCCAGGCCCTCCTAAAGCAAAGTATAAAAGGTAAGCAAGTGGCCTGGACGGCGTGAAGCTGTATGTAGGTTTTCAGACATGCTCTATGCCTTCCATACTTCATTCAGTTTGACTCACCAGGATTGATCACGATAGTGCCACCGTGATTGGGATGAGAGGCGGGGACTGTAGCAGGTAGTCGTATTACAGCGAGCGATACATTGTGAGGACTTGACGAATTCTTCCAATCCAACGGAACCGTCAGTCGAGCACATTCAAAATCCGAGTAACATTCTTGATAGTGAAGATCGATTTGTGATGTAAGGTTTCCCCACTGAAAATGATGTCCGGGATCCCGAACGCTAACAGGAACGGGAACAAGAGCGGAGGCAAGAGAAAAGCAAGCACAAATCAAATGTAGTATGCGGGCCATGTCGTACGTGAAGAAATGAGTTGATGACATAGGAAGACATGTTTTTGATGCATGATCGCGGGGAGATAAGAAGAAGTGGTGCGGCGGGGATCATTCTCGGTGCCATCCGTGATCGCCGTCAGGATTCGTGGCACTTGCCGCACAGTCAGTCACATCTGGTGTGATGATGGTGGCCTCACTACTCTGCAGGGAGAAGCGGGAATAATGGCAAGTTGGACAAACACAAAGCGTGGAGTGCGATGACGACTTGGTGGTCTTCGCTGATCTGATTGATTAGATGTGTGGTTGTTCCCTCAGCACAACCTCTAGTAGTCTCCCAAATTCTCCATAGCTAATCCTRCCCTTCGAATCCGCCGCTCCCGTACTTGCAGCTCGCTTGTACACTTGCTGCATATCGCGACGACCGACCCTGGCGACCCATCCAGTACTCAGTACCAGAGTGAGTCGTTCGCCGTCCGGACTCCAGCCTAGAACCCCGCCGGCATTTAGGATCCTCTCTACCCATATTTCATCTGCATCGCCGCCCATTCTCCCAGCAACATCTATCAAGTTGGAAGTGCCGGATTCGTCCAACTCTCTCCTCACCATTCCCAAGACCTCATCTCTGCGATTGATCTCRTTCTCGTGCGCTGTACGTTCCCGCTCCTTCCTCTCCTCCCGTTCCTTGGCCTTCTTGGCTTCAACAACTGCTGCTGCTGCTCTTCGCCTTTCACGCTCAGCATTCTGTTCGGCTTCTCGTTCTGCTGCACCTTCTGCATCTCGTGCTCGCTGAGCCTCGCCTTGTGATCGCATAAACTCATTGTACGCACGCCGTTGGTCTTTTCTAGCTAGCGATTTGGACTTCTTGGCACCGACATTTCGCTGAGCGGGCATATTTGGTGCGTCTGCAGGACCAGCTTCTCCCTCGACAGGATGCCCGGGTATATCCAGATCTGGCATGGCATCCTGGTTTGCGTTCCCTTCATCGGCTATGTGGTCATGGTCTTGATTTCCCGCTTCTTCATTGACATGCTGCTGTGGTTCCTCCTGGTGAGTTTCATCCTCGAGCACCGTATCTGCAACTTCATCATCCCTGTGCTGTCGGAACCGCTCTTGTATCTGTGGCGCAAAGTAAAGTAGAGTGGCAATCACGCCCAGATGTATCAAATCCTGCATGATGGGTGTCCCGGGAGTGGCAAACGGCAGCAGCCTGTTTATGAGGTTAAGTAGAGACGCCATGCTTGTCGGATTGATGATAAAGAGGATGGAATGTCTGTGTTAATTGCGACAGATGCTCGCGGGTTCACGCCTTGGAGGAATCCCGCATAGTCCGCCTTCGCCGGGAATTTATTCGCTTGTAAGAAGCAATTTTCAAATTTTGACTCAAATAGATCACAGTGCGACGCTGCAGTAATCCTCCGGCAATTTTCCACTTCAGATGTTGATGTTGATGTAATGGTGTCATGGGAATGGAAGGTGAGGTTTCAATGGTTCAAATGTTACGGTACCTTACCTACGACTTCGTGGCTCGTATCAATACGAGAAGTATAAAAGGAACAACAAATGAACGTGAAAGTCGAGTCCTCACCGGCAGAGTACACGAGCAGTCAACAGTGCTGGCATTGGCATAACCCCAAAGATATGAAGATACTGTGGCAGGTGAATGTGGGTATCGATCATGGTACAACTAGAACTATTAAGTTCTTCACAGGTGATCGATTCTCAAGCTCATTACTGAATAGCTATCACTACGTGAACGACAGGTCTATTGGAAGATCAGATGAGCCTCGAAAGTGTTGCATTGGTTGAAACGTCTCCGCTGCGAAAAGGTGGACGCCTCCGATTGTAGTGGTCRGCATGCATGTGAGGCATCGCCCTTCAATTTTCTGTCCCTTGCAATGCTACACATCGACATTCGATCTCATAGCTTTCGATCGGAAAATTTCCTGTAAGTTGCCGGCCAAAGCCAGATCGATCGTGCGGCTGATAGTGCTCCGATAACTTCAGTCGGTATCTGATCGTCGGACACCATCGCAACAACAGGCCTTTATTATGCGGATCCTGGGTGCAAGCTCCAACATCGAGATGGCTCGGGGAGACTCTTGGCCGGAGATGAGCTGGAGACATCGATGTCTGCAATCCGCATCGGTGATCCGACAGAGACTTAGTCCGTCTACACACTTCTTCGCCAGGATGTCGAGTAGGGTGAGGCTCAATCCATCATGATTGAGAAGCAAACTCTAGTGTGCGCGTACCTGCAACGAACTCGTGACGAGTGGTGTTCCATCCTGCGGTCGAATCTAGTCTAGACGTTGCGAGTTTCGGCAGAGGTGCCTTTCGTATCCAGATCGGGAGGCCATCAGAGCACCACGTTTAGTAGAGACAAAAAAGTCCTGGATACTTGAAGGTTGAGCAGTGTGAACAGTGAAGTTGCCAAAGTCTGTCGGAGTCTCCGGAAACGGTGCGCTTGGGATATGGCCTGCCAGTCCATACTCGAACCTATTTGACAGATAGGTACGCAGCTTCAAGCTCACCTCATGACTGGCGGTCGGCCTTCTTTATTCCACTTGATTCTCGAAATCAGCCAGTCAACAGCTTCCTTAACGCCTGTACCGGTAAGAGCACTCAATGGAAGTACTCTTGAGTCTCGCACGTTCTGACCTTTCTCACCCTCGAATACCTTTCTTACCAGCCCTTCCTTGATCCTCACAACCTCTACACAGTCCTCACGATCCTGCTTGTTGGCAAGGACCAAGACTGGCACTCCCTCCGTCTGTTCGTTCTGCAGGACGTCCTCCAGCACCAGCCGGCATTCCTCCAGTCTCCCTTCCTCGTCTTCATCTTTGCGATTCTCCTTACTCAGGTGCTCGATGTCCGCGTTGCCGACGTCCGAGCTGTCGATTACAAAGACAATCGCATGACAGCTGCTGTAGTACGACTGCCACAACCCGCGCAAAGAATGCTGACCACCGACATCCCATACCCTCAGATACATCTCCGGAAGGTCGATCAAGCTGACATTTTGACCCACTGTAGGTACTGTCTTCAAATTCGGCTGGTGCTCTTCGTTGTAGAGGCTCTTGATCTGCTCCAGGAGCGTCGTCTTGCCGGCATTGTCGAGCCCGAGCAGGAGGATGGAGTACTCTTCCTTGGACGTGGCGTGCAAATAGAGAGACTTGACGAGATGATACATCTCTGCTACCGGTGGTGTCCAAGTCGCATCGCTTGCACAATCAAGTGTTTGTCGCAGACGTGCAACGCGCAGAGGAATGTTGTCTTGAAGTCAGGTAGGTAGCTTCAGATCGTAGAACTGTATCTCATTGGTCAACGTCGATCTTAGTCTTGGCGACTGCTTCCACACTCGCCTTTTCCATCGACCTCCGCACCCGTCAGTCTCACCACTCCCACATCACTCGCAAACATGGCACCCGCAGCAACTGGWGGCAAGAAGCAGAAGAAGAAGTGGTCCAAGGGAAAGGGTATGCAATTCCCACCCCCGCAGCGCAGCATCTCGATATTCCACGTCCGCGCGCACCCAACACCACCCATACAATAATACTAACCCGCCACGAACTGCAGTCAAGGACAAGGCCCAGCACACCGTCATCCTCGACAAGGCCACCAACGAGAAGCTTCAGAAGGATGTCCAGTCCTACCGCCTCGTCACAGTCGCCGTTCTCGTCGACAGACTGAAGATCAACGGCTCATTAGCGCGCAAGGCACTCGCCGACTTGGAGGAGAAGGGTGTGATCAGACAGGTGGTCAGCCACAGCGCCGGCAAGATCTACAGTGAGTGGCGACACCAGATGATTCGACCATCATCACGGACAGTCAGGACATTGTACTGACATCTTTCTCTCAGCCCGAGCTGTCGGTGGTGCGGATTAAGCGGAGAGGCATTTTCGTACTCGGTCGAGCCAAGACATTTACTGCATGGATGAATACCTGATGGCGTACGGATGGATTTTCACAAGTGCGAGGGAGCACACAGCCAGGAGTGGAATGACCCACTTCTAGGTCTCTGTCGGTCGGGCAGATTTGATGCGACTTCATACCTTCGCCTAGAAAAGCAGTGAATGAATAGCGAACACCGTCACGAAACCATGAATGAGCATCCATGCGTCACAATTCCGAATATAAAGGTTTAGTCTTGAGATCGGTAAGGTACTGTGGCAGCAAGACTATGACATGCGAGACAAGTCTACATTTTATCGAAAACCTCCGTTCCCGTCATCCTCGTCTTCGGATGGCCATGATATCTTTGATCTTCCTTGTCGGTCTCTCCTCCATCGTCTTCGTCATCAATGTCGTACACAAACTCGGAGCCATTCAAGAAAGTACTTCTCTCAGCTTCGGAAGCATGCATCATGTCGAAGCTGCTCGCGCTGGAGCTCGCGCCCGGTGACGCTGGCTTGTGCTCGCTGACCGGTCTGCTCTGGACTTCGCCGACCCAGACTTGCCCACCATTACCGGCTTTGGTGCGTGAAATTTCCTTCTCTTCCAGCGAAARGCGGCCTTCTTCTAGTCCCAGCGAGCGGCGATGCCATTCGCCTAGGAACATGCCTTCAGGATCGGCTTTGTTACGGATCTGCAGCCACTGAGTAAAGTTATCACCCAAAAAGTCCCCGATGGACGTGACCACGAAATTTTTCGCATAGTGTGGCTTACCACCCAGATCGCGCATCAGCCACTCGAATGCTTCATAATAGCGCTTGTGACAAGGTGGGTCGCGGAGATATGCGCGATATAGAGTGGCGTTGAGATAAAGGGTTGGCCCATTCTCATTCGTATTGTCAAGGAGCGGCCGCGGTCCCTCTCGCTTGGACGTGTCTGAAACGCGGACTTCAATCGGGCAGTGAACATAGAGGCCCTTGCTACTGAAAGGAATGCCACCACCGCCGGTCTCGCCATTCAACCAGGCCGAAAGACGAGTGATGGCTTCAGGACCCTTGCTCAGAGGTATCGCCCACTCATTAACGAATTGAGAATAGAGACAATTCATCAGCAATCCCGTGCGGAGCTCCTCGACCGCAGTGGTTGTGGTCCCAGGAGAAAAGCCGTACTGCATGCCAAACACGAACCATTCAATGCCGGGCAGGATCCAAGGTATGTAGTTTGACAGCCATAGGAGGTTATGGTAGGTGTGAAACCCTACTGAGCCGCCGTACCAGGATTCTGTTGCCGGCTTGAGAGGCTTACTGGTCTTCTCGGCGGACCATTTGATAGCACGCTTCATATATGGCATCCACCAGACCCTCGTGAATTCCTTCTGGGTCCACAGGGTGTTGTCCCACGTTGCCAGTATCTCACTGAGCGGTAGCAAGGACTGCTCCCACTCGATGTTGCAAGCATCGACCATTTCAAACTCCACTTCCACTATGATTCCCAACGCGCCCAAGGATACCAGCGCAGCACGGAAAAGTTCCTCATTCTGATCCTTGGAACATCTTACCGCCTCCCCATTTGCCAGCACGATTCTCAAACTCCTGACCGAATCACTGAGCAGGCCGTGCCTGAGTGAGCTTCCATGCGTCGCCGTCGCAATAGCTCCAACTATACTCTGCTCATCGATACTCCCGAGATTCGGCATGGTCAAGCCACGACGGTTGGCCTCGGCATTGAGCTGGCGCAGTCTTATGCCACCTTCCACAAGAAGCGTCTTCTTCGCCTTATCCACATTCAGCACCTTGCTGTAGTCATCCAAATTTACCATCCACGAAGAGGAGCAAGTGATATCACTCGGAGAGTGCCCACATCCTACAACCACTATTCTTCGTCGACATTTTCGTGCGAGCGTGACCACCTTCTGTACTTCTTCGAGCGACCGGGGTTTTATATAGAGCTCCGGGCGAGATTGGAACGTCTTGGCCCAGGTGTAGTGCACATGCCTGTCAGTGGCACGAAATGGCACATCGGGCTCCGTTGCTGCGATCTCGTGCTGCAGCTTCTCCATCCTGCGGCTTGCGTTGGCTATTGGCTTCCGGAGACTGGGTTGGGGTGAATAGGGACAAAATTAAAGCGAGCGGCTAGCATGCGTCCGTATTAAGATCGAGCGTGTTCATCGTTTGTCTTGCAAGGATGCTACAATTCGATGATGCTTGGAGACAGTGTTCCCATCTGCCGTAGAAGTGGGGTCAAGACGGCCTGTTAGCGCTCCACATCGAGTAASCGTGTAAGATGCCGACCGCACGTCAGCTCGTTGCTATGGGAAAACTAGCTAATGCACCCCGGTCCGCTATAAACAACACACAGAACAGCCACCATCCCAACACGCAGCAATTAGAGGTTACACAGACATCTGGATATCCGCAAACGAAGCGCGTTCCCCGAGTATGCCGACCACGACCATGGAGGCGCCGTTCAAATTCCCATCGCAACCTCTTCACCAGCTCTCACCCGAACGTCTCAACTCCGGTACGCGAAGGCCAAGCACCGCGACATCCAGAATGTCGTCTGCAATTATCGACGCGGAGAACCCATCGCCACACTCATCACCCACGCGCAAACCGAAAGCAAACCTTTTTGCCGATTATGATCCTCATCGGTCCCCTGTGAAGGAGACAGGCTTTTCTTTGACGGGATCACCCTCTCTCCCGGAGATTCACGCCTTTCGCAGCCATGGAAGGACAAACAGTGACGTGCAGGGCTTGGTGAAGCGTTTTGAGCATCTAGATGTCCGCGATCGGGATGCAGAAAGCGCGGAAAGAAGGAAGAGGCACGAGGCGGAGCTTCGACGAGCACAGATTGGACGTGAGGAAGCAGAAAACGATGTGGCGCGTCTACGAGAGGAAACGCGGCGGCTCAAGAAAGAAGGAGATGAGAGTCGCGATCGTGAGCGGAAAGTTTGCAAAAGGCTTGAAATCGTTATGGTGAGTCCCAACTATGCAGAGCGATAAGCGTTGACTGACTGACACGGCATCGCAGGAGGAATTCTCAAACTTTAAAGAGGCACACGCCTCCCAACTTGCAGTATACAAAGACGACAGCCGCAAAATACGCAAGGAGGCGTTCAAGTCGTCATCGGCGGTGCTCAAGCTACAAGAGGAACTCAAGTCGACCAGAAACACCATGCGTATCACACAACAAGGAATTGATATGGAAAAGAGAAAAGTGCAGCAAAGAGAGCAGGAGGCATTCGAGGCGCAGTATCAGCTAGTAGCTGTTCAGGAAGAGCTTGAAAAGCTACGAGTACATCTGCAGACTGTCCAAGAAGAAAAAGATGCCTTGAAGACGAGTTTGAAGGAGGAGGAGGTGGCGCGTGTTGCAGCTGAGGGAATGATCGMACTTCCAATGTCTACCCCGGACGAGTACGAGCCTATGAGCTCGCCACGGAGGAAGTCGCCCACCAAAAGAAACGCTTCGCCGTTCTCGGACGATAAGGAGAATGCAGGTGTGGTCACTAGAAAGATGCTCGACACTAGAAGATTCGACGAAGAACTGGCTCGCGAACGGAGGATGCGACGCAACGCCGAGGAGCTTGCTGATTTCCTGCGCCTGGAATGCCACTTCCGCTGCTGTCCATGCCGGTCTTCTGATACCTCAGGACATGATCAAAATATCTCCGTCTCGCCTGACCTTGGACAGGCCTTTGAAGAGATTAGGAATGAGATGCAGGCTATTTTGTCTCCCTCCACAGTTGAGGATGTGGACCGTGACATGCATGTTGCTGGGCTGGCGGCTGCTGAGATGATGGAGGATACCGAAGAACTCCACACTGTGATCCATGTCAAGCTCGAGAAATCGCCCGACATCGAGATGGAACAGGCGACCCCTGTTGAGGTCGATATTCCAGCCGAAGACTTCCATCGCAGCATAACAATGGCCGAAGAGACCTCAGATGAACGGCTGGTCCGGGAACGGATGGAGACATGTGCGGTCGAAGATGRGGAGGGGGTTCCAGAGGATGAGACTATTCAAACACCGCGTACAACGCCCGCTGCATTGACTCCTGAGCCTGAGCACGATTCTGTCGAAGCCCACCCCGAAGGACAAGAGGACGAGGAAAGTGCGACTCCCTTGGGGACATCAATAAAGGTACCCCTCCTCCCTTCCAGCCCAAGACACGATTCCCCACCCGCCGCTCAGAGCACACCCTACCGTCCCGTGTCACGCACCTACACCACCACAATCCCCATGAAGTTCACGCCTGTGAAGCCCACATTTGCTGTTGGAAACTACGACGCTGAGGAGAAGAACCACGAACTCACCGCACCACCCGCAGACTCTCCTCGATCGAGACACGACTCCGCCCCCACCTTTGATAGAGCAGCCGCTCTTGCTGCCATTGCATACCGCAGGGGAAGAGCCAAGTCCATCGCCGATGGACAAATGACACCTCGGAAACAAATGTTGCAGGGCACCGTGAGTCGTACCGAGAGGRGAGATGTGAGTGCCCCTACACTTGGACAGAAAGCGAGTGCTGCGAATGTGCATGTGAGCAAAGGAGGCAGCGCGAGTGCCGGACGTGCCGTTGGGAGTCGCAGTCGGATTGGCATGCGCTAGAAGGTTGAGAGCGAGACTGATTTGACGCTTTTCGCGCTGGTGCTCATGGGGTTTGATTTAGCGAAGGTGTTTATGGTTGGGACAGCCTGCGCTGCTTGTTTATAGCTTCTGGAAGATACCTACCTACCTTATGAGATCGATTGTTGTGTTTACTTTATCGCGCTTCAGCTATCAAGTGCYCTATACCCTGTGCCCTTTGTGGAATTGATGCAGATGCATCTGCTGCTACTTGATCTCGCTACGGCTCCACAAGCCTGTTTTGTCCAACAGAGAAAGAATTCATCACACCGCCTCACTCACAATCGACAGGCGGCAGTCAGATTCCAGGTTGGATTAAATCTTCAGCTGATCGAGACCCCCACCCGCGGGCCGGGACAGCCCGCGCCCGCACCTACCCCACCAGATCCACGCGCTTCTTGAGACATCTTTGCCTCAAGGTTGGAGTAACACCTCGTATAGTTAGTTGCAAACGCTCTTCAGCTCTGGTCACAACCTCGACATCCTCCGCTCGCTCATCCCTTCCTCCCTCAACGACGCCATCATGTCGGCTACACCTCATCAAGTAGCATCGCTGCTGCCCAAGCTGCAAGATGCAGACAGCGATATCCGCTACATGACGCTCGTCGACCTCAACACGATGCTCGTACAAGGCCATGCCGGCTTTCTCTCACACGACTACACCGCATGCGCCAAGATTGTCGAAGGCCTCCTATGCACACTCAACGACAGTCACGGCGATGTGCAGAATCAGGCCATCAAGACTCTGGGAGCGTTTGTGAACAAGGCACCAGAGGCCATCCTCTGTCCGACAATCGAAAAAGTCAGCAATATCAAGACTGAAAACYCTATCGACACATCCATCCCCGCGCTCGCCGTGCGGGCCATCGTCATGGCACTACCACATCCGACACCTGGCATTGCTCGGACTGACAGGGTTATGGCAGCTTACAACTCCGTGTCGAGAGCTCTGATCCCGCGTCTTGTCGGTCGTGTTATCATCCCGATTCCAGGCGGAAAGGCGGTCGCCGCGCCGCCTCGAGGAATGCTACAAGACGATCTGGAAACGGGCAACGACAGCAGCAGCTTGGATCTCCTCGCTGAAGTTGCACGCTGCTTTGGAACCATGCTGCAAGATCCAGAGGTTGAAGCCTTGGAGGAAATAACCATTCAAATTTTGGAATCRGAGCGCTGTGGCACAGTCATGAAGAAGAAGGCCGTCAACGCGCTCTCAACGCTCGCACTCTACTTTAACGATGCCATCCTGGCCAATTTCGTCAGCTACAGTATCCAGCGACTCCGCGAATCCCATCTCACAAGCCAGCAGCGTAAGCTTTACCTCACGGTATTTGGGAGCTTGGCGCGTAGTATCCCGCAGAAGTTCGGCCCATACCTCAAGACCCTGGCTCCATTCGTGCTCGCACCACTTTCTGAGGAAGAGCTTAATCAGCAACGCGAGGCAGAGGCAGAGGCAGACGGTGAGCGCGATGTCCAGATGGAAGATGTACGCGAGGCCGCGCTGGTCGCAATCGAGTCTTTTCTAGAAGCATGCGCACAAGATATGAGGGTCTACACAAAAGAGGTAGTGGATAGCGCCACTCGATTTCTCAAGTACGAGCCCAACATGGCTGATGACGATGATGAGGACATGGAGGAGGAGGCAGAAGAGGAAGACGAGTTTGCAGGGGATGAGGACTTTGAGGAAGAGACTGGGTTCGAGGATGAAGACGATGTGAGTTGGAAGGTCCGAAGATGCTCGGCGAAAGCTCTGCACGCTCTAGTCGGTGTGCTCGATGCGAATGATCCCGTCATGTACAATCAGCTCGCGCCTGCACTCATCTCCCGATTCAGGGAGCGGGAAGAGAGTGTGCGAACAGAGATCATCGCGACACTGGCTTCGCTCATCAAGAAGACCGGAACGATCTCCTCACCAACAAAGAGCGCCGACCATCCCACCAACACCCAGAGTAGGAAGAGAAGACGTGGATTTAGTGAATCCTTGGGCTCTGATCTTCGAACTCAGCAGTCGTTGATGAATGGCTATGCCTCACCTTCAACTCCGCCGCCAGTGGATAGCGCGACGAAGGGATTGGCAAAGATCAACCCAGACATCGTAAAGGGAGCCACAAAGTTGCTCAACTCAAGCACCCCGGCTACCAAGCAGGGCGTCATCTCGCTGCTCAAGGACATGGTCGCAGCTCAGCAAGGTGGACTTTCCGAACACTCCGATCTTGTGATTGGTCCTGTTGTCGAGACGATGAATGCCAATGCCGGGTCGAATGTTGCCGCGAATGCGCTGCGTGTTGAGGCACTGGGTCTCCTCCGTGTGATTGCCGAGATGCACTCAAGCAAAGTCATCCAGCCACATCTCAAGGCCATAATCCCCACACTCATCTCTGCTGCTACAGATCGCATGGCCAAGATTGCTGGCGAGGCTTTCACGACTATCGAGATCTTTATCAAGGCGCTCACCCCTCCTCGCTCAGCGGCGGGTAAAAATGGTGATGCCTTGACCCAACTTTACCAAGTCACTGTTGATCGCATTTCTGCCTCAGACACCGACACCGAAGTTCGACAAAAGGCTGTGCAGGCTCTTGGTCTCATAATTGGTCGCACCTCAGGCTCGACTGCAACGAACCTGCTGTCTCAGGAAGACCGTTTTGCTGGTCAGCAGCTCATTGCAGATCGTATGAAGAACGAGCTCACCCGTCTGTCGTGCGTTCGAGCGATCGACACAATTGCTGTGCTTGCGCAGAACAAGAAGGACTTCAAGTCGGACTTTGTTGGCAATGTTGCTGTTGAACTTGGTGCGCAGCTGCGTAAATCAAGCCGCTCGCTACGAGGCGCAAGTCTGAGTGCACTGCGCATGTTGGCTGTCAATCAGGCATCGCGCGAGACCATGAGTGACAGCGTTGTCAGCAATCTGGTTGAGGCATTGGTTCCTCTGCTCGAGCCAAAGGACCTCCACATGATGAGCCCAGCCCTGATCGTACTTGCTGCATTCACAAAGGACAAGCCGACGCTGGTGTCGACGACAGCCGTTGTCAGAGGAATTTGCAAGATCGTGCAGGCTCCTCTGTCTGGCGTCGCTTTGGACTCGCTGCTCGCCTGCGTTGAGGCTATTGGCCAAGCTGGAGCTGGCAAGACGCTCATGTCTGCTCTGCTGCAGATGGCGCCTCAGGGTGATACGGACGTAACTGGGCAGGTTATTGGCACGCTCCTTGTAAGTTTTCACCCGCTGTGTCCGACAACGAACAATCTCCCCTTGGACGAGGATAACTGCTAACCAGCTTTCTTTAGGTTTCTGGTGGCGAGAGCTCGGGTGTGAAATTGCAAGCCTTCGTCAAGGAGGTGGACACACAGTCCGACGAGTCCAAGAAATGTCTCGCGCTGTCCGTTCTCGGCGAAGCCGGGCTGCGTATGGGTAGCAGCAGCCCGCTTAAGCCCGCAAACTTTACTGCGCACTTCAGCAGCACGGAGAAGGTGAAGCTTGCTGCCGCTATTGCTCTCGGACGCGCTGGGGCAGGAGATGTCAAGCAGTATCTGCCGCAGATTCTGCAGGGCATGTCCGTCGGCACGCAGTATCTGCTACTCCACTCAGTGAAGGAACTTCTACAGCACAGCAACGCAGAGGATGAAATCCGTCCCTACACCAAGAACCTGTGGGAGAATATCATCAACTCTGGGCAGGCCGAAGACAACAAGGTCGTCGGAGCTGAGTGTGTCGGAAGATTGGCAATCATCGATCCAACGGCATATCTTCCACAGCTGCAATCCTTCTTGAAGAACCCTAGTCCAACTGTTCGCGGCATGGTTATTTCCGCACTGCGCTACGTCTTCTCGGACACCGAAGATGTGTACAATCCCAACCTACAATCCAACATTGTCCCAATGCTGTCAACGATGCTCAACGATACCAACCTCGACAACCAGCGTCTCTCACTCACCACATTCAACTCAGCTCTGCACAACAAGCCAGACCTTGTCTTGCCTCATCTGCCCGAACTTCTCCCCGTTGCCATGCAAGCCTCCGTCATCCGTCCAGAGCTCATCAGGGAGGTGTCCATGGGTYCCTTCAAACACAAGGTCGACGACGGCCTCGAGATGCGCAAGTCTGCATATGAGACTCTCTACGCCTTGCTAGACTCCGCTGCCTCTCGCCAACGTCTCGATATTCCGTCCTTCTATGACCGCATTGTCGCGGGCGTTACCGACGAACACGAGATCAAGATTCTCTGCTGTCTGCTTCTGTGCAAGCTCCTCGTGATCGCACCGGCCGAATCCTCAAGACGTCTTGAGAGCCTGTCGCAAGCTTTCCGCGTGGTCCTCGCATTCAAGCCCAAGGACACGGCTGTAAAGCAGGAGCTCGAAAAGCTTGCTGAGCAGCAGAGGTCTGTCATCAAGGCATCTGTGGCCTTTGATAAGGCCATGCCAGACACCGACAGTCGCTCCTGGAAGGAGTACATGGAGTGGGTCCGCAAGGAGTATGTTAACATGCATAGGGCTGCCGAGGACGAGGGGCGTATGAATGAGCCCACGCATTAGTAGCGTCTCTCTCAATCTTCTCCATTGTTCAAACGGCAAGGAGCGCGGTGCAGTGCATGCTTTGCTGATGGTCTCACGAGGACAGACGTGGGTGTCTGGGAGGAGGAGAAGGGGCCCAAAGGTGGACTGCATCATTCAACGATCGATACGCAAAAGAGCAAATGACACTTAGATACCCAATGAATAAAAGCATGATGGTGACTGTCTTAAGTTGTGCTCTCCAGCKACTTCCTGGTCAGTCATCCATGACCGTGACGGCCTACTTTACGTGCAGCGCACAAGTGTTCAGCCTGATGATGCGCAGTCCTCTCATCTCACTATGTACTGTGCCTCTCAGCCTCAGTAGCGTCCACGCCGTCTCGCTGCAAGGACATCGCTAGCCCAATGAACCTTCGCTTCGCCATCTATCTTTGGCACCATCACGCCCCCATCGAACGAAAAAGTCTCCCAGCGTCCCGGGTCACCAGCTTCTTAACATTAGTTCCCCATAGTTTGTATGAAACTAGCCAGGATGTCCTCATCCAACGATTCGAGTGAGTTCAAGCCGTCTTCGCGCCAGTGAGGACTTCCCTTAGTATGATCCATAAGGCGACGAATCTCGAGACGAGATTTTCTCTTTCCCCTTGATGGACTATATCCATGCTTAGTGTGTTCTTTGCATCCACCCACCCACACCCGCTTGTTTTTCTTATTTTGTGGCGTGGTTGTGGGTTGACCGTTTGATGTTCCTTGCGTTTTTGGRGGGGGATTCGGCTTGCCGAGACATTCATCCCCGCCCGCACTTTGCCGGCTCACGAACTCCGGGTTCAACTCCGATGTCCTCCACGGTATTTCTTGACTGGCCGGTGACTGATTTCAAGTGAATGACTGCCAGTGAGTGGATTGAGGAGTCGAGGGRTGGGCGAGTGACGATTTGTGGAACGAGTAGTCCCACACACACGACGGCCGGTGTTCCTACCCTACAGATCCAAGCGAAACATCGGAAGAAGCGGAATAAGAAGCCGTCTGCAAGCTAAAATCGACAGCGTCTCCATGTCTTTCTTAGTCGATGATCCACAATCGATTAGTCATGACTCCAACGGACTTCAAGACTTACATTCTCTAGTATGTGCGGCTAGAGGCTCACCATGTTGAATAACTTTCCGAATGGACATCAATGTTGACACGATAGACTGCTTTGAGTGAATAAAGTAGCGTAGCGAATAGGTTCATATTAAATAGTCATTTCAAATAAAGCCCTTCTGTGAACAATCGAAAAAAGTAAATACATAGATAGTGAGATATAAAGAGGGTGGTGAAGAAATACTGCATCGATCGGTTGATCAACCAATCAATCTCAACGAGCTGCTGCGGCGGCAGGTGCTCCAGCTGGGCCCGCGGCAGCGGCACCCGCCGGACCTGCGWATGCGAAAAGACCAGGAGGAAGTGCGAAGGAAGGGAGCGTTGGTGGCTTGATGCCACCTCCAAGCTTTGATCCAATTTTGCCGATGGGAGAGTCGTCCGGGAGACATTGGGAGTAGAAGCTGCCGGACGCGACACACTTCGCGCCCGCCCCGCAGAGCTTGGGGCCGCCCCAACCAACACCACCACACTGACTAAACATCGGTGATGTGTCCACCAAGCCGCGACCGAGCATCTTGAGAGGATCGGTTTCCGCGCGGCGGATCTTGGCAGATGGCATGAGGCATTGGAAATAATCCGGGCGGATTTTTCTGCACTCTGCTCCTCCGGCACATTCATGGCTTCCAAAGTACGAGCCGCCTCCACACTGTTGGTAGGTCGCAATGATGAGCGGGAGACCTATAAGATGGTCAGTAAATGTTCTTCGACTCGATTTCAACAAGGGATCTTTACATTGGGAATAGTAGGCGTTCTGCGCGTAGCATTTTGAGCCGGCCTCACACACGGTGTTACCCTGAAATCCCATTCCGCCGCATGGAGCGTAGGCCTTCGATGTCTGGCCGAGAAGCTCCAATGGAGACTTGACGAGGCCATCCAACGTGGGGTTGTACCGAATCTTCGTATCCTGAGTCTCGTAAGTTGGCTTAGGTGGAGAAGCTGGTAGAGGCTGTTGTGGAGGCTGTTGCGGGACTTGCGGCGGCGCTGCCTGAGGCGATTGAACAGGTGGGTTGGGAACGACTTGTGGTTGGGCAACTGGCTCAGGGGCGACTTGTGGTTGGGGCACAGACTGGGGAGCAGCTTGTCCCTGAAGTGCCGACTTAGCACCTTCGGGCTGAGACGCAGGTGGAGCTCCAGATTGACCAACCGGTGATGAGTTTGGCGCCTGCGCTGCTTGAACGGCTGGCTGAGCGGCTTGCTGTTGAATCTGAGCAGGCGGCTGAGAGATTGGTTGTTCCACTTTCGGAGCTTGTCCTGGCACATTGGCTAGAGGTGCTCCGAGCAATACCTTTGCGTTTTGGGGCACCGGAGCTGGAGCTGGAGCTGGAGCTGGAATTGGAGCTGGAATTGGAGCTGGAGCTGAAGCTACCACAGGGACAGGTGCGGCATTTGGTGATGCGGCGCCTTTCTCAACGTAGTCACCATGAGCAACTGCCTTGGACGACGGAGCAGGAGGAGCTGCGCCGGGAACGTTGGTCTGGCCAACAGATGGAGCTGGAGTGGTCTTGCCGACAGAGGGAGCGGGAGCGGGAGCGCCGGCAGGCGGAAGTTTGTCGTCGCGACGTGTCTTGGTAGGGACACACTGTGAAAAGCCAGGATAGATACGGCTGCATCGAGAGCCCTTCTCACAACTCGTAGGACCTGCGTAGTTTGTTCCGTTGCACTGACCGTAGATCATTTGGATCTTTGGYAAGCATTGAGCGTAGTCATTTCCGTTCTTCTGCTGGTAACACTTGGAGCCATCTTCACATTTTGTCGGGCCCTGCCAGAAGGAGCCGCCTAGAAAGTTGAATTGTCAGCATATGCTTCTTAAAAGGGGAGAAGCTATACGCCGGACGGAGACATACCACATTGTCCGTACAGTTCTTGTATGTCACTGGCCAGCTCTACTTTCGGGGCGGGTTGTGCTTCTTCTTCGACAACTGCTTGGGGCAGCTCAGGGGCAACATCCGTCGGCACGGCTTTCGGGCTGTTGAGGGTCTCAGGGGATGCTTTCGCACCGGCTACCTCTTGTCGAATGAAGAGGCGCGAGGTCTTAGCATCAATGATTCCACGCCGCCTAGGACCAGCAAATGTAGGAACACACTGCGAATACTTTTGGTGAAGGTCAGCAATGCTTGACGGATTAGAACAGATGTGCAAGATGATCCACTCACGAAAGCATTGTTCTCCTGTGACATGCAAAACGAGTTTCTAGCGCAAGTGGTAGGTCCCTGCCAGCCTTGGCCGCCTAAAAAAATTGATCGTGAGCACATGCTTCAACATGAGGGGGAGCTGTACGCAGGACGGGGACATACCACATTGACCCCAGTATGGGACTACGGCAGTCTTGGTTTTGACGCCATTAACCTCAGTAGTCTCCGTCGAGGATGGCATGCACTAAACGATCTGGTCAGCGATGCCCAGGTGAAATTAGACAGTGAGCAATAGATTGAGTCATTCGAGGCAGTCCGTGCCGTAAGTATGGTCAATCTGCTTGGAGGGGGACTTGCCTGAGAGTAGAATGCATTATTTGGCTGGGCGATGCAGGTTGATCCTTTTTGGCAAGTCGTGCTTCCGCGCCATCCGATTCCGCCACTTTTTGGGTGTTAGTGGCCATATGTAAGCAGTTCAGTAATTTCCAGAACTCACCATTGAGCGTACACTGCCGCCGGACGAGGAGGAGGGGGCCCATCACGTTTGACAACAGCTGGGACCACCGCGGGAGCCGCTGCCACTGCAACAGGAGGTGACTCCGCTGCAATAGGAGGCGAGGCTGGTGCGATTGGAAGCGGGGCCGCTACAACTGAAGGTGTCGATGCGGGTGCAGACGACGGAGCTGGTGCGGGTATCGGTGCTGGAACTTGGGCGAGAGGTGCTGGAACTTTGGCGGGAGGTGCTGGCGGCTGTGCCTCTGGAATGCATTGAGAAAAGTAAATGTTGCCCGCCTGATGTCTGCAAACACTCTAAGCGAGAGTTAGTGTCGATACACTTGTTGGTTCCGGGCTATACGAACTCCTGCAGTGCACACGGTGCTACCTTTGTATGCGAGTCCGCCACTTCAATAGTCGTTAGCTTGATGGTAATGATAAGGGGCGTTCAAAGACTCACCATTGCGTGTAGGCCGCTTGCTCAACCGGTGCCGCGGCGTCGACACGGCCATCATTAGCAGGGAGGGTTGCAGGAAGGCATCTATAACAGAGTCAGTCGCCGAATATACATTTCAGGGGCCGTGGAACTTGCTGTGAATAGTACGCGTTGGAGGATTGAATTGTGCAAGCAAAGCCATCAGGACATTTGCTGGATCCCTTGAAGCCAATGCCACCACCGTTCGGATGTTAGTAGCCATATGCAAGCAGCTCATATTGTAGTATCTTACCATTGTCCTGCATGAAGAAATTAGCAAGCATTTCAGATATGGAAATCTCTGCTCTTCACTTACCGTACATCCGGGCCGTAGATACCTTGGGAGTAACGGCCGCTACAACAGGGGCAGGGAGTGGTAGAAGGACTCCCGTGGGAATAGGGGCTGGAACGACTTCGGCCGGTGGGGCTACAGCTATCGCAGGCACCACAGCTTTGGCGTCGGCAACAGGTTGAGCGGCAACAGGTTCGGGAGACATGATAGCCTGTGCAGGYGCTGCTTTCCCAGGAGGGGCCATAACTCCAGTGGCGTTAGCCTTGGGTACAAGACCAAACGCATTGCGGATTTGCTCAAGAAAGTCGCGCTTACTTGGTGTATCGCGCTTGGTTGGTACGTCACGCTTGGTGCTCGGGAAACACTGTAGTCTCGTCAGTGAATGGTATTGATAGATATCCCAATGCTGTACTGACCTGCCAATACCACTGGTTGAGCTGCTTGCAGGTAGCCCCCTGAATAAAACGACAGGCGTTRGCGGATGGTTCACAAGCGCAAGGCTTCAATATTGCCTTACCACAACGCATGTCTTAGGGCCATAATAAGTGTCTCCGCCGCATTGCTGATAGAGAGAAGCTTTGGGACCAGAGGGTAAGCACTGGCTGTACCCGTCGTCTTTCTTATCGCACCCGGCGTCAGATCCACAATTAGTAGGTCCATTGTAATCTTTGCCGCCACATTGACCATATAGAGATTGTGCTGGCCCAGAAGGGGTTGTTCCAGAAGCACCACTACCGCTTGATGAGGTCGATGCCGTTCCAGGCAAGCATTGGGAGTACTAATATAGAGAAAGAGAGTCAGCAAATTCCGGGTGCGGAAAGGGGGTAAGCTAAGGAGGGCAGTCGTATCGTGCCGCACTCTGCTCCCATCCTATTGCGTTTGGTAGACTCACGTATTCCTGGATAGCTATTCTCAACATGTTAGCTATCGGTCAAGTGCGAAGGCTAAAGTAGAAGTCTCACCTTGGCAGCTTCCCTCAGCACAGCTTGTTGGACCACTCCAGTCTCCCTTCCCAGCTCCGCATTGACCGTAGAGCGGAACGCTTCCTCCACCACTGGGAGGTGCTGAAGGTGATTGAGGTGCTGCGACGACGGGGGCTTGCGGGGCTTGCGCGGCCGGCACAATTGGTGGCGATGGAGATTTTGGCGACGGTGGAGAGAGAGCGGCCGCCAATGCGGCTACCGCTCCTTGTCCAACTGATCCTGGTAGACACTACAGCACGCATGCGTTAGCAATACTCAAAGCAGCTTGCGGGCTATGGGCATAGACTTGGCGCAGCTTAAAAATGTAGGAATTTTCAATCGTCTGCAAGCCCATTCCCTTTGGATCTATTCACCTGGCTGTAGTATTCCTGGATGGCTATGATTGGTGTCAGCTGGATTCGGGTGCTTCAAGTCACGGCAATATTGCTCACCTTGGCAAGTTCCTTCCGCGCACGTTGTGGGCCCACTCCAGTCCCCTTTTCCGGCGCCACACTGACCAAATAGCTGCACAGATCCTCCACCACCTCCGCTACTGGGAGTTCCTCCAACGACACTTTGCTTCTGAGGAGCGTTTGCGTTACTCGGCGCCACGCCACTGGTTCCTGCAGAACCACCGCTTGCGGCACCTGGAAGGCATCTGAGAGCATGGTCAGTTTGTGTTCTGATCGTCCGAGATCTCGGGCTAGTAGCCCAGATCTACGACTATGTGGCGTTCTTACTGCCTATAGCAGAGAAAAGGTCAGCGCTGTTCCAAACAAAAGCACAGGCAGTGAGTGATACGAATAATATTCCTGGATGGCTTGACAAGTTCCCTCGGCGCACGTCGTGGGCCCGGACCAGTCTCCTTTTCCAGCYCCACACTGGCCATAGAGCTTTACAGATCCACCACCAACTGCTGCAGCCTGCGGAGCACCAGCAACCGGTGCAGAAGGAGGAGCTGCAGCTCCGGTCGCGGGAGCAGCCACACTAGCAGTCGCGGGCACGCATTGATGATAGTATTCTTCTTTCGCAAAGCATGTCGCTCCAGCCACACARTTCGTCGTTCCACTCCAGTTCTTGCCCCCACATTGCCCATACAAAGGACTTTCGCCACGGGCAACGAGACTTCCTTCAAGGTTCCTCGTCGGGATGATAGATCCAGCCTGCACCAGTCCAGTCGCAGTAGCGAGAATTGCAAGGGTCCACATCGCACTCATAGTCCTCGGATGTAATGAGAAAAGGAAAGATCACGGAAAAGAAGTGCAGTTTTGAGGGAAAGCATTGTGTTTGTTTGAGTTTGAATGGGAGAGCGGGAGATTGAGGAGAAGATGTTGATAGATTGTAACGTCTCCCGGACAGGGTGAAATGAGGTTGAGAGTGGTTCTGAGCGTTGGGGGTTGTTGGTGGTGCTACAGCAACCAGCGGCTTGTTGCAGCAGGGCTGCTGATAATGTGTTGATGATGAACCTAAGTCTTACGAGGGTTGTGAAAAGCTCTGCTATCAAATGGGTTGATTGATGTCAATGATTGCATACCTACTGTATAGCGAAGACCCGTCTTCTGGACGATGTCCGAATGAAAGATTTCGGTATGCAGGCGTATGAGCCGGACCGTGGTGGCGACGCGTGAAAGCTGGGTCAGCCGTTGAGTTCGCTAACAACACCTGACTAGATTCACCTTGCAACAAGACGCGATGAACGACTGATATTTTACGGCATGGCAACGCTACGTTGCGTCGTTGGAAGCTCTGAGGAGGTCTGGTCGGAAGTTGATTGAATCGCAGTGAACGCATTTTCGACAATTTGGCTTCGAACGCAAGAATGCGAGAATCTCGACGGATGGCCACTCCCGGTTCCGAGATATGGAGAACGGGCACTTCAGCTCGGACGATACGTCATTGCATCAGGTCTTATGCCTGGTATAGCTACTTGTCCGATACTTTCAGTAGTGATACGTCTTAAAACAGTGAAAAGGCGTTGGGAAGACACGCCGTTGAAGGAATCGCGAGGGTGACGAATCTCACGCGTTGCGTTGGAAACGCTTTGTCCCTGGAGTCCCTGAAGGAGTGAATAGTTGAGGCCGGGCGTCGTGGCATGATCGAATCGTCCGTCAGCCTGCTTCGAGSGTGACGTGCGACGTCCGATCCTTATTATTGCATGGCATCAGAATGGTTTCGGACCAAGCACAATCTCCACACTGCACATGTGGGATGCACCTCTTGCTCGTCAATGATGTTCATAAGCTCGGAACCTCATGGTATCATCCTTCAGCTAAGACGACCACGGCGACCAGTCGATCGGCCTCTTCCGCCAGTGTTGTTCCGCTGTAGGACAGGACTGCTGCCAATCATAGAACTATCCAAGATCGAGCTCGACAAGTTCAAGCTTCCAGGACTTCTGGGTAGTAAATCTGCGGCACCGACCTGCGCTCGCATTCTCTCCTGTAGTCCACCAGCCAGAGGCTGTGCATCGAAGCTTGGTCGATTAACAGGCGCAGGCATTCTAGCAGATCTGGCAGCGCTCCGATTCGTGAATGAGTCTTCCTGCAACTCAGACTCCGAGTCCGTCTCTTCCAGCTCAGTATCGGTATGCTGGTAGGATCCCGCCTCTGGCACCGAGTCGTCCAGGTCTCTATCGAGATCMATATCGAGATCTTCTTCGTCTCTCGCTGCGCCGGTGAGTTCGGCCTCTTCCATCTCCGCGTATTCATCAGCCTCGCGTTCAGCAGGATCGACCTGGCTGCCTTCCAACATGCTCTCCTCGTTGAATGTGAGGTCCGCGTTAGTGGCATCTGCGTCGGGGATTTCTGCATCTAGATCCACTTCATCCTCGTCTCCGTCCTCTTCTCCAGCTTCGGCTTGTGCAGCGTGTTCTTGAGCTTGCTGTTGTGTTTCGAGTAGCTGCTGTTGTGCTTGTAGATCGTCTAGACCTTGATTCCGCCGCTGTTCTTCCAGCAGCTCCAGCCTTTCGAGCTCTTCTTCTGTCTGTGCTTGTAGTGTCTTGGGGAAGCCAATCGGTCGGATCCATTGCGCTCCGAAGCCTCTAACCGCTGCTTTTCGTTGGCGGATTGCAGCTTCTTCCGCGGCAAGAATTGCGAGTGGGCTTCTTGCGTGTTGCTGCTTCTTTTCTCCTTCGCGCAGCTGACGCTGTCGGTGTGTTTGGTGCGGTGTTTGTCCGTTGACGGGTGGAGGGGAATCGGCGCGTGGTTGGTGTGAGCCGCCCAACCATGTTGAGTCTGTCTCGTGGGGATAGATTAGGGGGAGAGAAAGCATAGCGGTGCCGGWGGTCTGATGGTGTCTGCGGAGAGGTCGCTGCTGGCTAGCTGTGTTTGTTGGTGTTGATTTAGCTGTCGCTGTATAGCCCCACATTGGACGCGTCAGGACGCGCGAGATGAGGTCACGGCACCACTTCAGGCAATTACGACTGCATCCGTGGATGTTTCACGACACGTCACACTCTTTATACAGGATCATTACAAGCACATGCAGTGGAGCTATGGTGTTATGGGTTTGAATGAGATGGGCCACGGCATCCTGTCCGGCACTACACCAACCCTAACCCTATAACGCAGCGATCTCGGAGCACGATGACCAAAACACAACAGTCAAATCGCCGCGTTGATCGCACAGATACCCTCAGTAGCGATTGCTCATGCTACCTCCAACCGCCTACCCAAATACAGCCTCTCATGTTTCCCCAAAACGCCAATACATCCACAGCATGTCTTCGTCATCCCATGTCATAAAGAAGTTCCAACCCAATCGTGTCCATTATCAAGCAGCAGCCGTCACAGTAGCGACGCCTTCTTTCTTCCCTCCCTCTCCCTCCTTATCAGCATCCGGATTCAGAGGTCCATCATAACCCACCTGCTTCACGATTCCTAAGCCCTTGGTCCTGCCCTCTCTGAATAGGATACGATCACCAACTGAAAGAAACTCTGGCCGCTGCACGAAGCGAAATGCGACCATTGCTCTATCTCCAGTCCGGATGTACGCTCGATCGATGTCGATGATCGCGCAGGTCTGCGAGACAGGCCCGACATGCAGCATGGCTTGGTACTTGTTTCGAATGGTCGTAGCATGGCTGAGAATGAGGACCTCCGCTACAAATTCGCGGTATACCTTCGGAGCCGGAGCTATCAACGTGGGATTCGTATCGGATTTTGCGAGCAGCACTACCATGCCTTTCCGGACGTCCTTCCGCCGTACTCGTCGTAGTGCAAACGATGCGCTTTGTCCAGCAGAGCAGGCAGGGACGCTGATTCGTTTGCGCTCGATTGATCTGACGGTCGTGGTCGTGAACTGGCCCAGACTGTCTGGACCAACAAGCACTGTGTCGCCTGCGTGAACAACACCAGACTTGACAACACCAGAGACCACGGTTCCAACAAAGGGCACAGAGAATGTGTCATTGACATGAAACTCGAAAGGGGCATCTGGATCGTAGTTGMCGTGGTGTGGCAGGAWGTTGAGGAATTCGCGAACGAGAGGCAGGCTTTCTCCCGTCACGTTGGATACCTGGAAGATAGGGCAGATGCGCTGGCTGACAAACTGTGTCGCTGTGTTGACACAATCTTCGCGGTTCTTGATGAAAATGGGGATCTTGCGGGCTCCGGGAGACTTCAAGATCTTGGTCAACTGGGTTAGAGTCTGCTGCAGAATCTGGGGTGGACAGATGTCAATCTTGGTGACAATGACCATGACTGGAACATTCAGCGCCAAGGCGATTCCCAGATGCTCTTTGGACATTCCAATCAGGCCATTATTCGCTGCAACCATCAACAGGCAGTAGTTGGGCTCGCTGGAGAGTAAGCCGAAGACGGTCGTCCGCAGATATCTTTCATGGCCAGCCAGATCGGTAAAGGAGATGACCTTGGCACTTCGCTTGCCAATCTCCTCCCAAGAGAGCTTCCTCCCGGGGACACCAGAGACAACGACTTCACCCTTTGTGTCGAAGCCCATGATTTCCATTCCGACGCTGGATGTCCTTCCACTCTCGACTTCGTGCTTGTGTCGGAATAGATTGACTCGCGCTTTTCCACGTCCATCGTCCAATCCGCCCTTGACCAGTACTCCCAACAGAGTGCTCTTCCCTGCATCGACATTTCCAACGACCGCTATTCGCGTCTCGATGGCATCGTCTAATCCGACTGGCCGTCGTCGAATCATTACTTTTCCCACGCATCCTTTCTCCTTCTTAATCTCATTTCCAACGTCGACTTCACTTCCAGCRACGTTCTTGGTCATGAGAATCTTCCAGTCTGCCTTTTCAATGTCCATGATAGTCTGTAGCCGTGCGAGGGCAGCATCCCATTCAGCCTGAGTGAGAGCTTGACTGTCCCCATTATCCTCCAGGCCCACATCGAATAAGCACTCTCCATGTCCATCATCCAGTCTTAATGTGAGGATTTCACGCAGCTGCTTGATGCTTTGGTCTTTGGTGTCGGTGTCATCTAGCAGGAGGTGTTTTAGCCGGACCTTGGGCTTCTCGTCGCCAAGGTTGAGTGTGTCCAAGATATCAAGCTCAGCATGTGTGGACTGAGATTCGCCATTTGCGCCGCCAGCGGCCGCCTTCCTCTGCGACTGCTGCAGTTGCTGCTGCTGAACGTAGTCGGCAAAGTCACTAAGAGCCTAAAGGAATGAAGTATGAGCTCATTTACTTCATTCATGCATCACTTTGACCCGATATATCATACAGATTCGCCGGCACGCCGCTCTTGCACAGTCTGCGGCACTTCTTTGTACCGCTCCGATCTGGTTGCCATCGTGTTAGTGATGGTGGTGATTCACGTTGGTATTCTTAGAATCATTTCTCGTATGTGAGTATGAAAGTGTGAAGTAATATGAGYCAGTGTCGGGGAGGAAATCGTCGTGAAGAAGCTGTCCTTAAGTATCTGACGGTCGTACTCAATGGTTCATGACTGTGAAGTGGAGTCATGGATAGGTGGAGTCATGGATGATGGAAGGAGGACGTGGGGTAGAACTAAACGCCGATTGCCACACTGCCGAATCGAGATTGTTGCGATCAAGATGACTGTACAAAGGCAGGAACGATCACAGACATGAAATGGTTGAAGCGGAGATCGATTCTATCTTGCATCGTCTTTAGTACTACATGGTCCTTTGTTCAGTTTAGTCTATTGTTTGTTACTTCGAGGATGTCTTTCAATTAATTCACTCACCGATGCGAAGTACCAGGTAGTGGAAGATCGCKGGGTAGTACGGTGGCCTATAGAATCCTAGCAGGTGGAAACAGCCGCTACCTTAGCTCACGGAGTTACGCGAAAAGTCGCGTCTTCCTATCCTCGAATCAACGTTGGTATGCCAATTGCTACAACTTCCAACATCATCCCTCGAACTGCAAACATGCCGCCTCCGCCTATACGTAGAAAAGGCAAGGAGGCCAAGGAGACCGTCATCTACCCATCCTCAAAACGCCCAGCACCTCCTTTTAAACCGCTTCGACCGTCCAAAGTCCCACGGACCGATTCCAATACCTCCATTGGTGCTTCCCGACCTCCAGCTCCAAAGCCGACAGCAGCGAGGAGAACATCTGCTTCAAAGGCCAATACGGGCAGCAGATCAAAAGACCATGAAGAGCACAATAGCAGCAAGACCATCTCTTCCGACCACGAAGTCGATGACGAGCTCGAAGAAGTCGCACGCAAGCCAATAGCAGCTCGGCGAAGGCCGTCCAACGCTGCGCAGCGAGGAATCTCGCCAGTGTTGATCTCTTCCCACGAAGCTCCACAATCCAGACCAGATGCAGACGACGACCCACTGCCATCTCAATCCGATCCCACACCTTCAATTCCCCAGGCACTTTTATTACGCCTTCTACATGAAGGTTTCACCGACAAGAACACCAAGATCGACAAGCACGCCATTCAAGTGCTGCAAAAGTATATGGAGATCTTCGTACGGGAAGCCATAGCCAGAGCCAAGCACGGAAAGCTCGAGGCAGCAGTGGAAGGCGATGAGAGCGAGTTGGGCGGGACATGGTTGGATTTGGAAGATCTGGAACGAGTCGCCCCAGGACTCCTGTGCGATTTTTKAGAGTATGGAGAGGTGCTTGACTGGGTCTGCAATAATATGGTAATGACATGATATGATATGATATGATGTGATGTGATATGAGCTACGACATTACATGTACAGCAGGCAGCATATACCTTTGGCCACGATACAAATACAAATGTACAGCAACATCATGATCCGTGCCGCTTTCTCTTCGCGGGTCGCGCGTTCGCATGAGGCTTTGGACCACCTCGCACACGCTGTGAGGAAGAGGACATTCGCTGCTCCAGTAACCTTTGTCGTCCCGATTTTGCAATCGGCTTTCTCTTGGGTTTCTGCACCGGTCTTCTCACCTGCTGGTGGTGGTGAGATCTGTGATCCCGATCATCAGCGATGCTATGGGATTGGGAGCAACGGTTTCCAGCTGATTCCGCTTTCTCGCACGCACTGCGAGGAACGTGCAATCGCTCATCAATGCCGATGATGGGTTTGGGGAACCGCCGTTGATTCTGCTGAGCCTTCGGACTTGCTGCTACCACAATCTCACACTTGGCTTCTTTCTGCCTCGTAATGCCAACTTCCGCGCTCTCATACTCCTGAACCACTCTCTGCCTCTTGCGACCATACCTTTCCGTCTCCCCTGTCTCATTTTGAGGAAGACTGCGCTTTCTGCTCTGAGTGTGAGGTGATGGCGGTGGCGATGGTGTGGGAGAGTGAAGGTCCGGGGAAGGCATAGTGAGTGGCGTAGGTACGACAGACGCAGTGGGTTCCTCTGATGTTGTCTTTGTGGGCCAAGCACTGTCATCGGCGAGAGAGCTACCAGTGCTACTGTCACCGAGCGAGCTATCATGTTCTGATGCTTCCAGAGAGTTATCTTTTGGCTGCCTTTCGATTCGAGATTCATCCTTCGTGTTAGGTGGCAAGTCTTTGTGGATTTTGACCTCGTCTTCGCGAGGATCGACTTCGTCTTCACGGTCGATTACTTCGGGCTGGTTATGCACACCAATTTGTTTTTTAAGAGAAGGCTCAGCTTCTACCGGGCCTTGAGCGCCTGCCTCAGGTGTCAAAATGCTACCCATTGATACTTCATCGATCTTCGCATCAATGTTCGCCTCAGACTCCAGTTGCGCTTCTGCTGCTGGAACTTCTCGAGTGGGACCAGGGATCCCAATGTGGTGTGGTAGCCCATCGGGAGTGTGCGTGGCTTCGTGCTCGACATGATGCTTCATAGGCTCACAAGTGTCCAAATTCTGATCTTTCTCAAAACGAGCATGCCGCTCCAGCCCGGCTTTGACGATTTGTATAGGAAACAGTTCGTCCCTAAGTCTCGTCTGCTTGTGCATCTTCGAATTGACATGTGCGCTTGCTTCAACTCGCTCTTTCTGGTCTTCTCCCGCGAGCTCTTCACTGCCCTTTTCTGCCTCTAACTTAGTCTCAACTGCGCCTTCTCCCTCTGGCACCTCTGGCACAGCCCCAACGATGACTTCTCTGGTAGCATCAGAGACCTGCTGCTGATCGAGCTTCAGGATGGCGTGCTCCGGGTCTGTACTCTCGATCTGACCGGCAGATCGCGGCATGCGGAGTACGACAACAAGGCGTGGGCGCTCGTTGTTCAACATCGGCTTGTCGCTAGATACTCCTTCCTGGAGTCTGGCATTGTCCAGCTCACCCTCGCCCACACGACCATCTCCACCAAGCCCAGGCGAGGTCAGCGATGAAGCATATGTGCTTGGGATTCGCAACTTCACGAGCAAGCGTTTGGGCGGAGATTCCAGAGATGGCGACTCCTTTTCACWCCAGAGATAGCTCCTCAAGCCTGAACTGACATCCTCCCCACCTACGTCTTGCTCTTCAGCATTTGCATTTGCCTCCTCATCGGACTCATCGTCCAGATAGAAGCTTTCTTCTATGGTGTCCAGCAATCCATGACCAGCAATCTCATAAGCGTCGCGCGGTTCGAGGGCGTAAGATCTTGAGCTCCGTGTCCGCATAGCTCTTTCTCAGAGCAACATTGCTGTCATTGTGAGCTTGGTAAAGCTCGAAATGTTGGTGGCTTACATCTTTTCTGGTCCGACCGGGGTTTCCGGCAGGGCTGCATTAAATTAGTGGGGATTGAACGGAGTCAGGTCCGGATGATATTGCAACCAATCTGCTTGAGAACATCCTACACTCCAATTTCCAATTTCGAACACGACAGGGAGTGTTGAGCAACATTATTACCAACGGCCGCTCTTTCCAATGCTGCAGCTTTTGTGCGGTAGCTTCGATTGAGGTGAATGTTCAAACTTCTTGGGAAACGGTCTCGCCGAATCATCAACCAGCCAAAATCATGAGGACCGAGACATTATTCTTATCAACTGCAGGACCATTGCAGTATGGACAGTAGTCCCGGACTTCACGCAGCAAAACGTCAAAAGCGGCGGGCTGTGGCGTATGTGATGCATCGACGCCGCCCGTTCGCCATCGGCTGACGACAGGCCAGTTGCGATCGATGCCACTCGCATAAGATAAAGTGCTCCGGGGAGCTGCCATGCCAAGGATGCATATCTGCGAGAGTAGACACCGAATGCCGCTATCGTCCGAGGGACAGAAACATCACAATCCCGGAGAGTACATTAGAGAAGCTCGAAGCCGAGATACGCGACCTCAAGGCTGAGACACGCGACCTCAAGGCTCAGGCGGCATCCAGATCGCCCATCACAGAAGCGAGCACGTATGAGCCGCGTTTTGCCGCCCGAGAAGAACATTCCACTGACCATACGACCGTCGAACCCTTCCCAAACCCGCTGCTGGATGCTCAGCATGGCCTCTTCTCCGATCAGGCATCATCCGAACCAGTCTTCGTAGGCGAGGCCGCGTGCACTGCTTTTGGAGACCGGCTTCTCCAATGCGTATCGATGGACCCTACTCAAATTTCATCCAATACGATTCCCGATCATGTCGTTCATCCTGTGTTCAATCGCTGTATGAACGCCGCATTCCAGCTCCCCAATAGAGCCCAGGCTATATTGCTAGTCCGCAGAGTAGATCGATTTATCGGAAGCAACTATCACCTAATGCTGAAGAAGTTATTCTTTGAGCGATTCGACAGAATCTACAACTCGAAGCAGGCACCGGATGTAGCCTGGGCCTGCCATCTATTCGCTTTGCTCGCTTTGGGTGAGCTGTACTCCAATTGCAAGTCAAATCCTGAAGATGACAAGATTCCTGGAATGTCATGGTTCATCTTGTCGATCCGGCTCTTGCAAGACCTGTATGAGGAGGCCTCCCTCGAACAGGTCCAGATCTTGATACTATTGGTGAGTTTCCATACTTTAAAACGTCTGCACCTTTTGACTGACAGACGTAGTCCCACTATGCCAATGCTCTAGGTAGAGTCAAGACTTCGCATGTGTATTGTGGCATTGCTATGAGGCTCGCTATTGGACTAGGTCTACATCGGACTCAATCTGGAGCAAGTACCATGGATCCGATCCATAGGGAACACCGGAGGAGAACATGTAAGTGAGGTTGAGAAGAGTGAAGGCTCGCCTCGCTCGTCTTCTTTCGCAGGAGACAGCTGACGATTTCGCAATTTCCAGGGTGGACACTGTATCTTTTCGACAGACTTACTTCTTCCAAGCTGGGTTATCCGCTAGCAATACAAGACAGCGACATTGACGTCGAGTTACCGTCTATGAATGGACTTTCTGCCAGCGAACAGGAAGAGTTCAGTGATCCCGTGCATCTAGTGGCACATGTCAAGCTAGCTAGGATAACAGGCAGTATATGTGAGTACCCGACTTCGATCTCAATTAACAGGCATGTTGAGCGAGAAAAGAGCTGCGCACCGATTATGCAGTGACTTGCATGGAGGCTATGCGCTGAAGTTAATGCGATCCGCGCTGACCATTTCTCAGTAACTGACATCTACTGCCCGCCAAATCACAGCAAGATCAGTTTTGTTTCACGCGTGCATCGTGTTCTCAACGACTTGARGCGCTGGGACGATGAGTTGCCCCCGAGACTTCGTTTCCACGCCGAGGAACCTCCTCGAGATCTCTACACTCTACACATGCACTATCACCTGTGCATAATTCAAACCACGAGGCCCATCCTTCTCCATATCTTTAAGACAAGGCATCAGGCCACTAGGTGAGTTGACGAAACAACGCTCAAAGCTTATTTCATTTGCCGTCAGAGCATWGCCTGTGTTTTTGCAGTGGCTGACGTCTTTCTTCCATCAGGGATGCTATCGACCACACTCAGAAATTCTCTCAGACGACTCACGCGTTAGCTGATAGCTGCATCCAAGCAGCTCGCACCACCAATCAACTGCTCTCGAAGCTGTTTGTGGAAGGGAACCTTGYGGTCTTTGGCTACTTTGACGCACACTACATCTTTTCATCTACATTAATACTCATCATTGCCGCAGTGATGGAGCCCACAGCCGCCATTTCCGACGCTGTACAGATGGCGTTCAACCTCCTCACAGCTCAGGCAGGCAGCGGAAATGTCTCGGCGAAAGACTACTTGACTCGACTACAGAACATTCGATCGACCGTCGGCGCTGCTCGTAGGGAAGCCGAGAGAAGGAAGGTGACTGCAGCTACACTGCAGCGTATGAGTTACGCTGGGCAGCAGGAACCTCCCCCTGAAACCTCTATAAACTCAGCGGATGAGTTTCTCGGGGAACAAATCGACTGGAATCTGGCCGAGACATTGTTGAATGGAGAGAATATCTCCGGCGAGGGTCCGCTTGGGAACCCATTCATTGAGACTTTTCTCGCCGAGAAGGCTTTCGAATGGCCTGGAGCATCGCCTGAACAAGACTTTCTTCGAGATTTCGCTCGCGAGCTTGAAGACGAGTACATATTTGGTGCATGATAAAGGGACAGACTACAGGTAGTCATTGGCCAGAGCTGGTAATTCGTGGTTGTGTTACGACGCTGCCTCCTGCCAGCGAGTCTGACTTCAGCAAGCAATATTCACTTCAACCTACCTTACCTCCTTCTCAGAACCTTTGACCGCCGACCGGTCGCTTTCATTGATCGGCTTGGCTTCCTTGGCTTGCCCAAGGAAGCCAAGCCCTAGAAAGTAGGTACCAAGGGTAGGCACAACACGCACGGAAGGAATGAACGTAGGAGCGCCCGAGAATGAGGCAGACTTCAACGAGGTTCCCGCAAGAATTTCGCCCTCTCGCATTCACATACCATCTGACCAGGCCTTTGGTTGTGCTTTTTTGCGACGTTCAAAATCACGTCCCAGCGAGTCCCAAAAGATGTACGCTGCAGACTAAATCCTGGCATACGCATCCTTCGATCGACCTTGAACCGATGTTGGAAATGCAAATGTTAGGAGGTACTACGTTGTCCATCATCTGCTCTCAGGGCCGAGGATCCGCCAAGTCAGATGCCAAGGTCGATCTACAATATACCCCAGAGTACCGGATAAATGCGAACCTCGATGACGCTGTATTCTTCCGTATATAGGCACAACGCTCCAATGATYT